GCACCCATCTGTCAAGACCCGGGTGCTGCGAGAGCACCCCACTGATCTGAGCCAGGCGATCAGGTCAGCGCAAACGGCGGACCAACAGCCGAACCCGATTCAGCACCGAAGTCAGCCCGTACGACCCCAAAGGCTAACACCGGAGGAGAGGCGTCCCCTGAGTCGGCAGGGTGGATGTTTCGCTTGTCGGAAGCCAGGTCACCTAGCTCGGGATTGTCCCAGCAATCAACACCCAAACGCTGGTCGCCAGTGAAGAATGGCGTGCGCTCGCTGGCGACCAAGCGGAAAGCACCCAACGGTTACCCGGTTGACATACGCAACCGTTACAGCGTACTAGAGCTGGAAGAACCGACGCTGCAAGCTGATTCGGAAGATGTTGCCGAACAGGAATCCCATGTCAGCAACGTTGATCTCGCAGTACAGGACACGGAGCTTCCTTTGGAGCATGACCTTCTCCGTGTTGAGGGCAGGATCAACGGCCGCCGGGCAATTATGCTCATTGACTCGGGATCGACGCACGACTTCATATCGGAAGCTTTCGTGCAAAGAAACGGCCTTGTTACGGAGAGCAAGGATGAAACACTGAAGGTAACCCTGGCTGATGGCTCATCGACATCATCGGGACTGCAGAGGACCGGTCCGGTAAAGGTTATCGTGAAAGACTTCAGCGACACCCAATGTCTCAGTACTCCTTGTCAGTTTTGTGCCATTTTGTCGCACTTGCTGGCTGTATAAGATCTGGTTACGTTGGTGGACAGTTTGTCATAACTCGTCACATTTTGTCCTTTTTCCTTTCTTCATCATAACTATAATGGCTCACCATCCGAGTTCAAATAATAATAATAATAATAACTTTATTAAGAAGACCCAACGGCCTATCGTGGGGTCCGTCGCATTGAAGGATGATGGTACAAGAGAGTACAGATTGGGAAAAAGGGGTGGGGGATCTACGATGAACAGGGTAACGGCATGCCAGCGAGTAGACCTGAATACTGACAAGAATGTTTGCGCAGCTCTTTCTTGAATACATGGACAGAAGATTCCGAAGTCAATGTGGGTGGGAGACAATTCCATAAAAGGGAGGTTTTGAATAAAAAATTGCATTATACTGCTTTAACCAACTTTCGAGCGCCATATCTTTATCATCGTTTCTCCTATCGCAAAAGCGATTACACCATTGGACAGCTTGGAGCTTCTTCTTTGATCCACATATTTCGATATTTGCAAAAGGACTAAAAACGATGGAGTTACGACGGTTTTACGGTACGCACATGATATCAGTCATTAATGACTGATGCACCGCAAAGGGTTAATTAATAAGGCAATAAGCAGAATCAGCGAAGCGGACATTGGACGTAGTCATGAACAAAAAAAAAGATGGATACAAGTTTCCGAACACGTTTTCTAGAGACATTCATCAGAGAAAATACGTCTCAATACTGAAATCTAGGAAAGTTCTTTTTTTGCATTCCATTGAAGTTTTCTATGCATAAATTGGTCTGGAAAGCCGATAGCATTACCATTCTGATACAGAAACGTGCAATAGAGAGCGAATGATGACGCTCATTATTCGCTCCCTTGTCACTGGACAGCTCTGTCCGTTTGGTTTAAGGGAGCGAATGATGACGCTCATCATTCACTCCCTTGTCACTGGACAGCTCCGTTCGTTTGGTTTAGCGAATTCAAATAAAGAAAACCACCAACAAACAAACAATACCAAAGAATGTCGCGTTCTTAAAAACCTTGGAGTTCGTTCTTAAATCCAGGCTGGGGCATTCTTAGTAGTGTTGAAACGAGCGTATCTATAAAAGAGGAGCGATCAGTTCCACTAACGAGCGAGCTAACGAGTTTCATTGATGCGCATGTGGCAAATATGATTTTTTGAATATATTTTTTTCTAAGAAAGTTCGATTTTTTTTCAGCTGGTTCAATTCATCACCGCCGGCATTTGGGGTTGCTGCTGCTTCACTTCGGACTGCTATTTGGTGTCGAGATGTATTTTCAGCGGCGTTGTTGAGTAGCCTTTGTAAGAATAGACCCTTTTGCAAAGATTGCAAGTAGCCCTGGTCTTCGCTGCACCGCGGGAGAAAACTTCCAAACGACTGAGCGTAACTTTCACCCGAATGGAGAGGTGACCGAACGCGGCATATCCTGCGACAGGTCAGCAGATGCGAAACAATACATCAGTAGAGTCCACCAAAGCTGCAACGACAACTGAAAAACTCAAGAGTCGTGCAGGCATACAGTCACTGTAACTGCGAGTGATTTTCACTTTGCGCGGGACTGGACTCTCGATCGACCAGGGACTTGTAAAATAGTTTACGACTCCCCGGTCGACATTATACTGCCATGTGTACAAAGTACGGTGTTCGTTAGTGCAAACAAGCTGGCCGCACAAACGAGCCGAGTTTCTGGCGAGCGAGCTAACGAGTACCCGTTGAGATCGTTTGAACACTAGTTCTTAGATTTCCAGCCTGACGTTTTTGGGAGTACACGTCTACCGTAACTTATCTTTTTCTCGTTGTCTTACTAGTAGAAAGATAATCATTGCCTCCAGGTGTGTACCGGAGAGAGTTCATTTGTTTTTTCCACTCGGCCACATACCACACTTGTACACTCGGACGTCTCTTATCCGGGCACATTGGGACCGGGCACTGCCCGTATCTCAGATTTGCCCGTATCTCAGGATAACTCATCTACCATGTATCATTATCATTTTTGAAGAAGTTTTTTTGGCGCATATTGCACATGTTCAGGTTACAAAAATAATCCATGGATAAAAATGTGTGGATTACACAGGTTGGCAGTGACAAATAAGCACTTGTGCATTCGGAAAAAAAGTTCAACCCCCCAAATTCCAAGCATTTTTGTCATAGGAACTCAAGCTGAGGGTGGCCGGTAGAGAGACGTGCCCGTATCTGAGGCGTCCGGATAAGAGGCGTTTGAGTGTACCACCATGCAACATGTGAAAACGGGCATGCCACTAGTAAGCGTTGGTCCTGCACACGACAGGAATGCTAGCCGCACCAAGAAGTGTGCCACTGTACTTCAGGGCCAGAGGAAGGAGTTCGTGAGTGGCCCCACCGACATTCGATGGGGGGAGGGGGGGGGGTCCGGGAGACTTACTCCGGGAGACATTTTGAAGATTTACGCGAAAAAGAGCGTAATTTGGGCATCTTCTGAGGCTCCAGAAAATGGTGAAAAATCATGGACCGAGAACACAAACACAACACCCAAGAGACTGAACACTGTATTAAGCCAGTCAAGTGCCAAGTCCTGTTGGCGGAATAGCACGCGTGGAATAGCACAAGCTCCAGCGTGTGGAGCAAACTTTTTACTATACAGGTGGAATCCTGATAATTCGAATGGGGCTCAATTCGAACATACCGCTTAATTAGAAGTTTTTCCAGGACCGATTTCTATCAATATGATTCCCACAGATTCCACTTACATAGAAAATGTGTGGGATTTGTGCTGATAATTCGAAGTTAGCAAAGTGTAATTCGAAGTTCACTGTACATTGTACTGGTCAGTTCAGTTTTCATGAGCAAGCTGTGCCGGTCAGTTCAGTATCCGTGAAATCTGTGTCTACAGTGCGTTTCAAAAAGATTTGCAATCCTGGCGATCGCCCGCGGAGTTTGGCGTCTTACCGTAAAAGAACTCGAGCGCTGCCTGGAAAAACTCACTGTCAACTTGAAGAAATATTCCGCGCGAAAGCAGGAAAAATGACAACTCACTCACGTTGATACAGTCATGTACGTCTGGTTTACAACAAACGAGTTCTTCCTCGCATCGATAATGGAGTCAGAGAGGACTTGTCGAAACGAAAGTGTTGTAAATGTTCACGAGCGGCATGGGTCCCAATTGGTTTTGTGACCAAAATAGTTTCTCTGAGCTGCGATGCAATTTCCTCACTGTGTGACGAAAACGACATCGACACGGACTCATTCCCAAGGCCATGACTTGGCAAAGCTATCCGTGTGACTTCGACGACATTTTGAGAAAAGCAGACGCTTGTGAACGCTGATAGAAGACGGCGTTGATTGCTAAATTCAAATAAATTGGCGATCTTGAAATACTGGAATAAATCTCAAAAATCGATACTGGCTTCCTGGGAAAATTGTTAACCATGGGAAAAGGCCTGAAACCTGGCCGAAATTCTAACTCCTTTTAAAACGGCTGGTCCAATTGTTCCGAAACCTTCACAGAACAATTTGCCGTGTCCTAACAAGCCATTCTATGTACTGTATTGTCCAAATTCCCCTTATCTTCATACTTTTTAAGACCCAAACCTGATTGTAAATCTTTTTGAAATAGACTATAAGGTCCATAGCGCAACTCTGCGTGACCATGAGAGCATTTTGATGTACTAGTACATATTGTGCTGTCGGTTCATGTCCGGATAATTAGAATGCCTGGATAATTAGAAGATTTTTTCCTGGCATTTTGAGGTTCAAGTTATCAGGATTTTTTTACGAGAAACCACAAACCTCGAGAACAGAATACTGCATGATAGAGGTGGTTGCAAGCGCAACTGTGGTGGTGAAACTGGAGCATCTCCGCCGACCTGAGGTATCAGCCCCATTGACACTTCAGTGCACCAAAAACTGGGGTGCAGTAGGCACAGGGGGAGAGGGGGGGGGGGTTAATTTAGGATTACACCTGTACTCCTTAATATATGTTCTCTTGCTGTTGTTATTGTTTTCTTCCATTCTATCTATGCATGTGCACTTTCATAAAAAAAACACTTGCCTGGATATACCCCGGTAAGTGTGTGACCCAATGATGTACAGATTATAAATTGTCTGAGGATTGCCTTTGCTTTGCCATGCGCATGAAACACAGCGTTACAACAATGGCCTGGCCGGTTGTTGTCTGTTCTCTTCTGCCTTTGTTGTTTTGCTCCGTCCTTGTGGTGTTGAGCACTCTGGTCAATCTTGGAATTATCCCTATTGTGCACATAAGGAGATCAAGTACTTACTGAGTATGCAGAGCGTGATGGTAGCAATTCCGGTCGGGTCAAAGCTGCCATTATTGTACAGGACACCACCTCCATACGAATTGACAAAGTCGGCCAGCACTGGACTCTCTGCTCCGAAGCCAAGCTTTTGCAGGAACACCTGTGCGCACGATTGAAATTCCCTGGGCATCAGGGTCCAAATCCCGCTATTGCCATCGAGTGCCTTGCAGGTGGCAATGGCTTGTATGTAGTCCACCTGTTTGCGCGATGGAGCTATTCGAAGCTGCTTTCCCCAGCATGTATCTATAGAAACAGACACACAAAGTATCGGACCGCTCTTGATTGGGGATAACATCTGATTCAGGCAAACGAGCAACGAAAAACCTATTTTCGAGCCACAGCTATCCATAAAACAGACTTGGTCGGCAAAAAACTACATTTGGCTCTTATGATCATAGATTCTGAAGCCAGTATTGGTTTTGAAGAAGTGAAGCAGTGCATATTTGCATAAGGTCGTCCCTCTTCAACCCACCACTTTATAAACATCACCCTCTATAAACCAGTGCACTAATTTTCAGTAACAAAAATGTCGTCTTCATGTCCATTCCAGCAGTAAATTCGATAATCCAGCACCCTCCCAATCCAGCAGAATTTCCGAAGTACATGTACAAATGGTTTGAAGCTCAAAGTAGAGCTGCTGTTAGCTCATAGCAGAGCAAGTGTTAGCTCAAAGTAGAGCTGCGGTTAGCTCAAAGTAGAGCTGCTGTTAGCTCAAAGTAGAGCTACTGTTAGCTCAAAGTAGAGCAGCAATTAGCTCAAAGTAGAGCTGCTGTTAGCTCAAAGTAGAGCTGCTGTTAGCTCAAAGTAGAGCTGCGGTTACCGGTAGCTCAAAGTAGAGCTGCTGTAAGCTCAAAGTAGAGCGGCTGTTAGCTCAAAGTAGAGCTGCTGTTAGCTCAACGTAGAGCTGCAATGCTAAATGGATGTAATATAGCGCAAGGCAGAGCCGAAGCAAATAGCTAGATAACATCAGTTGTGAGAGTGGACCCGATTAGTGGGTACGATAATTATAATGATGGTGTGAATAAGTTGGATAGGGAGGGATGGTGGGAAAAGAAACACTGCTGAAGCACGATCTGTTGTCTGGAAGAGCACAACAGGGCAAGCAAGATTTTCTTTTTCTTTTCAGCAAAACGGGCTGGTGCCATTTGTGATCACGCAGCAAAATAAAGCTCATGACGTCAGTCTTGAATGCAGTACAAAGCAATGCAGTGCAGTGTGTGCGCTGGTTCGGATTGTTGCTAACAAGTGCTAGCACAGCTAGTACCCCATTACAACATCTTGCTTATACCGTATTATCTCCACTACAAGCGCAGTCTCTTGTAGAAGCCCAATCTCTATTATAAGCGCACTCCAAGAGGGCTTCGAAGATATACAAGTGCAGTTCTTATTAATAAAGAGGACCAAAAGTTTACAAGTTATCCGTTTCGTCCAACGCTAACGGTTATAAGCAGAATACTGTTGAGTCAAAAATGCGCAACAATTAGCACAAAACTGATTGATGGGATCGTGACATTCAACGACCTGATGGTTAGCTGCATCACGTCTAGAATGCGCACACCAGCAGCCTTCCAACTTCGAAGACTCTAAGTTATGAAGTAACGTAAGAAAGGGGAAGGCGAGCGCACTCCAGATGAACACAAGCTAAACATCACAGCGAACTAAGAATGTTAGCTATGACAAGATGGTGATGAAGGACGAAGGACCACGGCACAGGACGGCCACAGCCTTCCAAGTTGGAAGGCTGCTGGTTTGCGCATTCTAGACGTGATGCAGCTAAGCATCAGGTCGTTGAATGTCATGATCCCATCAGTCAGTTTTGTGCTAATTGTTGCGCATTTTTGACTCAACAGTATTCTGCTTATAACCGTTAGTGTTGGACGAAACGGATAACTTGTAAACTTTTGGTCCTCTTTTTCATTTTTAATCCTTGGCTCTCCATCCGAATTTAATATTATTATTATCATGCTTGTTCGGGTTGACATCACCAAGCAAGCTTGGCTAGCCTTCGCATAAGCCAAGTGAACAAAAGAAAAGAGTAATGAGCAAAGCCAATGAGGAGCACACATGCATGCAACTCAGGACTGGTTGCGAAAAATATAATCTCAGGGCTGAGAATGGAAATAATACGGTAACAAGACAAGATGGAGCAATAACATGTAATGCTCGATTAGAATATCTATCTGTGTAACAATACAGGCAGTTCTAAGCCATCCGGCATTATCGATAATTTTCACGAAACGAAAAAAAGGTTTAGTTAGGACCCTCCCCCACCCACCCACCCCAGAAAGAAAAATAGATTGTCTTGACTGCGAGAATGCCTTGATGTCTCACATATCAGTATTCTTTTCAAAACGAAACTATCCTTGACCCGCACACCCATAAATGAAACCTTTTTTTCTTTTCGTGTAAAAATTGATAATTATGGATAGCCCCTTGCACAATACTCAACTGCTGACAATGGGAAAACTACATACCGTATATTCTCTATTATAAGCGCCGTGCTTATATTTTTTCAACACCCCTCTACCCTGTGCTTATATTGGAGACCGCGCTTATATTGGAGACTGTGCTTTTATTTTTTCAACCAATACATCCATACAGAACAAGAAGAAATACATGCTAGATATCATGCATGCAGCATTGATTCCACCAAGACCGTGCTAATAATAGAGACTGTGCTTATAATGTTTCGAAAGGTGCTCACAGTGTGCTAGTATTAGAGACTGTGCTAGTAATGGAGACCTGTGCTTATAATAGAGAATATACGGTAGCAAACTTACACCGGTCACAGGAGTCCCCTTTGAAGTCCCCGTTGCATGAGCACTTCTGTGTACCGGTCTGGATCGTGCCAAACACGCATGAATCTGCAGGTACAGACAGGAGATGTGCACAGGGTAGAGGAGACGGTTTCAAATAGGAACAGTTTGACAGCAAAATTGTGTAGACCGACCCAAACCGATCGTCAGCGTGGATTGTTCACTCGAAATATGTTTGTGGAAGGAAACTGACATGTTGAAGTTTGCTCTGAGGCCAGAGTCGATCAAACTGAGCCATTCTTTTGTGTTGGCCCGTTGCCTCCAAGTTGCCCAATTTTCGTTTGAAACCAGAGGTGGCTCCAAACCGGGAAACTTTTAGTGTGCACGTCAAATTTACTCTGAGTTCTGAAAGTAGGCAAATGCTATTGCTCCACGATGGCCAGTACAGAGCAACCATAAGCCTTGTTTGTGCTTCCATTAGTTGTCATTGGACGGTGCTTTATTGGCGAGAGGCTGTTTACCTGCGACAAGAAGTTGAAATTCGAAAGACGTAAAACTCAAGTCGCAGTGCGAAGCAACACGTCAAAAACTCACCTGCTTGGTATGGCGCTTCTGGTCATCGCAGAGCCATAACATTTTGGCTTGGAGTAAAACATATCGTATTCACACTGTGACATATGAGCCAGGGACTCCAGAAACCACCATATTGCACTTTTTGGCGAAATTTTTTTCTTTCAAAATGTTGGTATGGTATGGTAATGTGCTCAAACAAAATTTCAAGTTGATCTGCGATGGTAAAATGTGCCTAACCACCTATTTAATAATGGCATGTCAATTGAGCGATGTAAAGCAAATTTATGTACACAGTTTGTAATGTTCTTTGTATATCTTCATTCTTGCTAGTTAGGCAGCCAAGGAAGCTGACTTGACGTTGGATTTTTATTTTATCGCCATGTTCGCAAATGTAAAAATTGTTCCTGGACCCAATTGGCCAACAGATATCCACAAGATGCTTTTTTTATACTTTCATTGAAATCAGTGATATTCTTCCTTTCAAAATTTAGGGTACCCTGTAAAAAAGGCCTTAGGCCTGTGGGGATTGCCCTATCAAAAATTTGATAATAATAATAATAAAAAAGCCCTACTTTTCTGTCTCAAAAAGTGAGATTTGGATCAGCAGCTATTTAATTTCGGCTATATTCGGCACCGACCCAAAACGCCTAAATTAAAACGCCGATGACATTTTTCACAGCATCTAGCTATATCTGTCGCACTATACCATGCCCTCTACCCCACGCCGAAAATAAATCGCCGCCGAAATGTCAAAAATCGTGAAGTGCCGAAATTTTGCAGCGTCGAAATTTTGTGTATTTACAGTGGGTATTAGGGAGGTTCCGCATAACGTAATTACGTTAGTAAAAAACGTAGTCGATCTACGGAAAGTCTTACGTAAACTGCATGCGCATCTGTGTTCCGCCATACGAAGTTTTCAAATCACGTAGCTGCCCTTGGCAACTCCGAACGCGGCAGTGTACCACCAGATCGACCTGGGAAGAAAGTCATAAATTTGTACCCCAATCCACTTACGGACCAGCTACGTTATCAGAGCCCTATCTACGTACTCTCCGTAGACAACTTTCCGTAAGTGGAGTGCAAACTCGCGAATTCACGGGTTTTCCCGCCCACTAACGTAAAGTTGCTCAACTTTACGTAGTGCGGAACCTCTCTATTAAAGGCCATGGTAAAAATAAAGTTGATTCTCAGGTCATCAGCCTGTAAAAATCGGTGCGAGCGAGCGATTATTTATTTTATTTCCCACACTTTTTTATTTCCAAAGATAGAGTCACACATGGTCACATTTTTTTTTTACTAGAGCCACGTAAACCCGTCATGTGTGAGCCATGAATAAGGGGAGTGGTGGCCTGGTCTGGGATGCTCTGCCGACCTTGGGTCTCGGCTTCATCACAACCAGGCACGCCAATAGAAGAGAGAGAGAGAAAGAGAGAGAGAGAGAGAGAGAGAGAGAGAGAGAGAGAGAGAAAGAGAGAGAGAGAAAGAGAGAGAGAGAGAAAGAGAGAGAGAGAGTGAGCGGGGAGGGTTGGGGAGCAAGAGAGGGGGAGAGAACTAAATATAGTATAATTATATAATGCGTAAGGGGTGCACATTCAGATCCAGAAAAACGGGCAAGCAGGGCACGAGGCGTATGGCAATATGCAGCAGTGTGTAGGCAGATGTGCATACATATTACAGAGTGTCAGTGGCCCAGTTCCCATGTTCATATATTCAGGCCAGGGAGTGGAAAAATACCGGTATTTTATTACTCCCTGATTCATGCCTTTCGCATTGACCGTTTCATGCGCGCATATGCACGCATAGAAATTTTTAAAAAATCGAAATCGGTGCGCGCGTATTTGAGAATCAAAGACAATTTTTACCATGGCCTTATCACATAATTTACATTTGCGCTAAACAACCTGCCGGAGCATGGTAATATGCCGTTTCTCTACTGTAATCACCGAAATTAATAACTTAGGGGCCATCCGGCATTATCGATAATATCGAGAGTCCATAACCCCCAGAGTGTGCAACGCGCGATAAAGTCTTGTTACGACTCGTTTTCAACATTAAGTCATTTTCATGTACATTTTCATGTTGCGAATGTCGCGGCCTGCAAGCGCAGCTTGATGAAAGCTTGATGAAAATGACGTAATGTTGAAAACGATTCGTGACAGACATTTATGTGACGTTGCACACTCTGGCGGTTATGGACTCTTGATAATATTCACGAAACGAAAAAGGTTGGTTGGGTTGGGATGGGACTCCCCCCCCCCCCCACCAGAACAAAAAATAGATTGACTTGACAACCAGAATGCATTGATGTCTCACATATCAATATTTTGCTAAACGAAACTCTCCTTCACCCACCCACTTCACCCACCCACCAACCTATAAACGGAACTTTTTCTCTTCATGTAAAATATCGATAAAATTAATATGGACAGCCCTTACATCGAAAATAACGTGTTATAATATAATATACAATGTACTGGGAAAGAGCTTCTCCCACAGTGGGGGCAGCGGGAGTTCTGTTGCGGATTTTTTGTTTCGCGCTCTTCACAATCACTGGGCATGCAGCTGGGCCTACGCAGACCTCAATGGAAGGTTGTGCAAACGTGCAGCTCGTAATTGTAGTCGTACCAGAAATGCCGGCTGGTTCAGTAGTAGCTACATGCAGAGAGCACTTCTGCTCAGTGGTCCTCAGCCTTGTAGCATGCTGTCAACCGATGGGTCCATTGTTATTAGGCATCATCTCCACTATAAATAAAGTATACAACAACAACTTACGGCTGTGGCACAATAGCCCCCTATATACCCATTCGCCATTTTGCGTACAATTGGCATATCCGGTCAGAAAATGTCCGCTGTCACATGTTGCCGAAATCTTCTCGGCAGCAAAGGACGCGTTCAGAAACCCGTTAGGAATTCTCACAGTCGGACAGTTTGGAATTGCTGTGCACAGGGACACACACACACACACACACACACACACACACACACACACACAGAACCTCACGTGCAAGACAAAACTACCCAAGGGCGTAGTGAGGCCTGGGCTTTCTTCAATTACATGTAGCTGACAATGCTCCTGTAGTGATTAGAGCAGTTTAAAGTAATGAGTTTAAAAGACAAGTCGTTCTTTGGACTTTCAAATTTGGATTTCACTGAGAATTTCAAAGTATTAGGAAATTAGAGGCCACATGCATCGTTCTCTAGACTGCGAGATAAATTTTAAAAATGAAATCGATATTTCGGCCTCAGGCCACCATCAAGATTGGGTAATTGCAGTGGAGTCGACTGCACCCCTGAAAGAGAATACAGCTGTCGAGCACTGTAGACGTCGGTATCTGTGCCACACCAGCATTGTTTTCTGCAACCAAAATGTCACCTCCCATCCACCCACACCCACACACCCACACCCACACACCCACACCCACACACCCACCCACACACACACCCACACACACACCCACCCACACCCACACACCCACACCCACACACACCCACACCCACACACACACCCACACACACACACACACCCACACACACACCCACACAAACTGTAGTTCATTTAAAAAACATTTAAAAAGATACTACAGTCGACTCCACTGTAACGAACTTGTACATAGCGAGTTTCGTGTTATAGCAAACCAGTTGCCATATACCTGTTTGAACCCATACAAAACTGACGCTTTATAGCAAACACTTTTTGTTTATTACAAACTATAACTTGTAGAGCCGCATGTATACCAAGTGCAATCACACTGTCATGGGCCACATGCCAGTCACGTCACGTTGCTTGTACGGGATGAGTGCCTTTGGCTTGTGAAAAACTTCGGCTAGAAGAAAATACTGTTCTGTACAATGGTGTTCGGTACATCAGGAGTATACTGTATGTCGCGTTTGGCCAAGAACTAGTCAAGGATTTGAGTTTTTTCCAGAGTTATTCTGCAATTCCCTATGGAATGCTCTTTCAATTCTGCTTCTAAAGTACATTTCTCCAAAAGGGCAAGCAGTAGCTAGAAGATGATTTCAGGCAAGTATTTCTCCGAAAGCTCGAGATAAGTAAGCACATTGCGCATTGCTGTGTGGGCTGTAGGCTGTACAAATTATGTTATTGCGCGATGTGGCTGATTGGGAAACACCGTATCAATCCAGGCCGTCTAACAGGAACAAAAACTTACATCGTTGGCAAAGCACATCGGGAGCATTTCCGGTCGAGAGACTCTTGCTGTCGCTGTTCGTTATCTCCGGTGTTTGGCCAGACGTCCATGCCTTTACACCGCTGTAGACACCAGTGGCGCTGGCTGCGCATTTAGCGACATCTGCCGATAGTAACTGCAGTCCGTTAGACTCGCACACCTGCTTGGCACTTGCATACGTATATCCTCCTTGCCCATAGAAACCCGTCACAACAAAATCACGTTGCTTTATTGTGCAGATATGACTTTCTGTTGGGACAAAATTAGCCAGCACAGGCACATAATGAGATTCAAAACAATAGAAAAGATGAAGGCATAATATTCATGCATACGGTATGCACTGATTGCATCATATTGAAAACACAAATCCAACATATATCTGTGCATATCATGGAGTTCACTTGGCTCGGCCCTCGCCACAACTGTACACTAATCTTTGGAAAGAGCTAACTGTTCTCTATGATGTGTGAGGCATTTTCTATTGCAGAATAGGAGCTAACGGCTCTTGTTGACGTCACTTCTGTCATTTCATTGTATCGTATTACTCTTCAGACATCAATCCTGAATGACATAAGCGAAAGTGGCACCCCGCCACCTTCGCGGACATGCTTTTAATAATAATAAGAAGAAGAATAGGAAAAGCCATTACATTTACTTACTGAGCATACAGAATGTAATGCGAGCATTGGAAGGGTTTTCAAACCAAGTGGAGCTGGCGTTTCTCATGTGCACACCGCCTTCAGGAGAGAATCTTTCCAGCAGCGGTTGGCTAGCATTAGAGCCAATCATCTGCATGAACAGCTTGGTGCACGGGCGAAACTCCCTGGACACCAGCGTCCATTTTCCGCTATTTCCATCGAGTGCTTCGCAGCCAGCAATTGCTTGCTCCCGATTGAGCTCGCTCGTGGACAGGAATCGCAGTTTTTTTCCACGGCATTCAACTGCAACAGAAGGGTTCAGACAGACCATCAATGCTAGCAAACTGTATAATCTACGCATGCCATCATGACTGATTCTTTCACAGGTCAAAATTTGAGTACAGTGCATAAACTTCAGTGTAGCGGACCCCCAAAGGGGCCGTGAAGTCTGTACTTTTAATAGCCGAGGTACCATACATGTGTATTCAAGGTCAAAATAATGGTGTCCATTCATTGGAAACTGGCACCCTAACTTTTGGTGTCTCCCGCATATACCGGTAGTTGTAGATATTGTGAAAACAACAGTACATCCTGCATTGTGTGACCCGTGTAATTATTCCTTGCCACATTTGAGGCCAGAAAAGTCCGAGAACAGGGAAAAAGAAATTCAGCCAGGTTTTTCAAAATTAGGACAGGTATGCCATGGCAAAATTTATGGAGAAGCACATCCCAAAACCAGATTTTTGAGGTTTAAAGTGGGTTTTTTGATCCTCAATTCGGCCCAAACCGGACTTTCAAAAGCCAGCGGGATTGTTTCCGATGAAAGGACTGTACAGTCAGACCTCGCTTAACCGCACACATCTGTTTTCCACAAATATATCCGGATAGGAGAGGGAACCGGATAACTGAACACACAAACTGTATATGCATATGGCATGTCAAAAGCAGTAACATCGTACATACATGTAGACGGGTCCTATGCAGTACAACTAGCGTGCACAGTATGTAAAACAAGCCAGAAAAATGACAAGTGCATGCAAATGAGTGTTGCCCGCATGTACCCAGCAGGTCAAGGATCTCATTTGCTTGTACAACTCCCTGATTCTAGCCTCTGCAAGCCACATGCAACCGGACACGACGAAGCTTTTTGTACACATTTTAACCAGTTTGTACACAAAATCATGCAACGGTATGCGGATCACGAGGTCCGGGTATTTTGTATGCATAACATACCGGTGTGCTGCACATCGGTAACCAGCGATTTTCTCCCGGATGGCGAGGGATCCGGATAAACGAGGACCGGATAAGCGGTGTCTGGCTGTAGTGCGATGAGTAGAGTAGAGTCAGTCTACCGATAGAGGTAGAAGGTAGAGGTAAGTGCACGGACGCTGTCCTACTGGATTTAGTAGTTTCCACAATGTGAGCGTGAACATGTTTTCTTCTCTATGAAGCTGTGTACAACTCCTTGATCATGCTGAAACTCCCGTACCTCTACAAAGGGTTGGTTCACATAAGCAAAATCGGCACCGCAAGACATCGCAAGACATCGGCGGTGAGCCAGCTCCCGATCCATTGCGCATACAGTTCGAGTTGCTGATCTACTACAAAGTAGTACAGAATGTGCCCAAATGCTACGACAGGTTTGCCAATTGAAGCTTGCATTCTTTGTTTCTTCAGTAGTTCAAGGTCTTTCGGTGATGGCCACTTGATGCTACCTTTTACTGGAGATCATGAAACTACTTCTACACATTTTATTGCAGTCTTGTAAGCGATTGCGTCGAAATTATGCTTGCAAACGTTGATGAAGTCACAAGAACTTGCGAATGTATCCATCATATTTTTTATTCGTTCCAATTGTATTTGTCTCATAAGTTGCACAGCAGTCAAGCAGATCATCGGAGAAGGACGGGTTGGTATGCTGACTTATTTGCCACCTTGAAGAGACTACAAGAATGGCGAACGGACCTCCTCTTTAGTTTTTTTTTCACGGTTCGCGTGAGACTCGGCTGGAAACCGAGTTTTCCGCATCCGTAGGAACGCCACCACCCTTCAAAGATGCAGCTCCTAAATCGGTGGGAGGTGAGTAGATCAGCTCACCAGCAAGTGGTCAAAGACCGAAAATCCCATTCACTGCATCATGTTCTCCTCGTGCCAGGCTCTCTAGCTTCAATTCAGGAAAATTTAGGACAAGTATTGGTTTGAAAATTGACAAAGTCTGGCTCCCGGCAGCCGGCGATCACACGGTTCACAAACCGCTTTTGGTCAAAACTCTACGGGATCGGCGCCAGGGCAGATCGCAAGAGTTGAGCACTGTCCAACTTTGCCGGCGGTCCTTTGCCATATTTTACCATATGATTTTGTTACGACTGCACTGGTTCACAGAATCGCAATGCGCCGGGAGAGGTTGCAAGAGGCCCAATCTCGATGACTCCCGGCGCGTACCGGCGATATGTGAACCAACCCTAACTTCTACCGACCTCTACCAGCTTCAAACCTGGTAGAGCCGGTAGAGAAAGATGGAATCTACTTTTTTGGGTAGAAAAAAAAGAAGGCATCTACCGAAATAAGTAGTTTTTATGCAAACCTGTAGATCAAAAATGGACAAGAGTGTGCAACTCTCGAGCTCCGCTAATTCACCAACGGCGGAATTTTTTATTATGTCCTTCTTCGGCAGAAGGATCAAGTGCGTGTGCTTTCCCGCGTTTGCTCGTAGATAATGGTGTCAGCTCATCGTGTTCAGGGCATGATGGATCGACTGTGCATTGTTCTGCTTTTCCTAATGTAGCTAGGATTCACTAATTGTCTGTGCTCTGATTTCCGGCAAACGATGGCGGCATCAGTGGTTCAAATCGTCCTACCTTCGGATGTGATGGAAACGTTTTGTCGTTTGCTGGAGGAGCATTGAGTCGCACGCTATTGCTGATATGCTCTTGGTGCTGGCACAGCTGCTAAAGATAGGCTTTGTGTGGACACTGAGTATGAATGATCGTGAGAATTTGGTGGAAAATTGCTCACTTAAAACTACAGTGTGCAACTCTTACAAGAAGCAAAGGATTTGCGAGAATTACAGTATGTAGTATTTTGGATTTTTGAAAATGTTATTCCTTCGGCAAAGTGACCGATTCTCTCTGGGTTTTCTTTGCTCAGCACACACAAACACACAAACACACACACACACACACACACACACACAAGTACACATATATACCCACCCACTTCCTCACTGCCATGACTGGTCATGTACACACGCGTATAGACACGTACACACACTAACATGTTATGCGCAGCTGAGAGAGAGAGAGAGAGAGAGAGAGAGAGAGAGAGAGAGAGAGAGAGAGAGAGAGAGAGAGAGAGAGAGAGAGACAGACAGAGAGAGAGAGACAGAGAGAGAGAGAGATTGAGAGAGAGAGAGATAGAGAGAGAGAAAAAAAAAGAGAGAGAGAGAGAGAGAGAGAGAGAGAGAGAGAGAGAGAGAGAGAGAGAGAGAGAGAGGGAGAGAGAGAGAGAGAGAGAGAGAGAGAGAGAGAGACAGAGAGAGAGAGAGAGAGAGAGAGAGAGAGAGAGAGAGAGAGAGAGAGAGAGAGAGAGAGAGAGAGAGAGAGAGAGAGAGAGAGAGAGAGAGAGAGAGAGAGAGAGAGAGAGAGAGAGAGAGAGAGAGAGAGAGAGAGAGGGAGACAAGGAGAGAGAAGAGAGAGAAAGAGAGAGAGACAGAGAGGGAGAGAGACAGAGATGGAGAGAGACAGAGATGGAGAGAGACAGAGAGAGAGAGAGAGAGAGAGAGAGAGAGAGAGAGAGAGAGAGAGAGAGAGAGAGAGAGAGAGAGAGAGAGAGAGAGAGAGAGAGAGAGAGAGAGAGAGAAGAGAGAGAGAGAGAGAGAGAGAGAGAGAGAGAGAGAGAGAGAGAGAGAAGGAGAGAGAGAGAGAGAGAGAGAGGAGGGGGAGAGAAACAAGACAAGGAAACTCACTGTGATCACAGATAACTCCGGAGTAATTCTTGTGGCACTCACACGCGCCCGTCGTGTCATTGGGGGTACCAGCCAAACATGTTCCTGAAGGAGATATGAAGAAGAAGAAGAAGAAGAAGAAGAAGAAGAAGAAGAAGAAGAAGAAGAAGAAGAAGAAGAAGAAGAAGAAGAAGAAGAAGAAGAAGAAGAAGAAGAAGAAGAAGAAGAAGAAGAAGAAGAAGAAGAAGAAGAAGAAGAAGAAGAAGAAGAAGAAGAAGAAGAAGAAGAAGAAGAAGAAGAAGAAGATATTCACACAAAAAAAAACAGTGGAAAATAAGCTTGATCCAGCATTATACAAATACAATAAACACCTTCAAGTTGAGAACAAAATATTACGACAGAGCTTTCGGCCATATTTTCAATTCATTGCATTCTCAACTCATCACAACCACACGCTGTTCAGCCGAACCATACAGACACCAGCAAGGACACTTCCGTTGAGAGATAATATTGCTCCACGCCTCTAGACAGCTGTTTCGCTCCCTGTCGGAGCTCATCAGTAGAGGATGATAATGAAATGGCGCAAGTGCGCGCTTTCCACATATATCAATGGCATATGCAAGCTGCTAAAAATGGTAAAGTGTGAGAACAGCGATAAATAATCATAGTACGCGCTCATTGGTGCTCACCACACAGGCGACGAAAATCTTACGCGGAATACTGATGCCAATGGAAAGTACATGTATGCTGTTTATTATTATGATGTTGCAATGTCCATGTATGCAGGCGAGGCGAGACTCACCGCCGAGATCCCCCAACGCGACAGGCTCGGTTGCTCGGTTGCCGTTCAGGATTCACACCGACCTGTCCGCCCGTCAACAGGATCGACAGCCGGAGGCCCCACTGATGCCGATGGCGATGCACACCAGGAAATTTGTAGTCGTGAGTGTGATACTAACAGGTCTAGTACACCAACTACTGCCAAAGCGAAACTTACGTTGCTTTTGGCAACGGCGGAAACGTAAGTTACGCTTTGGCGGAACCGCCAAAAAAGTGCATGTGTGACCACGCCCTTAACAACAAAGGCTTGTTTTTGTCCTTAGTACGATTACTATTTTGTCCTATCTCATATCTACAGCACACTTGCTGTCATCATCAATGTTTCCTGCAGGTAAGTAAAGTGTGTAGCTGGGGTGCTGCTACCATGGCAACTCCTGTGATCGCGTTAAGATTGCCACGGTGACTCATTGTGATTGCATTAATTCTCCGCATCTCAATTTTCTGGCAAAACAGAGAGGGAGTTAACCATTTTCATGGTTGCTTTCTCTTCACTTACATAAAGGCAGAAGAAAAGTTTAAGCTAGCCAGTTTAGAAAAAGAGAGTATCTTCATGCTCGCTTGAGACCAAGTCAGACTGAGCTCTAAATCCATCGCGCAGACAGCACTTACGGCTGAGACACAATGGCTTATCAGGCAACACCCATCCTTCACGCTCCTTACAGCTGGCATGGCCAACTGTAAAGTACGCATCATGACAATTTGCCTCAATCTGGTGGGAAAACGATGTGATACTCAGATTTCCATTGGCAATTTGAAGTTGTGGACAATAGTTCACACCTGCAGATAGTGACATGGAAACAAGCAGAATAAACTCGGATGTTGAGCCAATAATAAATGTAGAAAGGAAAGAACATAATATTATGGATACGAGTTGAGAGTAACTGTCCACCACTGTGACTAGATGCTATATACAGCCAGAAAGTGCAACAACTAGGCACAACACTGAGAGAATAAGGAGACATTCAACGACCTGATACCTAACTTCTTTTTTTTCCTTCTTATTTACTAGGGAATTCCCAACAGGCGTCATCGCCTTCTTACAGGGAACCCTAAGATCGAAATTCAGCAGGTGAATTAGAAAGGCGGTAAGCAGGTGGCAGTGCATTCCACCGGTCAGCGCCAACGTAAGAAATTGCACTGGAACCATAGCGTGTGCTAGCAGGGGGTAAAACAAGCACGGCAGACACCTGACCACGGGTAATGGCAGCAGTGTGAGCACCGTGAGCACGAAGAGTAAAGCGGTCTTGTAGGAGAGAGCAAGCAAGGCCATTCAGGCTGCGATACACAAATACATAGGTCTTGAAATTGAGGCGTTGTTCAACGGTGTATACATTGGTGTTACTGTAGAGAAGGGCAGTTGGGGTCATTATATCCAAGGAAAAAATAATCATTAGCGCTAAGCGGCTGGCAGCAAGAATTTTGTTATAAAGAGCTTGCAACAAACAGTGTACATATGCGTGCTGCCATACTCAAGAGTAGACTGAATTATAGAGAGGTAGAGCAGTCGCTTGCCAAAGATACTGATATTCTGTTTTGCATGCACAAAGGCTCCGACTTTCTTGTTAACAGATGTACACACCGCTGCTACAGTAAAACCTGTGACTACCGACCACCCCTTGGTGCCAGCAAAAGCGGTCTTTAGTAGCAGGTGGTCTTTAGTTAGAGGTTTGCACCTTGCGACCATAAGTATATGATATGCATATCAAAATGCAGCTAATACAATTCCCCAGGACTTGCGCAATGCCATTCTTATTTCAGGTCAAACAACACTTGGAGAGAAAGACGGAGAGATGGAGAGAGACAAAAGAGAGAGAAGATTAAATTTGTTGCAGACATCAAATTCAGCTGCTACTTCTGAAGCTAGGAGTCGAACGTTCCCTGTGGAAGTTTCGTTTTGGGCTGGGCTTCAAATTTGTTCAAAATTTGTTCATCCGATCAATCGTACTGACTATCCTTGTTGTGATTTCTCGATTGTTCGAACGTGATCCTTCAGCATCAGGACCTTGCGGTGCTGCTTTGTTTCTGGATTCTTTGACGCCATCGTCGATTCATTTGTATGACTAGGGTGACAGAGCCGCTCAGTCTTCGTGTGTCCTCCGAGTAGTAACATCGAGCAGAGAGCGCTTCTGCTGAGCTCTCCAAGACGTTTCCTATCATGTCTATTCTTGACAGCGCTTGAAATTCTGACAGGTGTAGTGCAGTCCACATCGACTCCACAGTCAAAATGGCCTGCGTTCATTTGTTCAGCTGTAGTACCGAAAGATTCCTTTCAGGACCATGGAAAATCAGCAAAATTTCAAGAAGGAGCTTCGAGCAACATTTCATTTCCTACATCGCGGTCGCTAGTTACGGGTCAAAAATCGTCTTTGGGACAAGAAAAGGCGGTCGCTGGTCGCGTTCAGCAGGTAGTCGCTAGTCACAGTGCATTTTGAATGTGAGACCGTCCGTGCCTGGCCAAGTGGTCTGTAGTACCAGGCTGGTCGCTAGTCACGGTGGTCTTTAGTTACAGGTTTTACTGTACTTGGTCTAAAAAGGATAGATGCTCATCAACTAATATTCCTTAATAGCGGGCGGAAGCAGAGGGGGCAATGGGGGTGTCACGACAGAGAATTGCTGTACCAGGTGGCAGCTCTTTACCAGGGGGGGCGAAGTATTAAAACCTGGGTCTTAGATGGATTCAATAAAAGTCTTTTCCTTTCAAGATAGCCATCGAGAGCAGCCAGGTCCTCACTCAGTCGAGTAGTTACTGTTTGACACGAATGGCTACGGATATGGAAGGTTACATCATCTGCGAAGAGTTTGTTGGATGAATGCCTGAAGCATTGTGGTGCATCGCAGATGTATATACAAAAGAGCAGTGGCCCAAGGACAGAGCCTTGAGGGACGCCTATTGTGCATGGAAGGGCATCACCGAGTGCCTGTCCTACTCAAACTCTCTGAACGCGGTTTGTTAGGTAGCTTGCAAACCATTCAAGGGCGGTGCCAGCTATCCCCACATTCTGCAGTTCATTGATTAGGCCTTGGTGGTTCACTCTGTCAAATGCTTTGCTCATGTCGGCAAATACTACACCACAGAACTCATTCTCATCAAGAGCCTTCAGCCATTCATCAACAACTAGGGCCAAGCAGTCCTCACAGGAGCTGTTGGCACGATAAACACATCGTACTCTTACGTCGTGTCCATGTATTCTTTTTCCTTTCTGCAAACAGGACTATTAACTTCGTAAGAAGAAATGAGGACCAAGGAACTACACGTTGCGCTATAATGTCCACTAACACCACCAGCTGTCAGCTCATGCGATAGCACATCTTCGATCTCAGTAAAGCCTTTGATCATGTATGGCATCAAGGCTTGCTGAAAAAGCTGAGCCACTACGGTGTCGACGGCAAGGCTCACAAGTGGCTCGAAGCCTACTTGACAGGACGCAGACAGTGTGTGCAGGTTGAAGGCACAACATCCGCCTTCATACCAATACCAGCAGGAGTGCCCCAGGGCTCTGTCCTGGGACCACTTCTGTTCCTGGCGTACACCATTGACCTGCCCACTGCCTGTGAAAATGCTACAACCTCGTGTAGCCAGTTCGCGGACGACACCGCACTAATTGCCATTGCAGGCAGCTACATTGTGTGTGAGGCTGCGCTACAAAGAAGCGTCGATGCCGCAGCCGAACGGCTAGGGCGCTGGCACCTGCTAGTCAATAAAACGAAACCGTCATCCTTCCGTTCTACCATGCTAACCGACCCCCACCACGACTGCCCGAAATAAAACTTGGGCAAACCCTACTAGAAACAGTAACACAACATCGTCACCTCGGCATCATCTTTCAGCATGACCTAAGATGGTCAGCCCACCTTGACTTTGTGCTGAAGAAAGCCGTAAAATCTTTTAATATTCTCTTTAGGCTCAAATCAACTCCACACACTAAATCACTCTCTCTCATTTACAAAACATATATCCTGCCTATAATTGAATATGCATGCATTGCTGTCACCCCGCTCTCAATCGCAGCCCTTGACCGTCTTGAGCGAATCCAGCGCAAGGCGACCAGAATCTGCCTCCGTCTCCCCCTCTACACTCCTCTGAATCATTCAACACTGCTCCATCGGCTCAAATGGCTGACAATGTTCTCTCGCCCCAAAGTGAAGCTCACCCTTCTTGCCCACTCCATAAAATACCAATATGCCCCACAACACATACGCATGCTCAACACCCCCGCTCAAGTTACGGCCCAGTACAGCCTTCGACATGCACGCCCTTGGAACCTCCCACCCTCCAGAACCGATCGCTGTAAAGACTCCCCACTGTACAAGTCCCTAGAATACTACAATGCCCTCCCTGCTAGCATTCGTGACGTCTCCTCCCGACCTGCTTTCAAACAAGAAATCTGCTCACTGCTGATGAACTCAATCTGCTCCTGCAGCGCTCACCCTCTCCCATACTTGTAAATTCAAAGTGATGTAAATCACTTTCCAACTGCTTAACCCACAATCTCACCTTCTCATAAATTTATCTCTTATTGGCGATGGTGCCATCGTGAGAATAAAGAATTCAAAACATTGCACTTCACTGACCAACGGTACTGACGTTCTACACCTAACTGGCAATCAGCTCTAACACATCTTGGAGGCGCACTCCAGCAGTCTTTCAGCGTGAAAATGTGGCGCCCCGACCCATTTGTCGATTTTTGTGTTTTTTCAGGGAATGGTGTAAACACAGAAATGCAGTCACTAACAGAGGGTTCATAAAAGGCTCACTTGTCCGGGGTGAGGTGGGGTGGGGGGTCCAGCCCCGTACATTGCATTTTTGCATGGCAAGACAATTTTGAAAAATGGAAAAAATGCATGACGAGGTCCATAACCACAAGGGTGTGAAACCCTGCAAATGGGAATCCGCGCGGCGGAATTCCAACATTACGTCAAACATGATGTACACGTTCATTGCGCTTGTACTACTCCCTGGTTCCAAGCACCGTGGAATGCGGAGTTTTGTCATCTGTGGCTCGGCGGCATGACCTAATGTTGGAATTACACCGCACAGTGGGCCTAAAGCAGCCAGGCCCCAGTTGCACACTCTTGGGGTTATGGACTCTTGATGTTATTGTTCAGTGGTTGGGGGGGGGGGGGGCACAGACCATGTGACTAGTAATGCCAGGCATGGCATACTATCCCGTACATGCCACGCATCGCACCTGAATACCGTACCGTACACCTAAACACACCAGTTGGCTCTCATCACTGGGGTTACTTCAGTTCGAATAACAAGCATGATGGCCTAGTTCTTGCAAACTTGCAGGTCACTGCAAATCCTAGATACTGGTAGTTAAGATATCCGGCCTGGTGGCACCCGCACAGACTTACGTCGCTGGCACAACACGTCGGGAGCTGTTATTAACAGGTTGGTCCGAGTAGTGTAGGTAATCTTCCTTGGTACAGTGTCCACCCACGCCCATATATCACGATAGGCGCCGCGATAGATTGCACACTCCACTACGCCGGGTGTCAACACCTCCATCTGCTGGCTCCGGCAGAAGAATTGAGAGTTGTAAAAATTGTACCGTATCCCGTCAAACGCGCGAATCACAAGAAATTCACCGCCGGGCGCGCGGCAGTAGAGATTTTCTGTCACGAGAGGATCAGTCATAAGAGCAGAAACAGAACATGTCATGCTTCCGTTGAATTCACTTCCTCAAAAACGTGAGTTGCAATGCAAAAGAGAACACAGCATTGCCTGTATGGAAGACTGTATTGCCTGTCTGGAAGACTACTGCAAAATCAGACCCTCGAGTACTGCTATGTGTTTTACCATGTTGAGGCCAAGTAAAACATTTGATTTTTATCGTCTGCGTCTGCCCCAATTTTTGGCCCGCCCGGCCTCAGTTTTTTTTTGTACACTGTTTGTGTACGAATCTAGGGGCGTGCTTGACTTTTTTGGGTGGGCACACTTTTCAAGCATGCGCTGCTCACTGCAACACGCGTACATGCACTGCATGCGTTTTTCACCTCTACGTTCACGGACGTAAGAATTTTACGTGAAACTTCACCTCTCTAATACCATGGAAAATCCTGAAAAAATGTCCTGCGCACGACTTTCAGCCGTGGCTGACTCTCAGACGTTTTTTCGGTTTGTTTCAGCCACAGCTTGTACAAGTGGCCAGAAGCCGAAAACAAAATCAGTTCTTATTATTTTAAATGAGCTTGAAAGTTGGAACACACCAATTATACCGCTTGTATGTCTTTATTCTATGCATTTTCTTATACAATTTCCTGCATCTTTCTGTGAGAACCGGACCTAAGGGACGGTGAGAAGGCAATCATGCCTGTGCAATTGGTGAAGTAAAATAAGTCAACAATTAGTGCTGAAACGAATATATCGATAACTCGTTACTTAGTCGATAAGAAATTGATCGAGCGGTTATTTCGATTTTATCGGCTAAACGGGTAGAATGGTACTTACGCTCGGTACGGGATTTCCCCCCTTTTGGGGGTCACACAAAGTGTGCATGCACCGAAAGTGTTGCGAGCATGACATGAATATGTACATGACTGTACACTTGCAACATCGATGTATGTGTAAAAGTACAAGCGCGATCTGAGAAAATCGACGCGATCACCGTCGCCCTCTTTTGAGCTGACGACATTTCCTACATACGGCATGTAGGACTGCCAGGCTCAGTATGTGTCTACACTAGCTGCATGCAAGGGGCTGGAGTTCCCTCCACATGCGAGTAGTCTTGAGCTAAAGACAGTAGTGTTGTACCTGCGCCTGCACGTGTTATCTCTTCGTCGTAGCTGCTGCTGTATTTGTGTCTTTGTGTGTACATGTGGCTGCACGTGTTGTCTCTTCGTCGTAGCTGCTGCTGTATTTGTGTCTGTGCTGCTGACCCGTACATGCTGCTGCGCTGCTTTGTTGCTGACACGTGCACCTTTTTGTGCTGAGTACACCACCTTTTGTGCTGACGAGGGCACCAATTTCTGATATCATGTTTTCCTTTTGCCATGTCGTCGTCAGTTGTCCGACGGTCGTCGTCAGTTGTCAGACGTTCGTTGTCAGAGTCAGTTGTCCGACGTTCGTCGTCAGTTGTTAGACATTCGTTGTCAGTGTTAGTTCTCCATTATGAGTTCTTCCGTCGCCGCTTGAAGTAAACTATGAAAACTCTCTCTCTAGCTCTAGAGAAAAACCACTGACTACAGTCCATTTCAAAACTATAGACGCGTACCTAGGCAAAAACCGTTATGCCAGCATCTATACCACATAAAATCTGTGATCACTTTGTGCATAAATTTTTCCAAATTGGGCGTCTGTTATCCAATCCTTTAGAAACTATATGAGAGTAATTGTGGAGCGATCCTGAGCAATATTCCGAAAACTATTCTCAAAAAGTTCCAGCCAAATTTGAAATATTTCAAAAACCCTACGCGTCTATAGTTTTGAAATGCACTGTAGTTCGTTTTGAGGTGTGGCGTGGCGAGGATAGAAGAGGCAGTTCGTTCTCAACCTTCCGAGACGACATTTGGCGCCCAACTAATCGAACCCACGACCCTGAAGCTCGTCGCTCTCCGGCTGGTGTTTTTCGTTTTCCTCTTCGCGTTCTCGCCATGGCTCCGCTTTGCTGCGTCTGTTCAACCCTTTCCAAGATCCTCGGAGCTCCTACTCAGGTGAGCATGCCTTTGTAATTGTCTGCTCTGCGTAATGTGTTGCCGTACCTTGTATTCGATTTCGAATTTTCAAATAATTGTTTTGCGTCGGGTGACTCGGGTACGCGGGTCCCGGCAGGAATTCCGTGGAACCTTGTTCTCTTGTGTTCGAGTGTGTACTCGTAGTGTAGTCTTGCATGCTCGTTGGAAGTTCGCCCCGTTGTGTTAGTTGTGTCGCTCTGACTACCCTGTACTGTACTGTTGTGTATGAAAATTTCAAACTTCTGTTCGTGCGCTACTCGTTCGAATCTGGAACTTGTGTTTGCATGTTCGTCGTGCATTCAGCATGGGTAGCTTTGATCTCGTCTTGTGTTGTGCACTTGTGCTTGTCACGGAGTTGCCGTCGGACTGCTCCGATAGTGTGACTGTGTCGCGTGATTTGTTCAGATGTCCACCTGAACGTTCTCGAGGTGCTGCCTCGTATGTAGTCGATCCATATTGTTTTGTTTCGTGTTTTTACCGTTTTAGTAGTAGTTTCTCCATGTTCTGTGTACATGGTGTAGAGCGTTGTCAGGCTCGGTCATGCACTGTCAACAAAGTAGGAAAGCTGTTGGCTTCCGGTTTGGTGGGAGGTGTGAACTTCATGTAGGATTCTCGTTCTTGATCCAGGTTGAATTTTTTTTGTGAGCGTGTGGTTTTGTAATAATTGTGTTTCGGCATGTGGGTTTCTCTAGTTCGTCTGGGTGGGCGTCTGATCATGGTGAGCCACGGTCTGCTTGGTGGTCTGCAGGAATCCTGCGTTTTTTTGTATCGGTTTGCCTTGCGGGTGTTATGGTTTCCGGGTGTTGCTGGTTGGCCCTTGTGCGTCGCAATCGGTCCCTGACAGTTTCTTTTCTTCAGTTTTTTGGTTTTGCGAGCGGATGTACTATAAGTTCCGTGTTTTTTCAGGTTCAATCCCTGCGGTTTTTTCAGGTTCAATCCCTGCGGTTTTTTCAGGTTCAATTCCTGCGGTTTTTTCAGGTTAGAGACCTGTGGTTATTCAGGGTAGCGCCCTGTGGTTTTTCTTCATTATCTTTTGCGTATTGGTAACCGATTTGTTTGTGTGTCCTCAATGGTGTCCTCACTGATTAATTGCTCCTGTTTCAATCGACGTGTTCTTCCTGGCTGTTCTTCCCTTCCTTCGTGTGCTTTTCTGATTTTTGGTGATGGCTGAGATGTTTGCGTCAGTCCTTCTCTCTTTCTGTGTGTGTCCTGTGATTCTCGGAGTTTCTGTAGCGCCTTCGGTTTTCGGACAGCCGGCCAGTGTGCATCCTGCTGCCCCAGTCTTCTCGGTCGGTGCGTACTGTCGGTCTCGCCGCTCCTGGAAGCGTCGCTGGGTCCGTCGGCATAACCTGTTTTCTCATGCATTTGTACTTTTGTTTTGTCATGACTGGTGGATGGGTGGCGTACTAGGTTGGTGCTGTTCTAAGAATAAAAGATCCAAAGGGACAAACACAGGTCGAACAGCTCGCCAGCCGGGGTCCTCTGCAAAAATCTGTTGCTTGCAGGTTCCGTTGATGGTGCACAGTTTTGCGGGGCTCCCGACTGGTGTTAACCCTCCTGGCCTACTCGTCATGCGTTCAACAGTTGTGGCCCACCTCTTTTGTGTTTTATTGTCGCCTGTTTATGTTGCTTCATATTTCATTTCCCCTGTCTTTCTGTCTTCTTCTCCGGTCTGTCTTCTTCCGTTTTTTATACACTTCACTTTTGCTTCCATCCACAGGAGTGGATGTCTTTTTTTGGTAGGGGATAGTGTTGTACCTGCGCCTGCACGTGTTATCTCTTCGTCGTAGCTGCTGCTGTATTTGTGTCTTTGTGTGTACATGTGGCTGCACGTGTTGTCTCTTCGTCGTAGCTGCTGCTGTATTTGTGTCTGTGCTGCTGACCCGTACATGCTGCTGCGCTGCTTTGTTGCTGACACGTGCACCTTTTTGTGCTGAGTACACCACCTTTTGTGCTGACGAGGGCACCAATTTCTGATATCATGTTTTCCTTTTGCCATGTCGTCGTCAGTTGTCCGACGGTCGTCGTCAGTTGTCAGACGTTCGTTGTCAGAGTCAGTTGTCCGACGTTCGTCGTCAGTTGTTAGACATTCGTTGTCAGTGTTAGTTCTCCATTATGAGTTCTTCCGTCGCCGCTTGAAGTAAACTATGAAAACTCTCTCTCTAGCTCTAGAGAAAAACCACTGACTAGTTCGTTTTGAGGTGTGGCGTGGCGAGGATAGAAGAGGCAGTTCGTTCTCAACCTTCCGAGACGACAGTAGAGTGGTCTTCAGTTTCGTGTTTTCCGTTCTGTCGACGATTCCTGAACCAGTTTGCTCGACGACGAGCTAGGCCTGGCGTCTGGGCCTATTTGGAGCATAGACCGGAAAAGCAACTAGTTGTTGGTGCGCCTCAAGTCATCCGTTGAAATCCGCCGATCTGCACCCCTGGCCAGCTTCTCTGACTTCACCGTCGGAGTCAGCGAAGTCAGAGGCGAAGGGCACCATCAGCTGTTGGGTTACAACCAGTGCGTCGCCTCTGTCTTGTCTGTATTCATCTGGTCAGTCCAAACAGCTGACGGACTTGTTGCGGGATCATCGGATCTATGCGCCCGCTTTCCGTCGTTGCCGATGTTGGACTCGAGAATTTTTTTGAAATTCACAGAATATACATTACATGTACTGATGTAGTTACTTGGTCCGACTTATTAAAATGTGCGCTTCACTTCAAAACTCAAGCATATGTACAAACGAGCACCTGTACTAAAAAATCAACCAAGAGACGGTAGATAGATAACTACTGTGTCGTTTCTTGGCCTGACCTTCTAGTTTTCATCGCTGCTGGTGTCTCAGGGCGCATCTGCAAGTGCGTCAACCTGCAAAACATCGACATTTTGTTCACCTCCTCCAAGCTACACTGCGCTTCTTTGATTTTTTCACTCCATAGGCACGATTTCCACGATCGACTTCGCCTCCTCCTCGTGCAATGCGACTACCAGAATGGTGGCTGTAGGTGTTTTCGCCTGAAGCTCCCACACCACCTTCAAATGAGGCGAACAAGTAAACCACCACGCATAAAAAATCACTTCTGACCACCGTGTACCGTGCGCGTACTGAGTCTGATCTGTGTCGACATATCATGCAGTCAGACCATGCGTGCTCTTCCCTGCCTGTTTTACGAATCTACTGGCCCCGGAGACTGGCGATCTTGTGACGCATCGCAATCGCGGCTCCGCTCACGGATCCGAGGACTCCGCACCATATCCGCCGGATAATCCACCCTTTCTGCGCTTCAGGTTGTCGCCTGAAAGTCGACCTCAAGGCCGGTTATTATTTCGGTCAACTTCTCAACGATCTCTTCTGTAATCTTGATTCATCGGTCGCCACATCGTGAACGACTGCGAGAGAGATCAGCAAACTGGACGGAGCGATGCTGGTGCTTTCTGCACGAGTTTCTGGATGACGCATTTGCTGAAATTTTGCCAAGGAGACAGGGATTGCAGCGATTTCAATCCGCCAGGAGGCACTCGAGAACGATCGCCCAGGAGGTTCTGGTACTCCGTGACAATCCCCCATCGCAGCGGGGTGTTGATTTCAGCACCAGGCCTTCTCTGTGTTGCGCGAGAAGCAACAGGAGTCCTCTGACGACAAAATTTGGACGCAAAATGCTCGAGTCGACTAGGATCCTGAGCCGCTGCCTCCTTTGGAGTTGGAGCCATTTCTTCTTCAACATCACAAAAATGACAACTGAATGATAGTGTTAGATAGCTGGAAAGTTTATTCCGTCCTGGGATTATTTGAATTTGTTTGGTTGATGTTCGAAGCGAAATGCACATTTTAATAAGTCGGACCAAAAAAATTCACGGTTCGCGTGAGACTCGGCCAAAGGCCCAGTTTTCCGCATCCGCAGGAACGCCACCACCTTCTTGGATCAAGGCGCAGATGGAGCTCCTAAGCGGTGGGCGGTGAATAGATCAGACCCACCACAAAGTGGTCAAAGACCGAAATCCCATTCACTGCATCCATGTTTCCCTCGTGCCAGGCCACGAGTCGAGACCAAGTACAATAATAATCGTTTAGCCAATAAGCCGATCGTTATGGTATCAGCTAAGCCACTAAGGAAAAAAAACGTAATCGTTTCTGCACTAAATTTGTACTGGTCAGTTCAGTTTTCATGAGCAGGCTGTGCCGGTCAGTATCCGTGAAATCTGTGTCTAAGGTCCATAGCGCAACTCTGCGTGACCATGGTGACCATGAGAGCATTTTCAAATACTAGTGCATGTGCCTATTGTGTTGTCGGTTCATGTTTGGATAATTAGAATGTCCGGTATTCCACCTGCACTACTAAATATAATATCAAAAAAGTTTTCTAGTTCTCTGGAGAAGTATCGTAAATATTTCTATCGTTATTAAATGTTATCAAATATACCACTCTTTGGTCTAGAAAGAATACTTTTTTGATATTACAATGAGAGTGAATAATCAACGGCTTGTCCACCAACTCTTTGACTTAATATAATGTTCTCTTGCTGTTGTTATTGTTCTCTTCAATTCTATGTATGCATGTGCACTTTCATTAAAAATATAAAAAACACTTGCCTGGATATACCCCGGTAAGTGTGTGACCCAATGATGTGTAGATTATGAATTGTCTGAGGATTGTCTTTGCTTTGCTGTGCGCATGAAACGCAGCATTACAACAATGGCCTGGCCGGTTGTTGTCTGTTCTCTTCTGCCTTTGTTGTTTTGCTCCGTCCTTGTGGTGTTGAGCACTCTGGTCAATCTTGGAATTATCCCTATTGTGCACATAAGGAGATCAAGTACTTACTGAGTATGCAGAGCGTGATGGTAGCAATTCCGGTCGGGTCAAAGCTGCCATTATTGTACAGGACACCACCTCCATACGAATTGACAAAGTCGGCCAGCACTGGACTCTCTGCTCCGAAGCCAAGCTTTTGCAGGAACACCTGTGCGCACGATTGAAATTCCCTGGGCATCAGGGTCCAAATCCCGCTATTGCCATCGAGTGCCTTGCAGGTGGCAATGGCTTGTATGTAGTTCACCTGTTTGCGCGATGGAGCTATTCGAAGCTGCTTTCCCCAGCATGTATCTATAGAAACAGACACACAAAGTATCGGACCGCTCTAGATTGGGGATAAAATCTAATTCAGGCAAATGAGCAACGAAAAACCTATTTTCGGGCCACGGCTATCCATAAAACAGACTTGGTCAGCCAAAAACTACATTTGGCTCTTATGATCATAGATTCTGAAGCCAGTATTGGTTTTGAAGAAGTGAGGCAGTGCATATTTGCATAAGGTCGTCCCTCTTCAACCCACCACTTTATAAACATCACCCTCTATAAACCAGTGTAATTTTCAGTAATCAAAATGTCCTCTTCATGCCCATTCCAGCAGTAAATTCGATAATCCAGCACCCTCCCAATCCAGCAGAATTTCCGAAGTACATGTACGAATGGTGCCGGATTATAAATGGACCAATGTGCAAGATAGACTCGGATGGAGAGCCAAGGGTTATATTTTTTTAAAAGTAAGGACCAAACCGTTACATGTTATCCGTAGATTGTGCCCAACACAACATCTTACAGTCCACTCATTGGAAACTGGCCCGCTGGCTTTTGAAAGTCGGATTTGGGCCGAATTGAGGATCAAAACCCACTTTAAATCTCAAAAATCTGGGTTTGGGATCTGCTTCTCCATACATGTTGCCATGGCATACCTGTCCTAATTTTGTAAAACCTGGCTGAATTTCTATTTCCCTGTTCTTGGACTTTTCTGGCCTCAAATGTGGCAAGGAGTAATTGCACGGGTCACACAATGCAGAATGTACTGTTGTTTTCACGATATCTACAACTATGTGACAGAGACACCAAAAAGTTAGGGCCGATTCCCACTACGGTACCGTGAGTGCCGTGCCGACGATTTGGGTAGGTCACGTGTACCCCACGGTACGAGCTTGAAGCTGAGAGTGATTTACACCTGCGCCCAATCATTCCGTGCATTCCGTCGGCAGGCCGGATCACCATTTTTATCAATTTCTGACTTTGGTCCTGAGGGAAAATAGCGGGGGAGATGACTGGAGAAAGCTCAAGAATCAACCAATCGAAAAGCCAAAAGCCAAGAAAAAACTTCGTACCACAAATACAAAAGAAAGAAAAAACTTCCTTTCAGGGAGTAGTAAAATACCTACTACTCACTGCATTCGACCTCACGGAATACCACGGCATGCCATTTCCACCCCCCCAGAGACCCTCGGCACCGGAATGTCCACGGCGCGGTACGGCAGGAGCCACGGAATGAACTCGCGCCAAAACTGCCCCTCACGTGAGCAAATCACCATGGGTACTCACGGCACGGCACTCACGGTACCGTAGTGGGAATCGGCCCTAAGGGTGCCAGTTTCCAATGAATGGACTGTAGGCCGCAACCACACTACGTGCAAAATCAAGTACACGTTTGCGTCCACACTGCCATTTCCTGTGCAAGGGATCAAGGGATCCTTGCGTTTTGTCCACGTTTCTGGGTCCCAGAAAATATGGAGGCTGGTTGGTGAGGAGCAGGTAGCCATCCATGTGGAATCAAACACATGGTTCCACAGTGTGGCTGATTCCGCAAGAGCCAGGTCCATACGAGGAACATTCGCTTTGTCTTTTGCCATCGAAGTAAGTCACTTTTCTTGTTCTCAGTGTTTTTTACGTTCAACGTTTCTGAGATTTTTGAATTATTCACTTTTCATTCTTTACTAGTTTATTTCTTCATGTTCACTGCCTCACTTGCCTTCTGATCTGGAGAATGTGACGGAGGTGACTGTTGGTTACTGCCTGGTATAACGGTTGTCGTGCTGTTGCTGTATTTCCGTCCTGCTCGCGACGTTGTAGATCACAAACAATTTGAAATCACATGAATTGTACTTACCGTCGTGTGTGCGGTATTAGGAAACACTGTGCAGATTAGATCGTCGCAATGTATCTATATGTGTGTCTGGTCATCCTGTGCCACGCAAGAACTCCAACCAGACGCATTCGTCCTCGGCCCTGTTGATCGATTGTCCACTCGTCTTTCCTTGAAGAACGATCGATCAAAAAAAATCGAGCTCGAGGACTTTTTGCAAAAAAACGGCTGAAAAAAGGAAGAAAAAAGGGTGCTCAGAATGAGATTCGAGTACACAACCGTGGTCTCAGCAGTTTATGTGGATGTCGCTCATAGATGCGCGATTTCGCGCAATGTTTATGTACAACATGCCGTAGTTTGAAAAAGAGTCCCGAGCGCCTTGACATACATATTCAAGGCCTAGGTCACCTCCTTCTCTCAGATGGTCCGCTCCAGGCTGCCATCTGGCCCTGCTTCGTCTTCTGGTAAGCTGCTCCAAGCTGCATGAGCTTCTCAGTTCGTGATCACCAGCGAAGTACAATGTAGTTGCGCCGCATGTCAGAAACTAACAACAGCAGGCAACAGCAGGCAACAGGAGTGCCCGGAAATTATGCTGAAAGCAAAGCCCGGGCAGATGACATCTATATTATTTCCTTTGTTCTCATTTTGTTCTTTAGTACAACGGTGATTCCTGAAGAGTGTTGTACGAAAACTTGTTCGAATCATCTTTTTTTCCATTGCCTTTTTCTTCTTACATGTATTTTTCCTTACCCTTTACATTGTTTTTGCATGGTCTCCATCGCTTACTTTGTTAATAAAGTAATCCAAATGTCGCTTCAGCTCGTCCTACTTATTGCCATATTAAAATTATTGTCTCCTCGTCGAATTTTTAAATTAGTATTATTATTTTTTTTTTTGAAAGGATTGAGAGAACTTTTTTAATTGTCCGCAAACTCCAACGCAGCCACTTACACATTTAGACTTCACTTCTCAACTCCAAAACGGTCTCTTCACTGCAATTCAAACCAAAATTAAAATTAAAATTAACATGGTGGAATGTTAATTTTAATTTTGGTTTGAATCGCAGTAAAGAGACCGTTTTTTGGAGTTGAGAAGTGAAGTTTAGATCGGGAGAACTTCAAATTCAAAGGATCAGTTGGGGAAGTGAAAAAAAGAGAAAAAATCACCAGACCGCCAGGACTCGAACCCGGGACCTTGCTTGTCATGAGCAATGCTCTAACCACTGAGCTATGGGACGGGGCTGAACCTAGAAGGCGCGCCGTCCCATAGCTCAGTGGTTAGAGCATTGCTCATGACAAGCAAGGTCCCGGGTTTGAGTCCTGGTGGGTCTGGCGATTTTTTCTCTTTTCAGGCAGTTCACTTCCCCAATTGATCCTTTGAATTTGAAGTTCTCCCAATCCTTTCAAAATTATTATTATTATTATTATTATTGTTTCACTGGTTGGAGGGAAAGACACAAATGGGAAAAATCTGAAGAAAAAATTGACTGTCACCACCAGGACTCGAACCAGGGACCCTTGCTTGTAGCCAGCGATGCTCCCACTGAGCTATGGTGTAGTCGTCATCCCACCGTTCAACATTTTCTTCAGACTTCGTAACTCACACTTCCTGTGAATCCACACAGGCCGGTGGGACGCAGCCCTCACTGTAATCCACACACTTCACACATTATTAATTTATTATTATTATGCTTGTTCGCGTTGACATCACCAAGCAAGCTTGGCTAGCCTTCGCATAAGCCAACTGAACAAAAGAAAAGCGGAATGAGCAAAGCCAGTGAGGAGCACACACACATGCAGCTCAGGACTGGTTGAAAAAAATATAAGCCCAGGGCTGAGAATGGAAATAATACGGTAACAAGACAAGATGGAGCAATAACATGTAATGCTCGATTAGAATATCTATCTGTATAACAATACAGGCAGTTCTAAGCCATCCGGCATTATCATCAATATTATCTGCATGTACAACCACAACACACATAAATACACTGTTGCATGGTATTTTTATAATTGTCCTGCTGACAGTCATGACATCTTATTACTTCCCATACTGTTCATATTTGATCATATTAACCCTTTGTCCTTTCGCCCATACTTGAACCGTACACCTGTGTACGGTTCAACCCACGCATGTTCAAAGCGACCTGGAAGCTACGCGGATCACCCGATCCACATGAAAATTCACGTGCACACAGCCTATGCTATGTAGAGAATGATGCACGGGTCGCTGGGGCTAGTTGCCATTTGAAAATTTTCAGGAAATCAAAGTCGAAGTTTGCTTGCGCCGTAACTTCAGACATGGCAGCACGCAGATCGCTTGATGCAGATGAAGCGCTTGTTTGAGGATAGCTGGAGTGACCCGAGCGACAATCCTATGTCCTCTGATGATGAGGACAAACTGGACGAAGCCTTAGTTGAAGGGGTTGATTCTGATTTTGATAACGACGCGGACTATGATGTTGTAGCCGTCGGCCCGTCGACCCAACTGTCGGACATGTCGACCACTCCGATTTGAGTGCAGGATCGGCAGAACAGCACTCGAGTGGTGAGGAGAGTGTACCACCGCCGTGTCTTACTCGTTGTGGAGCAGCAGGGCCAGCTAGAGTGCCGCAGCACGTGGAGCGGGAGCGCAGTTCAATCCCAGAGAGGTCCAGATCTCCGTCACCTGCGCGCCGTCAAACTCATGGTCGACAGCCGCGCAGAGCGAGGAGAGTCGCCACACGGGGCCGAAATGTCGAGCATGTCGCCACTGTCGCTCCACTGGCTAATGCTCTGTGTTTGTCCAACATGCCAGTGGTGCTACTCCAGGTCACACTTGTACAAATTGCACATTATTTATACATAGGAAAGAACTTGAACTTTGAATTTTGCCGATTTTGCCGAAAAATCAGTTTTGATACTCTTGATTAGCCACGCCCACCTGAGGAATGCAACCCAAACGGCAGTTTTAGTTCACAATTATCATAAGCTTTCAGGAAAACATAAAGTGTGCATACAAAATATCAGCTGCTTGGGTATGGTGAGTGGATTTGTTGAAGTAGGTACCCCTCACATACATTTTGGGCAAAAGGACAAAGGGTTAATCCATCATACTATTTTAGTTTTCATCATAGCCTAGGAGCTGTGGCATCATTTATGATCCACAGCAAGAAGGCAGCAATGCCTGTACCTATGGTGAAGTAAAATAAAGCTAACATAACATAACATCGATAATTTTCATGAAACGAAAAAAAAAAGTTTAGTTAGTTGTAGGACCCTCCCCCGCCCACCCACCACAGAACGAAAAATAGATTGTCTTGACTGCGAGAATGCCTTGATGTCCCACATATCAGTATTCTTTTCAAAACGAAACTCTCCTTGACCCGCACACCCATAAATGAAACATTTTTTTCTTAGGAAATTTGAGGCCACATGCCATCTATACCACATAAAATCTGTGATCACTCTGTGCATAATTTTTTCCAAATTGGGCGTCTGTTATCCAATCGTTTAGAAACTATATGAGAGTAATTGTGGAGCGGACCTGAGCAATATCCCGAAAACTATTCTCAAAAAGCTCCAGGCAAATTTGAAATATTTCAAAAACCCTACGCGTCTATAGTTTTGAAATGGACTGTACATACCCGTATTATCTCTAATATAAGCACGGTCCTTTATTTTTTCAATGTACCTTCGCCCCGTGCTATTAATGGAGACATTCCTTTATTGGAGACTGTTCCATTATTATTTCAACCTCATTTCAGAGGCACGTTGCCATGCCAAATTCATGTCAGACACACACATTTCAGGGGTTTTTCGCCGGTACAGATAATGAATTTACACAGTGTGCTTATAATGGAGACTGAGCACTTTATTTTTTGAATGCCGCCCCAAGGTGTTCTATTATTGGAGACGTGCTATTATTGGAGACTGTCCTTATATTAGAGATAATACGGTAGACAACTTACACTGGTCACAGGAGGCCCCTTTGAAGTCCCCGTCGCATGAGCACTTCCGTGTACCGTTCTGGATCGTGCCAAACACGCATGAATCTGCAGGTACAGACAGGGGATGTGCACAGGGTAGAGGAGACAGTTTCAAATAGGAACAGTTTGACAGCAAAATTGTGTAGACAGACCCATACCGATCGTCAGCGTGGATTGTTCACTCGAAATATGTTTGTGGAAGGCAACTGACATGTTAAAGTTTGCTCTGAGGCCAGAGTCGATCAAACTGAGCCATTCTTTTGTGTTGGCCCGTTGCCTCCAAGTTGCCCAATTTTTCGTTTCAAACCAGAGGTGACTCCAAACCGGGAAGGTTTTAGCGTGCACGTCAAATTCACCCTGAGTTCTGAAAGTAGGCAAATGCTATTGCTCCACGATGGCCAGTACAGAGCAACAATAAGCCTTGTTTGTGCTTCCATTAGTTGTCATTGGACGGTGCTTTATTGGCGAGAGGCTGTTTACCTGCGACAAGAAGTTGAAATTCGAAAGACGTACAACTCAAGCCGCAGTGCGAAGCAACACGTCAAAACCTCACCTGCTTGGTATGGCGCTTCTGGTCATGGCAGAGCCATGACATTTTGGCTCGGAGTAAAACATATCGTAGTCGCACTGTGACATATGTTTTCTAATCAAAATGAAGAAAGTGGATATTGAGCCCTTTCCGGTTTGCAACCTATTTCCTATTTGAAACTTTCTCCTCTACAGGGGGATGTGCATAGGGTACCGGGGGGGGGGGGGTGCATAGGGTATAGGGGGATGCGCACAGGGTACAGGGGATGTGCACAGGGTTACAGGGTTCGCAGCCAACCAAGCACACAAAATTCCAAACTTTTTCCAAACCAATTTCAAGAATTTCCAAACCCACTCGTGCAGGAAAAATAAATTATGAATCTCTTCTGCATGACTGTATTCTCCACTATGAGTACAACCAGGGAGTAGTAAAATCCTCCCTGGTACCACTACCATCAACAAATTCACCAAGGTACATTGCAATGGCATCGCCTTCAGCAGCTAGAGCCCCCGAAAATAGCAAGGGAATTCATACGACGAGAGTAACTCAGTTCCCCTCCGTAAGTTCAAATCCGCCTCCAGAAGGGGTTCCAATGAAACATTTACATAGCTGGTGTTCGTCTCAGCGCAAAAGACGGCTTCATCCTAGCCAGCAAACTCAAAAAAATAAAAGCAAACTCAAAAAAATAAAAGTCATGAAACATTTACATAGCTGGTGTTCGTCTCAGCGCAAAAGACGGCGCAAAAGACGGCTTCATCCTCGCCAGCAAACTCATCTGAGTGCGAAAGGACCTCGCCATCTTGCTGTCCCGACTTCAAAGAATCAAAGTCGAGCGCGAGCGCCAGTAACGAAAAACGGCCAAATAAAAGTCATCACCGGCCGCGCTTGAGCTGCACTGAAATGACTGTACGAGACTCGTACATCAGTGAACACCACACATCGCCAGCGCGTCTTCTATCGCGGTACTACCCCCAGCCGGTAGTCAAAACGGCCACTTGCACTGCAGGAGTGCAGCACATCCACGGCCAAAAACTCGAAATTCAAAACTTTTTCCAAACTATTCCAAAAGGAGCGCCTTTTCAAAACTTTTTCCAGACCTGGAAAATTGAATTATAAAATCCAAACTTTTTCCAGACTTCCAAACTTCGCTGCGAACCCTGAGGGTAGAGGGTGTGTGCACATCCTTTTTAAACACAAACGCACAGTATGAGGGTCAAGAATTCAGACAGCTGCTGTATGGGTGATTCATACTGATTCAAATCGGTCCTGGAAAACGGTTGAAATTGGACAGCATATTCAACGTACATGTTTGCTGTATTGAAATCATCATGGTTCATCCTGTACGTGTTTGCCTGTGCAAACTCACTGCTTCACCCCACCAAAGCATACGTAACCTATAATAGTGTATTGGCCTATTTGTTAGATGCGGCTATTAAAAAAGCGGTTTCCATGTTTGAGTCCTAAGGTTTCCCGTGTAGTTTCCATTTGTCCGGGTGCCAGATTTCCCCCGACAACAAATGCCGGACGCACCTAACCAAACCACAGTACACTTACCGGAGGCATTGGCCATAGCAGACACTGCAAGCAGGGCCATCAATTGGACGCAGAAAATATCTGAAGCACAATAGAATGGGAAGAAAATGGAAGGAAATGGAAGAAAAATGAATAATGACTATCTTTGCATTACAAACGAAAGTAAAGGGTGTAAGCGCCCGTCGGGGGCTCCCTTGGTTTGGGACAGAGACATGAATCACTCTCTTTTTTACGATCAAAGTTTGTGTTCCCATTCCGCAGTAGGTATGACTGGGTCTCCTCACAGAGGTTCAGTGCCCTCCGTCACTCACTCACTGCTACTATGTGCCTCTCGTGTCCAGAAATGCATGGTTGGATAAGGACTTCCTCATTATACGCATTCACGCGGCAGCGTCAACCAAGCAATTATGCTTGATCAACACGTTCGCTTAGGCTGGACATTGAAACAAAGCAGATGTAGATACCTCCTAGAATGGGGCTCTACGAAACCAATGATCACAGTTAATACTTCAGTAACATGGAGCATCATAACATTGGTCTTATTGGGAAAACCGTCATCATTATTGGAGTTCCTTGGATATAGTAAATCCGTACTGCTGCTGTCTGTCTGCACTGCCACTGCCACACTGAACTTTGTAAAACAAATTTTCAGCTACAACACATTTTCGGCCAAAATGCCCAGGCCGAAAATAGCTGAAAAATAATACCGGTATGCGCCGAATGGTTGTTGACTCGCAGTACTCTGGAGTTTTATGTGCACTAGGCAAATCACCAGACAGCAATGGCCACATACTGTATTCAACTGGTTATAAGGCGTGCTCGATCACAGGTCGATCATAGGTCGCACGCCGGCCCCATTATCAGGTTTAAGACATGTTGTTTCAATATGTTCCCATAGGTCAAATGTCACGCTCGACCGCAAGTCGCCACTCGCTACTTTGCCCTTGAAGTTTAGTGCAGAAAAAAAGGTGGTACTTATATTCGGGGAAAAGCGGTAGCGTGTGTCACTGTATACTGTAGAGATTGCGCTAATGACCTGAGATAGCTCTCCTCTCTGGTGAAAGATGACCAACGCATTATCTCGCTATGCTCAATGAAATACAACCGGGTCAAAGTCACGCCGTGTGCTGTGCAGCTGCTGACACCAGGCCACGCACTGGTGCAGGGCATGAACCCACGCAACCGGATTTCACCACACAGTAGCACTAGCGTGAGCTACTTACGGAGAGAGGCCATTGTGGCTGCACTGATTACTGGAACTTCGCCGCCAGTGCCATCCTGGTGCAAAAAATAGGTTCACACGTTCACATGCACGTGTACACAGCCACACATGTGCGCAGACGCACAGTGCACAGTAAACACACACAGACACACACACACACACACACACACATACACACAAACACGTGCGCGCATGCACACACAGACACACACACCAACATGTCTGTCATTATCGACCCACGCAGCTCATGCCAAGAGACTTAGAGTACTTAACATACGATTGTGTGTGTAATGTACTCTTGCTCATGCGAGGAGTCTACATTCTCGTTATAGGAATGGTATTATACAAACAAATGACAGCACTTTCGACAGTTTCTGAGAACATACACTGAAACTTTATAGCCGCTGGTGTGAGGGAAAGATGCAAACGGGATCTGAAGAAAAAATTTACTGTCGCCGCCAGGACTCAAACTACAAAAACAATTATAGGGACCTTCACTTGAGGCCAGCAATGCTCTGACTGCTGAGCTATGGTGTAGCTGTCATCCAAGCAGAGACCGTTCAACATTTTCTTCAGATTTCAACAGCGTAGCAGCCAAAATTATCAAGAAGCATACTATCAAAAAAAGTCCATAAATGAGTAAGTTCTTCGAAGTACGAACTTTACAATACTTTGGAATTTAGTGGCCACACCCGGACTAACTTTCTTGCGGGCACTGACTGTGGGGCCCGAACTAACTTTTGGACCTGACTTGTGTTTAGTGGGGACGTCACTTTCCATGTAGATGCACATACTACGAGCTGTAGGTGCGAACCATACCGTACTTATTTCTGGCAGTGTGTTAATCAGGCTGAACTTGACTTCACTGAACAGACATATCCAAAGAGATGAAGGGGGTATTTTTCCCGTAGCTATGCAAAAGACGTTACTTCAGTAACACCTGGCGCTAGCCAGGGTCCACACAGCTTTAATTCCCGTAGCTATGCAGAAGACGTTACTTCAGTAACGTCTGGCGCTAGCCAGGGTCCACACAGCTTTAATTTGGTGTTTGTTTGTTTGTTTGTTTGTTTATTTGTTTGTTTGTTTGTTTGTTTGTTTGTGTCACGCCTGGCGCTATCCCGTATCTGTCCCGTACTGTACCGTACTAGCAAAGACAGCTGGCCCCAATATTTTTGTTTGTGTGTGCCATCGAAATGCCTGGCGCTATTCCGTACCTGTCCCGTACCATCAAGGGTACGGTACCAACAGGAGAATGAGTATATATGCGAAGTGTACCGAGGGGAATACATTCAGTGCAGTAACATTTTGTGTGGATATGTGTGCGAGGCCGAGATCCCACTAGCAGGCTGGCTGAGCCGCCTGTCGACCAGCCCGCATGTAGGCCAATAGCATAATTATTATAACGTATATACAGTCGTGTAGATGTATAGCAGGGAGTCATATTATGTAAACGACTCCCTGCTGTATGGGGAGATTTTCTGGAAAGAAATACGAAGTAGGGAGACGAGTAAATGCAATCAGAATGGATGTTAGTTGCCGTCAGTATAATAATAATAAGAAGAAGAAGAACGTCCGTGATCGGCAGAGTCAGCGCCAGTCCCAGGAAACGTCAGGACAGACATCCCGTCGACTCTAGAACGCCCGTGATCGGCAGAGTCAGCGCCGGTCCCGTAACTATGCAGAAGACGTTACTTCAGTATCTCATTGAAACGTTTTTGCAATACAATGATGTAGCTAATCAAAGGAAAAAGCATTTCCATCAGTTACGATAAGCTAGGCAACAAAGCATAGCGCAGGGCCCTGAGCTTCCAAGCTCTCTCGTTCCGTGTTTGTTTGTTTGTGCCATCGGCATGCCTGGCGCTATCCCGTCCCTGTCCCGTACCATACCGTGCAATCAAAGACAGCTGGCCACAATATTCAAATAGGGCTTTCAAATGCAAGATCATAACGTAAAGCATCTTGGAAGAATGAGTATGCATGCGAAGTGTATCGGGGGAATGCATGCAGGGCGATAGTGCGGGTTCGAATCCCAGGTTGTCTTGAAAATAAAATAGGAGAAATGAAAAATATATAACAACCTTATTCTTTTTTTGCCTAGGTCATCAAGGTGGTAGACGGTGTCGTATTACCCTCGAATGCAAAGAGAAAGTTTGATGTAGCCAATCAATGGAAAAAACATTTCCATCAGTTCTAATAACATGCATGCATGATGAGCTGCTAGCTAGGCAAAAAAAGCATAGCGTCGGGCCCTGAGCTTCCAAGCTCTCTCGTTTAGGGCAGGTACTTATTTACTGACTTTTGCGGTCGTTTTGTCGACTTCTTTCACAGAACACATACAGTGAGACTTTACGGTACTGTAATTTCACAAATTTTCGGTGTACTTTTATTTTCGGTACTTTCGGTGGGTCTATTTCACACCTAAAATTTCAATACACCGAACAAACACTAACACACATAATCCAATAGGGGAACTGCTTCTCTGTACCGAAAATTTCTGTTCACCTAACCTAGCCTGTTGCCCTCATACCGAAAATATTGAGCACCGAAAATTTCTGAAATTGGAGTGCATGTACTAGTACGGGCTACCCTCCATATAACATACTACCCTCCATATAACATACTACCCACCATATAACATACTACCCTCCATATAACATACTACCCTCCATATAACATACTACCCTCCATATAACATACTACCCTCCATATAACATACTACCGTAAAAGCCCCTATATCCGCCCACTCAAAATTACGCCCACCCTACACATGTACAAGCCCAGTCAGGGAAAGTCAACACTTTTATTACAAAATAGCGCCCATGCCTATGTTCCGTAAAGTACCGTTGATCCCCCCCCCCCTCCCTAATTGCCGCCCCTGTCATTTTTCTGCCTGTGAAGCGCCTTCGGCAGATGCAACGAAATACGATGTTGAACCGACGCATTCACTGCTGTACACAATACGTGCCAGCGCAGGATGAAAACTATGCACAATCCAGCACCGTCAGAATGTCCACGTTGTTGTACGTCGTACTGCACTTGACAGCCTTGATCTAATTCCCGCCCCCTGCCGAAAACCCAGCTGGGAAGCGACATGGCGTGGGAGGGGGATGAATGGTACTTTACGGTATACGCCCAGGCGTGCTGGCAATACCAGTATATACACAGGTACCGGCACCCAGTACTTACTGCTATGTTGATGGATGTGTTTCAGGATTGCTTTTCCCAACCAGAACACTGTTACTGCTTCATTGAAGTGGGGATACTGTAATTATAGTGTGGATGTTCAGCTAAAAAAATTAATGAATTGGATACAGTTTCGAGCACAAGAAAAGCGCCTAGATGTGTTTCATAGGAAACAGCTGCGGTGTACCCTTGGAATAACCTACCCAGATGTCATCTCGAATGCAGATTTATATGCTGTTACTGGCCAATGCTCTGTATGTGAAATGGCCAAGCGGGACAGGTGGAAGCTATTAGGACATATATTACGCCAGCCAAGTGACATCCCTGCAAATGTTGCTCTCACTGCTTTCTGTACATATGCTACCAGTCAGCCCTTTCGAATAGGTGCACCCCGCTCTTGCCTCACCACAAGTCTCCAGCGAGACGTCCGCCTCACACCTATCTGCATTTTTAAGCCCAGCTGCCTTCGTGATCTCGGCACCTATGCCCGCGACAGAAAACAATGGAGTAACATCTGCTCAGCCATTTAGTCTAGTATTGCTCTTCTTAAATTTGACCTTTATTACAAGACTCTTCTTTTCTCTTTCATTTCGTTCTCCCACTCTCACACACACATGCTCACGGTTAATTCTGCCGTCGTGAGTCCCTTTCGGGACGGATACGAGAATAATAAATAATAATAATACAGTTTCGAGTCCGTATTGAGCCAGGGGAGAATTTCAACATTTGTATTCCAAGTATACACCCGGTTCCAAAATAACGTCCTTGCCCTTGTATACGCCCAGGAAATAGAGGCTGCTATTCTATACGCCCGGGGCCTATACACAGGCTTTTACGGTACTGCATAACATGTAATTTTAGTTGTGAAATTTCGATAGTAGGGACCTGCCAGGTTTCAGGTGTAATGTAGAATTAGGTGACCAGCATTCCCATCACATACAGTGCATACTCCAGTGCCATTTAGGTGTAATCTAAATTTAGGTGCCTGGTTTTTCTAACGTAATTACCGAAATTAAAATTACACCGAAAATAATGACGTGTTATACAATATGGGATGATACAAAGAGATAAGTACTGTTTTGCTTGGAGGACCATGCACTATGCTATAACAGTTTATATATCGAACCTCGGATATACAGTCCCCTCGAGGTATGTAATACTGCGCTAATTAGTAAAGCTTAACTGTAAGCCAATCTAAACTGCGGCTTGCCAGTACCAGCAGACACGACTACGAGCTCGTACAGTAGCAGGGCATTTCCGCCAACAAGTACATGCCAGCTAGCTCCAAGCACCGAGTGCCCGGCTCTGGCAAACCGGAACGCGAAAGAACGGAAACAGCTCAGTATTCTTACCAGTGAAAACTTCGACAACTCCTGCTGGTCGTCGGGGACCGGGTCTTTTCGGAGGAGAAACTGACTGGACCGCTGAAGGTATGCACCAATCCAAACTACACTGGCCGTAGATCTACTCGCCTCACCAAACTGGCGGCCGACTTCATGCTCTCAAGGAACACACGCAAAAAAGTGCACAAAGTGCTGGGCGCACGCCTGTCGATGAGCGGGCTATCTCTTCAAATTTTCGAAGGCCGCGCGCTTGCTTGAGGGAGTCGCGTGGGTCATGTGCATGGGCTCATACGATTTCCAGGATCCTATGTGCCGGGCCTGAGCAAAACGATCTTCCATGCAGCCTACACACGCCAGGCAGCCTCCTGAGCTGCACCCGACCTGCATTTACCGGTACGAGACTACCAGTACGAGAACACGTGATGCATACGACCCAGTTCGCAAGGAGCTCAGGTCAAGAGTCCATAACCCCGTGAACTCTTCTGTAGATATTATTTTAGACTACAATTTTACAACTCGACTCGGTAGACGTCTACGCGGTACCGGTATACCATATACCACTCGACCAGCGGCAGAGAGAATCCTAAAAAAAAAAAAGGTTCAGCCAGTTCCAATGACATCGACCAATATTTTCAGAACTGAAATTAACAAGCAGACACTTGACAATCAGATCACAAGGGCTAGCTAGGGGGGGGGGGGGTATTCTTTGCACAATTCTGACCCGGATGCGTCAAAAATCTGGCAACCAACTTTACCAATGCCGACATTAACAGCCTTGAAGTTGGCAGGTCCATAGTGACAGTATGTACGTGTTTTAGAAGTACTGTACTGGTACATTTACCAGTCATAGCAGGGAGTAGTATTGTCGATAGAAAAGTAATCATTATCGTTATCCCCATTAGTGAGACATAGCGCAGATGGTGTGAATTTTACATGGGAGGTGACAAGAAGGAAGAGCAGGAGAGCTATAGGGCTTGAAAGTGCTACGTCACAGCATAGCAACAATTTCAAAAATTCAAAAATTGGATCCACTTGGATCCAGTTTTTGTATGGATCCAAGCACATTTCAAGCCGTCTTGCTCTCAGAAAGGTGATGTTACCAGTGAAACTGACTGATTTGGCTACTGGGGGCGGGGTTACAACTGGTGGCGAAGTAAAAGTCACCCCTGCATACGACATGAGTGGGTTGCTATGCACCCACATACTGAGGCAATAGCAAAGTCACACCAAGAGTACATGTACTCTTGGTCACACCTTAGTGGATCCAAAATAGAAATCTGATGTCAACTTAGTACTCCCTGGCCGTTTTTGACGTCATCACTTTCAAGCCCTATAGAGGTGACAGTCAAAGTTAGTTAGTCAATGCGCCTTCCAGCGCAAAACAGAGAGCATGATAAAGAGAATTAAATGTGCTGGAATGTGATGACTGGCACCTCTCCTTCTCTTCCGGTTCCTTCGACAGTAGACTCCTGATGTAACAAACACCACTGTGGAGGAGCCTGAATTAGTTCTTTATAGCCGAAGTTCGTTTTAACAGAATGCACTCACACCGTACAAGCAGCAAGTCATGATAATATGACTGGGAAGTGGTCCATGACCAGGGAGCCCTGCACATATCTGTAGGGCTCCTTGGTCCATGACAGCATGATCATTATGAATGCACTTGGTTTACATGTGGCCCTACGAGATTACGAGACTTGGTTCGTTATAAACGTCAACACCAGGCAGCCTTAGCGTCAGTCAGGCCAAGAGTACATGTACTCTTGGTCAGGCTCAGAGTCATACACTGAGTCGCTTCGAGGACCGGGTAGGCCATTCACCATTCGCACCGCTTTCACTTCCAATCAGGGAGTCGTATAGACCCGACTCCCTGCTTCCAATCAACTAGTCGCATGCCCGCACGGGGGGGGGGGGGGGGGCAACAAATCTGAAAGCTACAAAAAAACTCCAATAAAAAAAGTCTCACTTCATTTCCACAGTAGGAGCAACACAGAAAGAGGGTACGTAGACAGTCCACATTACAATAATGGCAGAGTTTTGTGATCCATGTTGCTATGAGGGGTGTGCAGAGATAATAATTATAACATTACTCAATCTGCTGACAGAACTGTTTAGGTATAATTATAATGTTTATAGAAAAGAAACTTGAAGGACCAAGGAACTACAACTTACGCTATAATGTCCACTAACACCACCAGCTACTTAATAATCAGCTCATGCGATAACATTGCACGGCACTGACCGACGGTACTGACGTTCTGACGTTAGTAACTGATGGTGTTAGTGGACATTATAGCGTAACCAAGAGTCCGGTGGTTATGGACTCTTGGCGTAACTTGTAGTTCCTTGGTCCTTTTCCTTTTCTGTAAATTTTTCCTTGGCTCTCCATCCAAGTCCAATAATAATTGTTAGACATTTATCTGCACACATGGATGCAGCTAATAGGATTTCGGTCTTTGACCACTTGGTGGTGGGTCTGATCTACACACCTCCCACCGTTTAGGCGCTGCATCTGCGCCTTGATCCTAGAGGGTGGTGGTGTTCCCACGGCGGATGCGGAAAACTCGGCTTTCAGCCGAGTCTCACGCGAACAGCGAAATTTTATTTATTATTATTATTTTTTATTTATCTGCACACCCCTCATAGCAACATGGATCGCAAAACTCGGCCATTATTGTAATCATTGTAATCCGAGTCCATTATTGTAATTACTATTCATATTCGTCCAGGGTAAAAGCATGCCATGACGATTCAAACCATGTACATAACAAGGCAAGGCTCGAGCACGAGGAAAGATTTGATCCTGGATGCAAGCAAAACAAAAACCAAAAAACTGGGAGAGGCGAGAGTAGCTGTTCATGTTGTAGGCTGCAAGTTGTGTAAAATTTAAATAATGCCAGCTTAGCTTAGCTGGAGAGCTTGTCAAAGAGTTGTACGGATCTGAAAGGCAATGATAAATAATTGATGACTCTTATCAGACACCGGGGCCATCGAGATGCATTGGGGCTTCTGATGGAAGGACTCATCTTGGACGCTCCGGTCTTTTCTCACTGCAACGAAGCAAAGACACGAGACGGCAAGGAAGAGGAAGCGCGGCAGGCAGCAGGAAAGGAATCGGCAATGACGACGAAAGCGGCACGCCGGCAGCATACAGCTGCGTCGCAGTCCGTGCAGGAAACTAACTCGGGACACACATCACAAGACACCGCTCAACGCTCACCAGTAAGCATTAGGGCAATGGACGTGTGACGCAGGCAGAAACGCTATAGGTACAGGCGCGGCTAGCTGGCTTCCGATCTCACCCTGGAATTGTGAAGCCCCGCGAGCGGCATGCGTGAGGATGCATGTTGTTACCTTGGTAGTAGCTGAGCCCGGCGTATCAATGTGCTACCGGCATGGTGTTACCGACTGGATAAGTGTGTTGATGGCGTGCAGCCGAGGGTTACGCATAGCTGACGCTACCGACGCGTCATCAACGCTTTGGCACCGCGTACATATCCTCCTCTTGTCGCATATCCTCTTGTTGCAGCTCTCCGAAGAGAGACTCCAGAGCGTCGTCTATGGTCGGTGAGCTCACAATGCTGCCCCGTTGCTTACGCACATGCAGCACCATGTCTTCACAGTCGGCGATGCTATCCACGTGAGCTATGCCGCCACCGATGCTCAGGTCGCCGTCGCCATAATTAGAAACATCATCCACTGGTGCAACGTCACCAGCTGTGTCACGACGAGAGATCTCTATCCGTCCGTCGTTCTGGATTTCGTCGAATCCATCATTGTAAGCCTCATGGAGTCCATCATCGTATGCCGCTCCGAGTCCCTTGTTGTAAGCCCCTTCTAGTCCATCATTGTAAGCCTCGCCGAGTCCCTCGTTGTAAGCTCCGTCGAGTCCATCGCTGTGAGCTCCGTCAACAGCAGAGTCTGCGCATGCTGCTGAAGCACTGGTGACGAAGAGCAGAGCAGGGCCGTCGCATCCTTCGGGCTGCTCATCATACGGTCCATCCAGAGGCAAAACGCTGCAGATACTGCCGCGGGGCGAGTTCAGGACGTCGTCCGCTGGTCGATCGGGATCATAGGACGACGGGCCTGCGGTCAAGCTATAGTGATTCGCTGACCGCGTGGCCGAGTCAGCCCTTTCGTAGCCAACGGAACCATCCTTGCCGGCGTCACCCGCCGCTGCAAGACTGTAGTTCAATTCGTCATTGCCAGTAGCTGCAGCCACAGTTGTTGCTAGCGTGTAGTCGTAAATGTGCTGGTCACCGTGACCTTCATGAGCGGTGTCGTAGCCATGACCAATCTCGGCGACGTCGGCGGAAATCGCCGCGTGGATGTCGGTGGTCGAGTCGTTCAGCCGCAGCGCACCGGCACCAATGTATTGGTAGTCGGACGCATCGCCCTCTGTGCTGGTGCCAGCAACGAGATCTACGCTGGCTGACAGCCGGCGCAGGTATATGTGTTCATGGCCAGGGTTGCTATGATCTGTCGATCCCTCCGTAGTCCCATACATACAGTATTGGTCATCACCCTGGCCGTCTTGGACTGCAGACAAACACACACGCATACACACACACACACACACACACACACGCACACACACACACACACGCACACACACAAAGGCACACACATGCATGCACACACACACACGCGCGCACACACACACACACACACACACACACACACACACACACACACACACGCACACACACACACACACAAACATATAATATACACACACACACACACACACACACACAGAGGAGACAGAAAACAACAGTCAGTACTGGAATAATGCGTGCAATGATGTGCATGCAATGCCATCCTACACACCAGCAACCCGATCAGACTTTCAAAGAATCATGTCACTCAGGGTGCAGAATGATGTCATGTTTTTTGTTGAATGATACCACACATAGGTGCATGTCAGAATCAGGATCCACACATGCGGTCCAGCAAACTTTACTGTAAAACCGGAAAGTCACGCTAACGACCAAATATTTTTCGTTACTTGAAAAAAAACGTATCGCTAGTTTTTTTTGTGTAAAAATGCGCATACAGATGGGTGGCCAGGTAGCCATCGTCAAACTTTCTGCACGTAATCATGCCAAAATGACAAAAAAACGTTAAACTTTCCGGTTTTACAATATAGCATACACATGTATTATGCTAAGTTGCTAACAATTTTGTTTGAATCTCTTGATAAATTTACAAGCAGTAAGGAACTCCTATGAAAAATGTAGAGGATATGTCCAGGAGGTTGAAATGAACGGCTGTGGTACGAGGAGTCTGTGGTTCAGTCATTTCTGCGCGTGCAAAGCGGCCTGTTTGGGAGCATGTTGCTCTGGGGAATTGTGTATCCTAGCCAGTTTGGATCAAGACTCTTTGATTGTTTGCTCCAAACACTCGCAAAGTTCTAGTTCGGTTCTTGGTGAATACCTGCTCAGCCTGGTACACCAAGAGTGCCTACTACGTGTCTCAGGATCAGAACTCCACTTTAATATGAAGAAAAACATTTCCGGTTTGCGTGAGAGTCGGCTGGAGGCCCGAGTTTTCCGCATCCGTAGGAATGCCACCACCCTCCATGGATCAAGGCGCAGATGCAGTTCCTAAAGCGGTGGGAGGTGAGTAGATCAGACCCACCACAAAGTGGTCAAAGACCGAAAAGCCCATTTCGGTCTTTGTATATTATGAAGAAAAGAGCATGCCAACATTACCTCTGCAGCGTGTACACCGGACACATATACTTGTACCGTCGTACGAATGAAAGCCGGATAAACTGGAATATGAAATTTGACTAGGTTGTGACACATCTCAGTGCTGCTCTGACCGCGAAAGTATAGCACCCCCACCTACCCCTCGCTCTGAGTTTGAATACAAACCTAGGTATAACTGACACTGGGTTCCTCGAGAATAAGCCCGGCTGTTATACGCCACATTATCCGGTAACTGCTTTCCTAAGAACTCTCCATTAACGTAAAAGTCAGTTATTAGGTACGTACCGTAAAGTCCGGAGCAAACGCCCACTTCGCAGCAAACGCCCACCCCAGCGGGTCCATACTATTTTCGTCTTTTTCAGGTCAATATAGTTGTAAACAACTGGCATGAAGGTCGAATGCGTACGAGAACGACTGTTATGCCTACAAACTGCCTATGTCCTACCAGGACTCTGTGCAAAAGCGATTGTCATCATCTTCTTGCAAAGAAATAACTTCTGTCGAGATTTCCTTTCATTCGATAAAGGTGTCCTCTTTGTGGTAGTTCGTTCTCCATGTGGTACGAGTAATGCCGTAGAAATTTGTGCAGTGCCACGATGTCGCGCTGTCAGGAACAGTAATTGTTCTGATGAAGCGTCAGTCAACGACTTGACTGGTCCCAATATGGCAGTTGCAAGTCGAACAGGGTATGTCACAGAAGCTACACCTACAAAGTCGCTGCTAACTTGTTGAAAACTCCGAAGTGCCCAAGAAAAACACTTGCCTTTGGGCGTTGTGTGATCTCTAAATGATGGCTTGAAACACCGTCAGAAGTGTATTTGGTTCCTTCAATACTCTGTTCTTCGCTACCTTGTTATTCGGAAGAAAACCCGTTCGGATTTGCGAAATAAAACAACCATCATTATAAAATCACTACGAGCTAGCTCGTGGCTAGTGCCCAAAGAGGTTTTGAAACCAGGAAAGTGGACATAGTTTACCGTAGCAAAGTGCTCTTCCCGCTACGGTGTGAGATGCACTTTCGTACAGTAGGGGTGACAGTGCATGGGGTCAGTGTGTACAGGCCAGCAGATCTTGCAAAAATGGGGTGGGCGTTTGCTCCGGACTTTACGGTACTTACTTTCGACTTTTAAAAGTGGTCACATGCGTAATGATTTTCGGGCACGAGCTGACTCTCGGACCTGACTTGTGTGTAGTCGAGAAGTCTTTTTCCATGACGATGTACATGCTACATGCTCTGCATGGGCGGACCGCATCCGTACCTTTTTTTCGGGCGGTATGTTTATCGGACTGAACTTGACATCAGCAGACGGAGTCAACACGATGAAGGGAGTATTTATCTAGGGAATAAGCAGGCACTACTCAGCAGGTACTTATTCCCGTAGCTATGCAGAAGACGTTACTTCAGTAACGTCTGGCGCTAGCCAGGGTCCACACAGCTTTAATTTGGTGTTTGTTTATTTGTTTGTTTGTTTGTTTGTTTGTGTCACGCCTGGCGCTATCCTGTATCTGTCCCGTACCGTACCGTACCAACAAAGACAGCTGGCCACAATATTTTTGTTTGTTTGTGCCATCGGCATGCCTGGCGCTATCCCGTACCTGTCCCGTACCATCAAGTGTACGGTACCATCAAGAGAATGAGTATATATGCGAAGTGTATCGGGGAATGCATTCAGTGCAGTACCATTTTGTGTGGATTTGTGTGCGAGGCCGAGATCCCACTAGCAGGCTGGCTGGGCCGCCTGTCGAACAGCCCGGGAATCGCATGTAGGCCGATAGCATAATAATCATAACGTGTATACAGTCATGTAGATGTATAGCAGGGAGTCATATTATGTAAACGACTCCCTGCTGTATGGGGAGATTTTCTGGAAAGAAATACGAAGTAGGGAGACGAGTAAATGCAATTAGAATGGATGTTAGTTGCCGTCAGTATAATAAGAAGAAGAAGACGAACGCCCGTGGTCGGCAGAGTCAGCGCCGGTCCCAGGAAACGGCAGGACAGACATCCCGTCGACTCCAGAACGCCCGTGATCGGCAGAGTCAGCGCCGGTCCCATAGCTATGCAGAAGACGTTACTTCAGTAACTCATTGAAACGTTTTTGCAATACAATGAAGTAGCTAATCAAAGGAAAAAAACGTTTCCATCAGTTCTAACAACATGCACGATGAGCTAGGCAACAAAGCATAGCGCAGGGCCCTGAGCTTCCAAGCTCTCTCGTTTACGAACTTTTACGGCATTACCAGGCACGTGGCCCGCATCGGGCACGGGAGGGCACGTGGACCCCCACACCCTCCCCTAAATATTTCGATCTAGCTTCAGCATGCACATTATAACCATGAATGACATGCACCAGCCATCCTGCACATGTGCGGCCGTGCACCCCCCCCCCCCCCCCCATAGAAAGGGGACCAGCTACGCCTCTGATTACGGCAACCACCCAGGATTCTGGCTATTCTTTTTTTATATACCGGGTAAATATTCACAAAAATATTCACAAAAGTTGTAAGAAGAAGGCGCACGAGATCAGAGAGCTAGAGAAGCATAGGATAGTCCGCACAATCACATTCCGGCATTCTGGCTATTCTACTTACTCTCTGGTATGATGCTTCCGCTGGGCACCATTGAGGTTGCAAGGACACCGGGTTCAATGTCGAATGTGCGAGGTGGAGTCATCTTTTTGGGCAATGTATGGCTCACTGATCTCTTCACCGTTTCTGCAGTATCAACAAGGGAAACCAGCAAATGCACCAGAAGTCTCAGTACTTGTGTATGTATGTATGTATGTATGTATGTATGTATGCACGGAAGCGGAAAGGTGGTTCTTGACCAGGGAGTTGTACGACTCCTTGTTCTTGACCTGCCCGGTACGCGAACCCCGTCGAATTTATTTTTTATTTATTTTATGTATGTATGTATGTATGTGGTGTTTCGCAAGGCGTCTGCCGTACTCAGTCCCGTAATGGGCCGTATACCAAGCTCACACTCGACGGAGTCACTCACAACACGAAAGACTTTATAGTTGATTAGAAGTAGAACGCCATGTCACGAACCGACTATTTCGTTCCAAGAAACTACATGTACTAAGAAAAACTCTCTCGAAACAAAGGCAGCGCAGCCAAACAAAAGGTACAGCTAAAAAACCTCATGCCGCACGCACAAGAACACAACAACCAAAAAGGCTACACTGTGCCAAGGCTGGCTCAGCAAAACCGACCGCAGCGGAACCTAAATGGTAGCCCGCTGTACAAATTCGATATTACATCAGGCATCAAGGTGCCCCCAAGGGGAGCACATGGAGATAGTAAGATGCCAGGAGATAAAGGTCAAATCACAGAGAACAGACAGCATGACCGCAATGGCAATCAGGAAGAGAAAGCAGATCGCAACTGAACTGTTCAACATGACATGAACGTATAGACTGAACTCCGCGGCATTCTCGCCACACCAGTATGTATGTATATATGTATGTATGTATGTATGTATGTATGTATGTATGTATGTATGTATGTGGCACTTGTGCGCGCAGTTTTCGTCGGCCGCAGGACATTGCGAGGCATAAGTGTAACGCTGTTCGCGCGGCCCGCGCGCGCTGAGTATGGCGTTCCCCGCCCGGTGGACAACACGTCTCCTGGTCTGCCCCGTATGGGGCCACATAGCCAGTCATGGCAGTGGAAGAAGGAAGGAAGGAAGGATGTATGTATGTATGTATGTATGTATGTATGTATGTATGTATGTATGTATGTATGAATGTATGTATATATGTATGTACGTATGTGTGTCACCGTGTGTGTGTGTGCGCGCGCGTGCGCACGTGTGTGTGTGTGTGTGTGTGTGTGTGTGTGTGTGTGTGTGTGTGTGTGTGAATTAGGGCGCACTCCAGCGTTGCGTCATCTGGACCACGCCCGCAACCACGAACACCATGTGCGGTATGTGGCCGGTCACTGTTGAAGAGTGGTATGGCCCGACACAAGTGCAAAGAGGAGCGCAGAAAGCCGATCGCAGATCAGATTGGGAGCAGGAAATGCCCGGCGTGTAAGAGATGGTTCAGGAGCGCCGGAGGCCTCGCTGTCCATAAGTGTCGACCCGACGACGATCGTTCTACAGGCACAGTGGCGGGCCCTCCTTTGTCTGCGCCCAACTCGGTTGCGGCAGTACCAGTGCCGGCGAGGACTCAGCTAACACTACCCTGCTGCCAGGCTCATTAAAGCGCATGTGGCAGATGCTGCCGATCAAAGAGGGGTTTCCAACTCCACAGCTGCGCAAAGTATACCCGAACTCTTGTTGGCCGCTAGCCTGCGGAGCGTGCTTCGTACCGTATTCAACGACCTACCCCATGTCTGTCGGCCCCTCGTATGAGGGGACATGTGACCGTGTTACGGCAATGTTCAGGACAGGACAGGACAGGTGTGAATTGCAATCGTGGACGGCGTCGTGGCGGAGCGGCTTCCTAGTGGCAGTGCTGACTTCTCTCAAACTCTCTCTTCTACTCTCCCCCTGTCTCGGGGGCGGCGTGGCCAAGCATTTGGCAGCTGTATACCAGGCCAGGTGTGTGTGTGTGTGTGTGCGTGCGCGTGTGTGCGTGTGCATACTTGCCAACCATACCGGTTTTCCCGGTATTATACCGGGAAACTGCGGTCACTACCGGCATCCCGGGGCTTTTTGACTTTGATCGAAAAACTACCGGTATTGGCACTGCATACTGAACCATGAGTGTTCATAAAAAGGTTGTTTTGTGGTGTGACAAGGGCACATGCGGCCCTGCATTTCGCAGAATCACACAACATATAAATATAGGGGTGATCTGACAATAAAGAAACTCAGGTTTTGGTCCCCCGATATTAGCAATATACGAGCAATGGGTTAGAAATGAACAAACTGAGGAAAGAAAAAATGTCCAAAAAGTTGCGGAAAATACGCAAAATAATCAAATATTTCCCCCAAAAAACGAAAAAATGGCCAAATTTGGCGAAAACCAGGAAAATGAGAGAAAAGTAAGGGAAACCGGGTGTGTGACTAAGGGATTTGCTTTGGCTGGGTTGGCAAATATGTGTGTGTGTGTGTGTGTGTGCGCGTGCGCGAGCGCGTGTGTGTCCAACCTGTCGGAAGGCTACCCTCTTGCAAAGCATTTTCGAAGTTGGACTAGTTTCGGCTCCTCAATCCAGTGTGTCGTTACTATATAGCTTTCATGGCTGAGGTTGTTGGTACGTCTGTTGGCCCTGGGTTCCCAGTACCCAGTTGCCGAGGCTGGTTGGTAAAATAACTCTCATTTCACTTCCAGGTGCCCGTGCATCTAGTGTCTGCTTTTATCAAAGCAGCGTGCTGTCTATACTGGTTACCCCAGCAAGTGTAGGGTATGCATAGGTAACTGTCTTGGCCGTCCTATTCCGGTGTACTCCGTGTGGTGAAGACCAGGTGTGCATTGGGGGGTCGATTCACATGGCTTCGCCAGTTGTGTGGATTAGACAGTTACCTGGCGCTTGTCTTGATCTGTTTCAATCAGAATCAGATCCGCTATCATTGCTATAAAGAGAAAATCTGTGGGTGCACATCCAGTGCATTTGCAGATTTGCGTGCTTCTCTTGCGACGGGCGTATACAAGAATACATGGTGTGTGTGTATGTGTATGTATGTGTATGTGCATGTGTTCGCACGTACTCATGTGCTTGCATGCGTACTAAGAATAGCCATGTTCAGATGGGTCGAATTTTGTGCTAACAGCATTCTTGGTACTATTCCATCGGGGCAATTCCTGAGGCTGTGTTTACATGAAGCGTTTCAACCCGGGTTGAGTTCGACCCGGGTCAGATTTCAACCCGCCATGTGCACAAAGTGAATGGCGCGTTTACATGACGCATTGCGCTTGACCCGGGTTGAAATTTCGCCCCGGGTTGATTTCAACCCTCCCCCCAAGGGGAGGGCTGAAATCAACCCGGGTCAAGAAAATCGTACAAACGTACTTCTGTGCGTATCTCGCGCCAGGTTTGAACGGCACTGCAGATGCACATTTCGCGCGAACAGATTCACGTGACCATACGGAACTGTAGAAGTGGACTTTTGGCGGCATATCAGTATTTGACCCGGGTCAACTGTCTTCATGTAAACGCTCACCTCTTTTGTCTATCGTACAGACTTTCAACCCATGCTGAACTCGACCCGGGTTGAAATTTCTCATGTAAACACAGCCTTAGAGTGTGGCAAATTGACTCCAAAGAAATTGATACCGGTAAGTGGATCCCAGGGGTTTTACAAATGGAATCCAGGGAGGTCAAAGTTGGATTCACAGTCACTGCTTCGGCAAACATGGTGCGCCCTGCCTGTGACTAAGGCATCATACCTGGGTTGGCTCAGTTGCAGTGCCTTACAATGATCCATTCTTCATTCAGAGTCCACAGCGTATGTAGAGAAAACACCATATTCGACCCTTCGAAAATCTCAAAGATCCATATTAATTTTTTTTGAATATTTTCACTTCTGCATTTGCTCAAAAATGATCTAGCCCTGAGAAAGGTAACATTCAATAGTTTGAAGATGTGGTAAGCTGACGAGAGAAGAGAGGAGGAAAAACAGGCCTACAACCAGCATGACCAAGCCATTAGATGTTATGGTCACATGCCTGGCAAGCTCTGATGCACCGGCCTTCATGTACTGAGTACTGCCGATGCTACCAGGGACCGTTCAACATTAAATATTTTCATTTTCAGTTCCGACATGTCCTCCAGACTTTGCAACTCGCATTTCCTTCAAAACAGCTATAATGCTCAGGGGCGTCGGAAGGTATTCTAGTGTGGTACGGTCAGCCATCTGAACTGTACAATTTACTCGTGGGGGAGTGGTGGCTGAGGCGAAAATTTTGGAAATATAGATCCCAGATCAGTGTGTATTATTGATTTACAGGGTACTTGGGGCAAAAAGTGGTACGGTCAATACCGTAGTGACCGTACTGTGTGCGACGCCCCTGATACTGCACACCGTGAAGCAGGCGAAGACGGGGATGATCATCTCACATACCAACCACCCATCGCGATTTGGCCGGGACAGTCCCGACACCGAGGGTGGTAATAGGCAGCAAAAATGAATTCATCGCATGCCTCACGGCTGCATTTGTAGACATTCTCATACCTAGGTATGTCCTTGTCCCACTGATCTCAGGTTGGCAAAGGTTGGCAGGTATAATATCAAAACAAGCTAGCTTACGGCGCAGTTCCTTGGCTTGCTGCGTGACTTTGTTGGCGTAGATTCTCCGTCCGTTGTCTCCCATCTTCTGGAAGACGAAGGCTAGGACGGCTGCGACTACAACCAGAGCCACGGCCGCTGCTAGCCCGCCGACCGTTGCAGACGATGCACCACCGGTGTTGCCACCACCGTCGTTGTTGCCACCAGCCCCTGCAGAACACGCAAACACGGTTAAAGAGAGGAAGAAATGAAGTCGAGACCCCTTGCCAGGTCGGCGGAGCTCCCTATACCTCACCGCCACTGCTGCGATTAGTGTTGTGGATGCTTGCCTAGCTGCAGCACATGTTCAAGAGGTCTTTGTAAAAAAAAAGAATTGCCAGATCTGCGGATGCGGATAGCCGACCATGTCACCCTGCGTGGAGTCATCAGCATTGCGCAGGGGGAAAGAAGCCGAATCTGTTAGCAACAAAAATATAATACCGTATATTCTCTATTATAAGCACAGGTCTCCATTACTAGCACAGTCTCTAATACTAGCACACTGTGAGCACCTTTCGAAACATTATAAGCACGGTCTCTATTATTAGCACGGTCTTGGTGGAAATCAATGCGGGATGCATGATATCTAGCATGTATTTCTTCTTGCTCTGTACGGATGTATTGGTTGAAAAAAATATAAGCACGGTCTCCAATATAAGCGCGGGGTAGAGGGGTGTTGAAAAAATATAAGCACGGCGCTTATAATAGAGAATATACGGTATATCTCACAGGCAGGATGCAAACCAGGCGCCAAAGAACTTTCTTTTCCCACATTTTCTTTTCATCTGTGTCTCCTTTCCAAGTTTTCCCATTCCTGGGTTACTTGGACCTCATTCGCTTCCTTGTCATTGGACATGTTCAGTCCGTTCGGTTTGAGAATTCAAATATACACAACCAATGTACTTCCCAGAGTGCGGACAAGTCGAGAAACGTGCACCCACGCTCCAACACTGTCCTGTGTCTGTGCTAATTTCCTCAATCATGCATGCTGGCTGCCATGGGCAGCATGGCACTAAATCTGTAGTACTACACTTTTATGTTTCCTAATTATATCAGGGTTCTAGCCAAAGGGGGGGGGGGGTAGGGGGCGCAGCACCCCCCTACTCCGTTTGCGCGCCCCCCTGTGAAAAAGTGCCGCCCCCTACTCATTTTCCGATTTTTGTGTTTTTCACACCATTCAACGAAAATACAGTCGATAGTCACTACTAGAGGGTTCATAAAGGCACATTTGTGAGGGGTGAAGTCGGGCTTTCACCCTGTATGTTACATTTTGCATGGCAAGACAATTTTGGACAATGGAAAAAATGGGTCATGGGGTAACTTTTTCCCATGCCCGCCCCCTACTATATTGACCTGGCTAGAACCCTGTTATATTATAGTAAAAGAGATAGGTTCCAAGCTGTTCAACAGAGTGCTCAATACAGAAAGGCAGAGCTAGTTCAAACAATCATAAGAGTATGAAAAACTCGGAGTAAAACAACTTTTTCATCCTCTTATTATTGTTTGTATATAATTATAGTATCGCACCTCCTTGCGTAGTGTGCTCCTCAGCAGCAGCTGGACTCACACGACAAGGGAACTCCTCCTCATCCTTGTCGTGGAAATATTTGGTTTCATGATGTCATCGCATGATGCGGCTGCATTATACCACTGCATGACATCACTGAATGAGGTCACTGTGTGACGTCACTGCAGCTCCGCTTACCATTACGGGCTCCTCCGGAACCAAGAAGGTCGTTTCCAACGATGACCGCACGGTGTCCCCTGGCTACGCCGAAAGAGTTTCTCGCAACGCAAGTCACCCAGGTGTCGTTTTCAGGCAAGAACGACATGTAGGCGTACGTAATGTTGCCCGACACCTGCAGAGTCACATGCACAGTAGAGCACTGATAAGATGTACCCCCGTTCAGCAAACAGGAAAGTTTAGTACCGGAAAACCTGTTGTAAGCCACCTCTCGTTTTAGCGACCACCTGCTCTTCGCGACCGTTTTTCCATGCACCGACAATTCTACACAGACACTGTGGGACCTGGATCTAAAGACCACCTGGCTTTAACGACCGCTTGTCCTTGCACCGTGGGGTGGTTGCTTAAACCAGGTTTTACTGTACTTAGCACCCCAGGTACTCTAATTTCAGAAATTTTCGGCGCTCAATATTTTCGGTATGAGGGCAACAGGCTAGGTTAGGTGAACAGAAATTTTTGGTACAGAGAAGCAGTTCCCTATTGGATTATGCGTGTTAGTGTTTGTTTGGTGTATTGAAATTTTAGGTATGAAACAGACGCACCGAAAGTACCGAAAATAAAAGTACACCGAAAATTTGTGAAATGACAGTACTTCCTATACTGTGAAAGCAGAAATTTTCGGTGTTTTATTTTCGGTAACGTCGGTGCAGAAATGAAAGGCACTGAAAATATCGGTACTGCATGTATTGCTACTACACACTTAACTGGAAAACGGGTTTACCGAAAATTTCCCTCCACCAAACCGCCGATTTTGGAGAATACCGAAAATATTGCACCACCGAAAATGTCTGCTTTCACACTCCTAGCATACTTCAGTATGGATGAACACACCCGTACCCTGGACTATACACGGACTATTAATTAATGGGGTCGTCCACAAGTATCAATATTTTTAAGAGAAGAGAAGAGATTGGTTCGTTGGGGGGGGGAAGCTCTCTTGAAAAATATATCAATATTGACGGACGGCCCCAAGGCAAAAATCCCGGTTCGCGTGAGACTCAGCTGGTGGTCACCTTTTTCCAACCTTAGGCGTGCCACCACCCTCAAGGATCGTACTAAGCAAGAACATGTCTGATCAGAGTATGTACTAAACAAGTTCCACTGTACTGAGAACCCGAGGTACGTCTCATCCAAACACACACACACACACACACACACACACACACACACACACACACACACCACCACCACCACCACCACCACCACACCTCAGACCTGCCCATCGCGGAAGCGATGATAGCGAACAGCTATGTTAGACATAGCAACTTGTGCTGGGATTGCACCATTCAACAGCTTGCAAGGCTGATGAATTGACCGCCACCACCACCACACACACACACACACATACACACACACACACACACACACACACACACATCAAAATTGGGCAGTGCAGCTGTGCGCCGGACACTGCTCGTAATATGCAACGACAAAATCATGGTTCGCAACAACAGACTCGGCTGGAGGCCAGGTTTTGCGCATCCATAGTAGGAATGCCACCAACTTCCAGGATCAAGGCGCAGATGCTGCTCTTGAAGCAGCGGGAGGTGAGTAGCTCAGACCCACCAAAGGGGTCATAGATCGATAATCCAATACGCAATAAGTAGTCATACATCTTATCCGAGCATGAACCAGGTGACTCTCATTGTTCAGCGATACGTCAGCAATCAAGTACCGCCGAGGACAACATATTACCGCAATCAAATTAAAAGATTTTCAAAAAAAGCTTCGTCCTTGCTGTGCACACCCTGTGAAGCAATGTTCATGCAAACAAATGCTGTATCTGCAATGTGAAATCTACTGTGCCTATTCTAAGTGGTTAAATGGCCAAGGGGACAGAGCAAACAATGTCACTACAGTCCATTTCAAAAATATAGACGCACGGTATTTTTGAAATATTTCAAATTTCGCTAGAGCTTTTTGAGAATTTTTTCAGAATATTGCTCAGGTAATACGGAGGATTACCAAGACGAAATTCGCGTTCGCGTTCGCAGACATTTTTCAGTTCGCGAACTGGATTGCGAACTTTCACATTTTTCGTTCGGAAAAGTAGTCGGAATACGAATCGCGGATTCGTGTCAGGGCAGTCATAAATTTACAACGCTGTTCTCTGTACACGATGTACGTCGTGTCAACGTCATGCATATGCGAATTCTGTTTGCTAATCCTTCTCATAACGCGAATTCCGTCACTGAGTTCGACTTTCCTTGGAGAGCGAACGCGAACGCGAATTTCGTCTTGCTAATCCTCCGTAATTCTCACAACTTCTCTCATAATAGATTATTAATAAAATAATAATATTCGCGGGATCCGCGTTAGCATCACTTGAATGTTCAGAAACACACAAGCTATAGCCTTCGCTTCCGCAGGCCACCACTATGTCTTTACACCTTAGTGGCGAATGCAGACCTCACAAGTGAGTCAGATAGGCCATCAGATAACAAACGCCCAATTTCGAAATTTTTGTGCACAAAATGATCACAGATTTTATGTGGTATAGATGCTGGCCTAACGGTTTTTTTGAAACCACACGTCAATATTTTTGAAATGCACTGTAGTTTGAAATGTACTGTAGTTTGATATCCCTGCAGTGTAGTGAAGTACTTACGTGACGTGTGCTAGTCATCGTACTGTCCGCCAGGACGTTCGCGTCACTCCCGTTGCGCAGCCATTGAACGTCGCCGCTCGTCTGAAGCCCAGTGAAGGCGCAAGAGAGGTTCGCGCTCTTGCCGTGTGGCACGTGTGTGACGAGGTAAGAAGACGTGGCCACGGCCGGCCCTGCTGGGAACAACATCAGTGAACGCAGTGCACACATTGAGATGAGTGTGTGGCAAACTGTAATTTCATAAATTTTTCAATGCACCAGTGTAGTGGTCCCTATAAAATCCGGAAACATTAGTTTTGTGCCAGAGAAATTCTGCTCAACTAACAAATCTGATCTACCGTTGCAATGTGCACGACCAGGACATTTTGGCTAATGAAAATTGTGCTGGTTTATAGAGGGTGATGGTTTATAAAGGACAAAGGGTTAAAGAGGGACGACTGTACTTATATACACGGTACTTTCAGTGTATCTCTTTCGTACGTAAGTATTGACACATGTCACCAAGAGTACATAACCCCCCCAGAGTGTGCAACTCCTGTATCCATCTCTGCATAGGGTCTTGGTCGAGCGTAATCGGACCTTCTGATGCCATGCGTACACTCCACGCCAGCGCGAGGCCGGTCTCGAGGCAGGGCACCTTTGTTTTTGATCCGAGAGTACCCGCGACTCCCCGGGTTCCCCTCAGATGTGTACGGTATTATGACGCAAAGATCCGATTCCGCTCGACCAAGACCCTATGCAGAGCTGGATCAGGCGTTGCACACTCTGGGGGGTTATGTACTCTTGATGTCACTCAACAGGGAACTGCATCTCCGTACATAAATTCCTGTTCACCTAACATGTTTTTTTGGCCACCTACTAAACATGTTGAGCACCTAACATTTCCAAAATAAAGAGTATAGCGGGATTCACAGGTTTTTTTGCGATGCGACAGCCGCGAAACCGGGAAATCCCCAAAACGCAACCATCGCGGACCCCACGCAACTGCCGCAACAGGGCCATCGCGGAAGTTGAGCTTGACTCAACTTTTGCGATGCGACATGCGATTTGGCGTACAATGTTGGCCTTTTCTACAGCAAAGTTGTACAAAGGTTCAAGAGTTGTCTATAAATTTGTACAAGTTGTACCAAACCGCGCGAATACCATGGTGACGTACCCAAATCAGCAAGACTTTGTCGCATCGCTGACTTCTTCTGTGAATGGTATTTCGCGAGTTTGCATCGCACGCGTCCATCGCAGATCGCGTGTCGCATCGCGTGTCGCATCGCAAAAAAAGCTTCTGTGAATCCCGCTTATCTCGTACAATCACATCATCTGAAGATCAAAAACCATTAGCTGCAGCCTATCATTGTTATCAAGAGTACGAGGTGATTCGTAATTTTTTAACATTGGGTCATTTCTTAACAAATCGGTAAAATATCTCATTGCCAGCGCCTGCAAAAGTCATGTCAAATTTCTTTTTGCCATTGCAAATGTTCTGTCAAGTTCGCCTCCAAAATTGAGACTGATATTCCTTCAGGAAGTGACATTGCAAGAGCTTTCAGTCTGCATGTGCGCGATGTTTACGGTAAAATAGAGTATAAGCGAGTCATAGCCGCTGGTTTCAACCTCCAGTGACAACACATTTAGCTGAAGAGGAAGCATATGATAACTACACACTAGATGGGACGCCTGGGAAGGAGAAATGTCGGTGTGTTGGCCCTGGTATTGGCCAAACATTGGCAATTACTGAATTTACTCACAGATGTTGATCACAATTGCACATGAAATCAGGGTGATACATCTATTGCTATGCAAGCTTGAATGGCTCGTATTTGGATGAACATATTCTTGATCCAGTCTTTCTGGACGATCCTGGACACGTAGGGTCTCTTTCTATTGAAAACTGACTTGAAATTGTGCTGCTAAGGCCTATTTTACCGTGATGTTAAGAAATGACCACAACAAATAATATGCAGAAAAATTGCCATTTTCAACTGCCCCCTGCTTCCCAACACCAAGGATTATCTGAATGCACAACCCACCATTGCAATCTAACGACATCAGTATTACATTTTTAGAGGAAGAAATGGAAAGATTCGCACCTCGAACCCTACGGAAGGCTTCTTTTACTTTCGTGTTAAATAATGACGAATCACCTCGTACAGACCCCCCCCCCCCCCCCAGAGTGTGCAACTCCAGCTATGGGGTCTGCGACGGCAGAACCTCACATCAGGTGACGAACTCGTACACATTATTTGCACCCTGTGCATGACAGACCCTGCTCTGGGTTCAACTCTCTTGTGGTCACTTTGCACTGGTCGCCACAATAACTTTAGGACCGTGTCACGTGATGTGAAGTTCTACCGTCGCAGCACTGGATAGAGGCTGTGCAGGCAATTGCACATTCTTGTTGTTTTGTAATCTTGTTCTTATGAATAACAAGAGCTCGCAAGTAACAAAGCATCTCTCACGCTCGGTTGAGGAATGTTATTCGTGAGTATCGCGACTGTATCGGTTACATATATGTTGAGCTACAGTTCATGTCAGGGACTGAGAGGAAACAAAGGACGCCGGTCACCCGCAATAGATGCTGAGAGGGAGAGAGAGGGAGAGGGAGAGGGAGAGAGAGAGAGAAAGAGAGAGAGAGAGAAAGATAGAGAGAGAGAGAGAGAGAGAGAGAGAGAGAGAGAGAGAGAGAGAGAGAGAGAGAGAGAGAGAGAGAGAGAGAGAAAGAGGGTACTATGTGGTAGAGGGAAGAAGCAAGGAGAGGCTGAGATGAAAGAACAATAATAAGACTAGAAACAAGAAGAACCTCAGCATACAGCACGATCACTCACCGTGCAAAGGTTTTGGCTTCACAACAATACCTCGGAAGGCCTTAGCGGATCCACGAGAGTTACGGCATTTGCATGCCACAAGCATGCTCTTTTTGGGAATGAAACTAATTTCACTGCGCACTAGACCATTTGCTGCCTGTATTGAGAGAGATAGAGATAGAGAAAGATAGAGAGAGACAAAGTGAGAGACAGACAGACAGACGCAGAGAGGAACGCAGAGAGAGAGAGAGAGAGAGAGAGAGAGAGAGAGAGAGAGAGAGAGAGAGAGAGAGAGAGAGAGAGAGAGTTGATCAGAGTGAGAGAGATATATATAAGGAGAGAGAGAGAGAGAGAGAGAGAGAGAGAGAGAGAGAGAGAGAGAGAGAGAGAGAGAGAGAGAGAGAGTTGATCAGAGTGAGAGAGATATAGAGACAGTTGATCAGAGTGAGTGAGTTAAAGAGAAACTTAAAGAGTGACGGGAGAGTGAAAGAGAGAGAGAGAGGTGTGGGGGGGGGGGGGGGGACAACATGTTGAGTGCTGAAAGGAAATGTTGCACCCAGCTATTACGCGAGGTTAGCCTTGATCAACGCTCATCACGATCCGGTGAACTGAAAGCCGGTGTTAGGTTCATACCTGATATGGCAGGATTGGCGGTGAAAACTTGCAACCAGAGAGAGAGAGAGAGAGAGAGAGAGAGAGAGAGAGAGAGAGAGAGAGAGAGAGAGATAGAGAGAGAGAGAGAGAGAGAGAGAGAGAGAGAGAGAGAGAGAGAGATAGAGAGATAGAGAGACAGAGAGACAAAGAAGGAGACAGAGCGAGACAGAGCGAGACAAAGAAGGAGACTGTTATGTCCCCTTGCGGACTAACATTCCATTACACTCATGCATTCTTACTGACACACACAAACACTAGCATTTGTAAGACATTCCTCTTGGTCAGGTAAAGTAACAACAACAACCATATGCGAGCATGCGCAATACAGTAACAAACGGTGTAGTAGATATATAATGACTAACTTGCATACACAACAACTGCCCCCTTTCAAGAATGTTCCAGGGAATATTCTACCACAATTAAATACCTCAAAATCGTTGAAGCAACACATAAAATAAGTTCATCAATCCACCGTACGTGAATTCTTAAACTTTGACACAGCACTACAATAACATAATCTGACGCAGGAATCCGTCAGTCAATATTAGCAATACCAAGGATCTTGCACACTATTGTACATGGTAATAATTACTAGTTCGCTAAACAGTCCAGCAATGACATATCAGGGAACGGCTCAAAGCTGTTCAATCAGTCTATCCGGACGAACACTACGCCGAGACGAACGTCTAACAGTGGTTTCACAGGGAGTATTCTCAACCTGTGGTAAACCAACTTCAGGAGCAGACTGCTCACAAGGAGGATCCGCCTCAACTTGTACAGTAGCAGACTGTGGCGAGACGCTAGCCGGAAAATCACTGGCCCGTGACGACTCTCCTACGTCTGACAGCACTGGTGACGGTGACATCTGATCGATTGTATCCAACAGTGGTTCTGGCAGCGATGCACTCAAGCTTGCCGGAACTGACCGTAGACGCAACTGATCTCGGTGACGCTTCCACAACACATCACCCACTTGTACTTCATAGTTGTAGTCACTGAGGACACGCACAATTCGTCCCGGGACCCAACGATTACCTTTGCCGAAATTGAGCGCAAACACAGAGTCACTCTCTGTGAACGCTGGCTTGACGCGATTGCCGTCCTCATAAGCCTTTGCTTGTTGACGTACCTGCGAGGGACGCAGAGCACTGAGCCGCGTGCGTGGCTGGCGTCCAAACATCATCTCCGCAGGTGTTCTGCCGGCATGGTTGGGTGTCGTGCGGTACGTTAGCAGAAACCTGTCGAGCCGAGCTTGCAGTGGTTCGCTCGTTGCACCCATTTCCTTCAACTTCTGCTTAAACACACCCACATAGCGCTCAGCAAGTCCATTCGTAGCCGGATGGCCTGGAGCCGTCAGGGTGTGCACAATGTCGTTGGCACGGAGGAAAGCCTTGAATTCCTCGCTCGTGAATTGGGTTCCATTATCTGAAACAAGATGCTCCGGCAGACCAAACACAGAGAACACGTGCCGCAGAGCCGCAATAGTGGTTGCAGACGTGGCATTAGACATTGCAATTACATCCAGATACTTTGTGTATGCATCCACCACAACCAGGAACATCTTGCCCATGAATGGTCCTGCAAAGTCGATATGCACCCGTTTCCATGGACCGTTTGGCCATGACCAGGTTCCCGACTTGGCAGGTGGACATTTCGCACTTTCTTGGCATTGAGCACATGCCTTGACTAACATTTCAATCTCTTGATCCACATGTGGCCACCATAAGTACCGTCGTGCCATTTGCTTGGTTTTGACCATGCCAAAGTGCTCCGTGTGCAAATCACGTAGCAATACCATTCTTAGTGATTTGGGTATGACAACTCGTTGTCCCCACAATAGGATACCATCTTCCGCAGACAGCTCATCCCTCTTATTGTGGTAAGACCGAAACGATTGGGGTACTGAGCTAGGCCAACCATTCACCACATAGTAGAGCACCTTAGATAGCTCAGGGTCACGAGCTGTTTCCGATTTCACTACGTCTGCTTTGATTATCGTATCTTCCTCCACTAGCAAGACACGAACCGTAACCATTTCCTCTGCAGACGGACTGATATTCTCACATGGTTGCCTAGACAGGAAATCCGCGTAGACATTTTCCTTGCCTGGCAAATACTTGATCTCATAATCATAGCCAGCTAGCATTAGTGCCCATTTCTTGATGCGAGCTGATGCAAGTGTAGGAACTGGTTCGTTGTTTCCCAGTAACTTCAATAGTGGTTGATGGTCGGTTTGAAGCGTGAAGTGGCGCCCTAGCAAGTATTTCTGGAACTTCGTAACACCGAAAACCACAGCTACGGCTTCCCGTTCGATTTGTGCATAACGCGATTCAGCCGGTGTCAATTTCCTTGACACGTAAGCAACCGGCAAAACATCACCATTCGTTTGCCTTTGCAATAGTACGGCACCTAGACCCATTGGAGAAGCGTCCACCTGGAGTGTGACTGGCTTCTTGACATCGTAGTGTGCTAATAGCGTATGCTCACACATTGCATCTTTCAAGGCCTGGAATGCATCTTCCTCTGCCTTGCTCCATTGCCATTTCATTTCTTTCCTGAGCAGGTTGTACAGTGGTGCAGCAATCTCTGCGAACCGAGGTACAAATTTCCGTTGAAAATTGGCCGCACCCAGAAAAGAGTACAATTCATTCACGTTGTTAGGCGGCTTTGCGACTTTCAAGGCATTCACTCGATCAGGCGAGGGTGCGATTCCCTGCGCGGTTACCTGATGACCGAGGTACGTTAGCTTATCCGCCATGTAGCTGAACTTCTTAGGATTGAGCTTGAATCCTTTCTCATTTAGGCAAGATAGCACTTGATCCACATTTTTCTCATGGATCTCCTCATCACGACCAGTACACAACACATCGTCGATGTAGCCCCCGCATCCTGGCAAATCGCTAAGGGTTTCTTCCATTACCCGTTGGAAAATAGATACGGCGCTGTGAAAACCAAAAGGGAGTCGTTTGTACTGATACAACCCCTGCATGGTATTGATCGTGGTGTACTTCCGACATTCAGGTGCTATCTCTAGCTGGTGGTAGGCTTGCGACAAATCCAGCTTCGTGAATTTAGACCCCGGGCCCAATTTGTGCAATAGCTCCTCAAGAGTGGGTAGCGGGTATTGCTCGCATTTAGAATGCAGATTGATAGTGCCACTGTAGTCACCACAGATTCTCAACCCACCTCCTGATTTCTCTACCGTGACAGTGGGGGAGGCCCATTCTGAATGCGTGACTTTCTCGATTATACCATCTGCTTCCAATTTATTCAGAGCCTCAACATAGCTCTCCCGAATTGACAGTGGTACCGGCCTTGCCTTTCGGTAAACAGGGCTCTCATCAGACACATGCAATTTCACCTGCACGCCTTTCACCTTTCCCACTTCTGAGGTGTCGAACAACCCTGGGTATTTCTCAATGAATTTAGCGCCAAACTTTTCGACCTGGTGCACTTCGAAAATTGATTTCCAGGGGAGTTTGAACAAAGCCATTGCATCTCTGCCCAGAATAGATGGACGGTTTCCATTTGTAACCCTCACCAATAGTGTGTGCAATTGTGTGCCCATTCGGAACTCCATTTCCGCTTCCCCGAGACAATTAATCACATCTCCAGAGTAGGACACAAGGTTGATACTGGATTCCATCAGGTTACTCAGCACACCATTGCATTGCAAGAAATCTGCGCTGCTGAGAATCGTGACAGCACTTCCTGTATCAATCTCCATTTGGATAGTGGTACCCATTACATCTAATGATACAGTGTACGGTAGTCGCCCCATTGCATTTACACTATACATGGTGACATCGGGTTTACTAGTACATGGAACGAACTCACCAATTTCTTCCGCGATGTGATGGACGGTTTGTCCAGACTTCTTCTTGCGGCAAGCTCTCTCGATGTGACCCACCGTACCACACGCGTGACACTTCACACTCTTGAAGCGGCACTCTTCCGGTTTGTGACCAGCCTTGTCACACCGAAAACATTTCTTGTCGTGCGACTTGAAAGTTGGAGTTGGCTTGCTCGTCGACTGGCGCGAACGAACGGCGTGGACGGACTGCGCCGTCAATTGTTCCGACTCTCTCGATGCAGTTTCATAGGCTGATGCCATCGTCACAATGTCCGCCAAACTTGAGGTCTCCTTTGCTTTTGACAATATCTCCTTCGTAACACTCATCGACTTCAACCCACTGACGAACTGGTCTCGGAGTGCCCTGTCCAAATACGCCTGAAACTTACAGTCCATGGCTGCTTGCTTTAGTCTAGCTGCATACTGTGTTGCTGACTCTCCATCCTTTTGACAAATCCTCTGGAATCTATGAGTCGCCGCCAACACACTGACATTAGGCTTGAAGTGCTCTGAAAGCAATTCTCCGAGTTCCTCAAACGTTTTCTGCGCTGGTTTGTCCGGCAGGCAAAGACTCTTCAGAATCGAGTAGTTCTCAGCAGAGAGTTGACTGATCAGGACAGCTGCCTTTTGCGTGTCCGCCGCTCTCTCCTGGTCCGCGGTTGCCCCAGCTGCGACTTGTCCAATACTGTTGGCGATAAAATAAAACGTGAGTCTCTCTACATACTCACGAAAATCACCTTTTTCAAATATTTCAAGCTTCGATCGCGACATCTTCGTCTTTTATCTTCGTCGCCAAATTGTTATGTCCCCTTGCGGACTAACATTCCATTACACTCATGCATTCTTACTGACACACACAAACACTAGCATTTGTAAGACATTCCTCTTGGTCAGGTAAAGTAACAACAACAACCATATGCGAGCATGCGCAATACAGTAACAAACGGTGTAGTAGATATATAATGACTAACTTGCATACACAACAGAGACAGAGCGAGACAGAGAGAAGGAGAGGAGATACAAACAGGCTGAGAGAGATACAGACAGAGACAGGGAGACAGCATCTTACCACTGTGCGCTGTGAAGTTCCTCCTCCCTTGATCGTGTTGTTGCTGGCAACATTAATCCACTGCACTGGATATCGAAGTGTTGTGTCAAATGAACAACTCAGTCGAAGAGTCTCACCAGCGGTGACAGGTAGCGCTTCAAAAAACGGAGAACCCTTCACAACAGGGATCTCTGATCACAGAAGAGAGAAGTGGGTAACACACACACACACACACACACACACACACACACACACACGCACACACGCACACACGCACACACACGTACTCACGCAAACACACACGCACGCTTGTTGTACTTGTTGCTCACTGCCAAAACTGGTCACGTGGGTCTCCCTGCGACTCGGAGGGGGGAGAGACTCAAAAGGAATCTTGGAAAGATGACTCACTTGGATTATTGAACCGCCCAACGGCCGACACCCCCTGAAATCCCCAAAACTCTGAGTGGACTTGAAAATGATCCCACTTATGGGCTCACCACACCTCAGTAAGTGGGTAAGGACAAGGTGCAGAAAAAGGATTGACGGCATCAGGGTATCCGTCCCGGGATCCAACTGCAGTTACCCCTGCACCCAGTCAAGGTAATACTTGCTACTAGTGTGCGTCGCTCAATCAGAGTGGATCTGACATAAGCTTCACTAGCACCAATGATTACACAAGAGTTAATCTAGCCAGAAGCAGTCCATGGTTAACATGTATGTATACACACACACACACACACACACACACACACACACACGTACACACGCACACACACACACACACACACACACACACTCGCACACACACACGTACACACACACACACACACACACACACACACACACACGTACACACACACACACACACACACACACACGTACACTAGATGGCTTACCATCACAGTTGTTAGCTGCGGTAACGTTCACATTCCCCGGACAATAACAGCGGCCCGTGAAGCCATCGACCAGAACCACACAATTGGACTTGTCCGGACACTTCACTTGTCCAGATTTGCACTGGTCCGGTCGGGCTGAGTGCAAACATATACAAAACTATTTTAAATGAGTATTCCATCCCACAACAAGGAAGAAAATGCAATACATCAAGGAAGGACTTTTTCGCTCTTTGCTATCTTTCTTACTAAAATTTGCTCGCAGCAAAGCAGTATCATGATTCTGACATTGTGCCAGTGAATACCATAATTCTGGGGCCGGGACCTAGCTGGGGTATGAACTGCACCCCTCCCCCCCCCCCCTGCCCCATTGGGGCAAAATGTCATGCTCCATAATAGGGTGCATTAGTTTGTATGAAATGAACGTTCGGGGAATGGCAATTACAGGCCGAGTGTGTGTGCGCGTGTGTGTGTGTATGTGTGTCCGACCGTTCAGGACCGTCAGGGTTTCACGTGTGTTTGCGCCTGCTCCCGCCGATTTCGCTTACCGCATCACCTGGATCGTCACAGGGCTGTGTGCTCCTCCTCTCTCTCAGCTGCCCCTCCGGGGCCCACGTAACCTTCATGGCAGTGGCTCAACAGGACAGGTGTATGTGTGTGTGTGTGTGTGTATGTGCGTGTGTGTGTGTGTGTGTGTGTGTTACTATGGCTTCTGCTGTAGCATCGCTATCATTGCCTATCTATCCATCCATCCATTCATCAACCTATCTATCTACTTGTATCTAATCTATCTATCTAAATATCTCTCGAAGTCTGAAGAAAATGTTGAACGGTCTCTGCTGGGATGACGACTACACCATAGCTCAGTGGTTAGAGCATCGCTAGCTACAAGCGAGGGTCCCTGGTTCGAGTCCTGGTGGTGAGGGTCAATTTTTTCTTCAGACTTTTCCCGTTTGTGTCTTTCCCTCAAACTAGTCAAAACATCTCTTTGCTTGCATTCTACCACTTCTAAACACGTGCAGCACACAAAGACCTGTAAATGCATTGCCTACATGTGTGCAGAGCAGTACACACGACTGTGCCCTGTGCCATGCAGCACACAAAGACCTGTAAATGCATTGCCTACATGTGTCCAGAGCATTACACACGACTGTGCCCTGTGCCATGTAGCACACAAAGACCTGTAAATGCATTGCCTACATGTGTGCAGAGCAGTACACACGACTGTGCCCTGTGCCATGCAGCACACAAAGACCTGTAAATGCATTGCCTACATGTGTGCAGAGCAGTACATACGACTGTGCCCTGTGCCATGCAGCACACAAAGACCTGTAAATGCAGTGCCTAGATGTGTGCAGAGCAGTACACACGACTGTGCCCTGTGCCATGCAGCACACAAAGACCTGTAAATGCAGTGCCTACATGTGTGCAGAGCAGTACACACGACTGTGCCCTGTGCCATGTAGCAACTTACCCGCACCGAGACCAGCAGCAGCTGAGAGTAGCAGCACACCGAGGAGGCACACAACACCTACAGAAGGGATAAGATGAGATGAGATAAGATGCATGACCGTGGTTGGCTATAAAACCCCTGCAATCGCCACGCAAAGACGAAGTGGTCATTGGCTACCTCAGCCGTGTATTGTTTGGAATAAAAAAAAGAGATAAGATAAAACATGACACTGATCACGCGCATTACACAACACAGCACACGCAAAGTACAGTTGACCTTGCGAGTAACGGCCTTCGATTGTGCATGAGAAAGGTGTCGGTATTCGCAAGTTGTCGTTATTCCTGATGTGCAAAAAATGCAGGCAAATGGCTGCCACAGTCCATTTCAAAATTATAGACGCAAGGTATTTTTGAAATATTTCGAATTTGGCTGAAGCTTTTTGAGAATGTTTTTCGGAATATTGCTCAGGTCCTTCCCGCAAATACTCTCATATAGATTTTTAAGCGATCGGGTAGCAAACACCCAATTTCGGATTTTTATGCACAGCACAAAGTAATCATAGACTTTATGTGGTATAGATGTTGGCCTAACGGCTTTTTGAAATCACGCATCTGTATTTTTTTTTGGAACGCTCTGTAGGGCCAAATAATGTGTCGTTCCTCACGAGTTGTTGTTTGAAATATTTTATTCTCACGATCGCCTGTGGGCAATAAGAGAAAAAGAATTACAGGCACAGGGATCGGATAAAGAGACATCAAAGTTCCGTTGCTTGCTGAAATAGTAGCGGTGGTAATATAGTGCTTTTGACGTTGTTATACATGTACCAGAGGTCGTTATTCAGGAGGTTGACTGTATAGCCTATAGAGGACTTTCCAATGAGTCATACCGTGCGGCCTATGAGGATTCGGGCCAAAGATCATCGAGTTCACCACCGATCACCGGACTTGAAACGGAGCTTGGGTGGCAAAAAAAGAAGACTGCACTGGAAAGAAACAGTGTTTTTCGAAAGAAGTTCCATTTTGCATACTGTAGTTTGAGAATACCAAAGGGCTGCTCGCGATCGGATGTTCCCACACCTGGATCGTCTTTGAGTTGTTATCGTTTTCCCTACGATGGAGAACGACGGAACCAGTGGATGACGGACACACGACTCGAGAACTTCGCTCCTTATGCAAATACTTCGAAGTACACGAATATTGTTCCATCACTTCGTTGGCGAAGAGAAAAGTCATGATCATCCCTGTCACCCCAGTACGTATCGAATTAACTAACTAACTTGTTCAGCTCATTTGTGGCAGCACCAGTAAAGGCGGAAACACGAAGATGATTCCGAACACTATCAACTTACTTAGTTTGTTGGGGTGCAAGGTATAGCTGGAGTTTGATGATTGATAGTGCTGATGCTGATGGTAATGACTAATGTACCCAGCTCTATTATGCACGTGCCTCTACATGACTGGTGGTGCTAGCTATAGTCTAGTACTGGCCCTGGGTGCAACTCCGGCATTATCTCTTCCATGCGAGTGTGTATGCTTCATGTTCTGCACAATGTGTATTTCCTTTGTCATGGATAAAATAATACCGGTACTCTGATCGACCTACTTGCGCAATCTTCTTCTGCTTCCCACTTGGTTGCTGCGCTGTGCAGTTCTTCATCTGCTGCGGCACATACTGGTATACCTCATCTTCTGTCTTTCTGGACAATTAGGTACATGTATTCAGCTTCTTGATCTTCTTGTGGTGAGGATCATCTTGATCTTACTTCTTGTGTAACTCTTGCAAAGGCAGTAATGCAAGACACTCTACCGGTAATCAGCAACTGCTTATGGAGAATGCCAGGTCGAGGGACGACCAGGAAAAAACAATTGCTGTATTGGATGTGCATTCATCAGCGTGTTTTAGGATCAGGACAACTAAGTTCGCCACTACACCAACTTTTTGGCTACATAGGACCAATGATGATGATGGCCGTGTTTGACTTTGTCAGCTTTCGTGCTACCAGCCACCGCATGTCAACATTGTCATACTCGTACTGATAAGGAAGAAAAACCCACACACGCACGCACACACACGCTCACACACACACACATGGATACACTGACAGGCATGCAAAGCAAGAGAGACAGAGAGAGAGAGTCAGGCAGCGAAAGAGAAGTGAGACTACTTGTAGGTTATGGGCACGGTGCTCCAATTTCTGCCCAGCTGAAGTAAAATCCATGTACACTATTTTCGTGTAGTGTTCATTGACGGTGCCAGCCACTGGTGAGTGACCCAATGGTGTAGGTGTTGACATTCAGCACACATCACATTTCAGTCTCCAACGTAAATTCAGTCAAAACAACACTGCACTGCAGCAACATGGGAGCATGCTTCTCCCAGGCCCACCATGCAAGTGCAGTGTGCGCCAAAAAACAATTCCAGGTCATTCAGCAGCTACCCAAGGATGGACAGGTTCGGCAAAAACACTCTGCGAGTGCCTGACGTTTGCAAACGAATTTTGTTGACAGTTGTTGTTTCTTCCTTCGATTGGGCAAGACACGATAATGTGCCAACCCAGTCAGCAATGAGACACATACATTTGTATCCATCAGGGCTATTGTAAGACTTTAGAAAGTCCTTTGCATATGTGCTGGGGACATTCACTAAATATTTAGAGAGGCCTGGATACCCAACGCAGGGGGATTGGCTGAAAGGTCTTCGTCCATAGGTAAATATGGATCAATGTACTGGGCCCACGGATTCTGTCAATCTTCTCGCGGCAACGCCTCTTCAAGGCTGGAATAAACAGTAGAGTAACTGCGGCTAGTAATCCTCGCGACTTACCGAAACTATTCACCACATCAAAGAAAAGCAAAAGTGCTTCACCACTGCGACGGCCTGCAACATCATTTTCAACCGTACACCGAACAACACATTTGATTCTCTTTTTGCCACCCAAGCACATTTTACCGTAGGACACGGACTTGTCTTATGGGTGATCTTTGGGTGGACACCGGGAAGGCGCCAAAAAGGTGATGTAATGGAAAGTCCTCTATAGGGACATTTCAGTTTAACTTTTAAAGTAACTCTCAGGCATATGCTATGGCATGTGTGTACAGTGAAATATGTGTTTGCCGGACCCGGTGCCAAGCGGAATCCTGCCTTGACAGGACAAATGTCCTGGTCTCTATCACAGCACAGGACTGCAATGTGCTGTGCTAGAGACTAGGACTGCAAAGCGCTGTGGTAGAGACCAGGACTGCAATGCACTGTGGATGAGACCAGGACTGCAATGTGCTGTGCTAGAGACTAGGTCTATTCAGGACACTTACCGGCCTGGATCATGGTGCCCCTCTCCTCGCCGCCGGTGCAAAACAGCCGGGCAGTGCTTGCGGTCACACGTGTCCACGACCTGTAGAACATGTTCACGCGGAAAGTACAACACTATTTTCTCAACGAGTTCATGCACTTCTTGTGCTCTGCTGCAGCAGAGTGTTGGTTCGGCATGTCCGTGGTGAGCGGTGGGGATATGCCCATCAACAGTGTATGGCTGGACAATGGGTGTGTGGTTTTAACTACAGTAAGACCTGCCAAGGCGACCACTCGGATAAGGCGACCACCTGTCCTAGAAGACCACTGAAACCAGGACCAGGGCATGCCATTCTCAGTCAAATGACCCTGGATAAGGAGACCACCTGGTAACAGAGACCACGTTTTGAAGGTCCCATGAGCGGTCGCCTTAGACAGGTTCCGCTGTACGCACCGTGCTCGATAGCCTAGGCCAGAGAGTGTATGGCACAGTATGCATAATGTTAGCCTCCATTAAACTGAACACATAGCGTCCGTGGTCCCTGCAGAAACATCAACAGTGGCATTAAGTGGACTATATACTGGTAGTATGAACTCGGATGGAGAGCCAAGGATTATTTTTAAAAAGTAGAAAGGACCAAGGAACTACAAGTTACGCTATAATGTCCACTAACACCACCCGTTGATTGTTTAGTAACGGGTGGTGCTAGTGGACATTATAGCGTAACTTGTAGTTCCTTGGTCCTTTTTACTGGTAGTACCTTATGGTATTAGGTAAACCAATACTAGTAGTACTGAGAAGAAGTTTTGAGGCTGCCTGCAGTTTCATAGTATTTACACAATTGGGTGAACTCACCCATTCCACAATTCTCTGCAAATCTGAACCATTCCATTATAATACAACGTTTCATTGTTATTACCTGACGATGGCCAAGTGCCGAAACGTTGTCACGTTGTCACGTATAATGGAATGGTTCAGATTTGCAGAGAATTGTGGAATGGGTGAGTTCACCCAATTGTGTAAACCAATACTAGTACAATACTAGTACTAGTACTAGTATTATGGTTGATAAATATGGTGGTAAAGACACACCTGGCAATATGGCGGTAAACACACGCCTGCCCACACACACTCTCTAAGCTGCAAAGTTCTGGCACAGAGCTCTCCTTCTCATAAGTACAGCTGCAGTGGTGTCTTCAACTTCATTCTCCCGAGTACTAGTATTAGTATTAGATAAACCTTATTTTAGTTCACACATGTTGTTAGTTTGACAGCATTTTCCGAGCGCGGTGTCCTCCGCCTTGTTTCACGCTGTCAAACCAACAACATGGTAGTACTTTGCAGCAGCATGACTGTGCTTGTGGATAAGAAAATTATAATGAAGCTCTTGGCTCACATGAGGCTCGGTCAGCGTGAGTTTTAAACATCAGCAGGAAAGCCACCGGTGACCATGCGCAATGACCAATGTGCGCCTGTAGCTCCTAAAGCCGTGGGAGATGAGTTGATCAGACCCACAATCAAAGTGGTCAAAGACCGAAAATCCTATTCGGCCAACTTGCATAGCGCAAGGATAAAACAACAGAGGGGAAAGGTTTCCTCAAGTTGTGTTACTCCAGGTTTCATGAAGATTCACTAAGCACACAAGGTGTCACCCATTAACTGCACGTCCTCGAATGCACCATCAGTAGCTACAACCTGTTGTCGCCCCGCTCCTACCTTTACCGTGGTGTGTCTCAAGGACCGCTGGCCTTCCAAGAGGACACTGGGGGGGGGGGGGGGGGGGGGGGGGGGATCTATTTTCTCCCTTTTCTGAAGACGGGTGGGCTTGAAGTGCAACCTGCTGTTTTGTTCTCGGTCGTCATGGTGATAGGCCGAGTCTAGTGAAGAAGCAGTCATCAATCAGTGTCATATAGTGTAGTGTACAGTACTCTTCAGCGTCTGCAGCTCTGGGATTTCAAACCAGCGTGTCTGCTCTGGGATTTCAAACCAGCCGAGTACACTTGTACCTTGCACAAATCTTGCAACCGGGTCAGAGCCGGGTACGTCCAAGTGCGGCTAATGCATGTACATGTACATCAGGGAGCCGTAAATATTAATATTATCGTTTACGACTCCCTGCTGTATATGTAGCATGCGTATTCCCAACCGGGTCAAAAGTGACCCGGTGTTCTTTTCCAAACTGGCCCAAGTACCCCCCCCCCCCCCCCCCAATTGACCCAGATCTGGAGCAGACCCTGCTCTGTCCACATATTACCCCCCCCCCGCTGGCCAGACATCCAGTGTTCAACGTAGCTGTCCTGCCTGGGTTGGGACTAGAGTATTTGTGTACAGAAACCCAGTACCAAGACGTCCTTTGTTACTGTAGTGCATGACTAGAACTTAGAACCTAACGAGAGCCTTCAGCCTACACTGCGGCATTAGACCACACAGAGATGTAACTCAAGTACGTGACTGTACAATATTTTGATCGGTGAAGGAAAGGATCATTAGAAGCAGTATGCTAACATTTTCTACTTACTTCTAAATGTGCGGTAAAACCTGCAACGGTTGAAGCGCGATGCAAGGTTTCGAAATCCACGTCCTGTCCACCAGCCAGCCGCTTTCTTCCAGCCTGAGTCCAGAAGAAGCTATGCTAACGTTAATGTCCGAAACATCCTCACTGTGACGAGAAATTTCGCAGAAGCTCTTTGAGAACATCAAGACTTTCTACTTGAAACAGCAAAAATGCACCTGGACGGCGGCAACAGCAGCGACACGAACTCGATTTTTTGAGAGCACAGTGCGGGCAAAAGCAAATCCCCGGATCTTGAATTGTACGGTAGCGTTCGTACGCTAGCATCCACGTGGCCATCCAATGCCATGGATTTCAAACTCCTCGCTCTTCCGCCGCTCTCCCCTCAGCTCAGTGCAAAAGAGATCTATCTGCCCACTACAAGAACTGGATGCAATCGGGGAAGAACGGACATCGCCATTGGCATGCTGCGAAACCCGAGAATGGAGGCCTAAGAGGCTAAATTTTTTACTGTGCATAATCTTGAAAGTGGACCACAAAGGTTCGAACTGGTTTTATCGCTCGCGCCCTTGCACGAAACACAGCACACAACCTCCCGCGCCGGGGTCGGCCCATGCAATCAGCCTTAGAAACAGTAAAACCAGGGTGTCGTCAAATATTTGACGACACCCTAGCTGAGTAAAACTGAACTTACTTTGCACTGTATGTTGTTTTTGTCGCAAAACTAACTTTACAAATGGATAAATGTATTTGTATCTTTCACCTAGGTCCTTGAACAGCTAGTTGATGTCAACGGTCTACTTTTTGAAGTACCGGTATGGCTCAAGCTCACAAGGACACCTGCAAGGTGAAATGTGTAGTGGTTGTAGAACCACTACTCACTAGTGCACTACAAAATGTTTCGTGGATAAAAAAAATAGTTTTCCCTGGAAAACTCAGAAGCCTCTTCTACGCGGGCAAAAATAATACTGTACCAAGAATTATTGTGGTGAAGGGAAAAATGTACTACCAATAGCTAAAATGTGTAAGACAAACTCAACTGAAGATCACGTCACAAGAATGTGGAGAACTATGATCCCGATGGTTACATACATGTGCCATGCAGGATGTCCAAGGTTAGCAAGGCAAGCATTTTTCGATGCCTAGTTGCAACGCTGACGCCGAGACCTCTGGTCGGTTGAGTTGCTCCCAGCACATCAGCACGTCATCCCTACATCCCCTATGTTTTGTCCTTTTCCTCGTTTCTTTTTGTTCTCCACCTGTTTTCCAGTAGGGCTGTGTCAATAGTTAAAAAAAATAAAAAATAAATAAAGCAGCACTCGGAGACCATCAGCGATGCGGAGTCCGTCGATGCCACAGAGAGTCACAGTGTGAGGGCGACCGCCGTGACCTCTGAGGCACGCAAATGCCGAGCGAATCAGCGCAAAGCCAAGCCGACACCGCGTACCGGATTATGTCATCATGACCGAATACGGCTCCTTCCGCTTCTCACACGCGCAAAGCATTGTGGCGAGGCGCCCATTAACGTTGTAAGTGCAATAGCGGCCTTTCCCTGCCCTCCAGTGGCGCTGAATACGAGTGGTACACACACTGCATGTTCGACCTCCCGCACACGCTCCTCGTAGTGTCGGCGCTTCTCACCCTCATGCTTGGCATATGTAGCGGAGAGGGAGTGAGCCTGATTTGAGCTAGCCAAAGGGTTGAACACCCGAACATCAAAATAGGTTCGCTCAAACCGGCCACCCCACACTCCGCTGGCCGTAAAATCAAGGCGAGTGTCGTCCTCCCGGATTGCGGTGCGGTGGCGAAACTGCTCTCCAGATAACGGCTGGAGACCCGGCTCCACTACAACGTTGTAGGCTACCTCATCCAGGAGCCTTTAAGCAGTGCGTCTCGCAGCTCGTTGTGCCGAATTGCAGGATAACCTCCTGTCGGGCAGGATAAGGATTAAGGCGTGTTGTAGCGAGAATGCCATGCCACAGGTACACTGCTGAGGCAGATGGCGGCGTCCAACCATAGCGGACAAACTTGAAAGACGCCATTGCGAAAGGCCTGCTTGTGCAGCCAGGCCATGACGCTTGATCGGGCGGCATGTCAGCCAGCTTGATGATCCCTTTTCGGCGGCGGGGTCGAGGGTGCGCTTCATGGAAGGGTCACATGCACAGCGTCGTGGATAAAATGCCGGCTTTCCGCACCCCGTTCACGTCCGGTTATAACCAGGGAGTAGTAAAATACCTTGTTGAGCTACAGTGGGACAAAACAGTTTCTCGACAACGGATGGGTAGACAGGCCCATGAGTGGAAGGGTGGATGGCAGCCTCAGTGAGGATTGCTGTCCCTGACCTCTATTTAGTCTTTCGCGACCTATGCCAGTGGGAAGAGTCGACCCAAATCTGGCAGACATCACCCAGGATTGTCATTGGGTAGAGATCTACCTGCGTAGGCTGATTGTGTCCCACGGTCATATTCGCTATTGTGTAGAGGTGCTCTAAAGACCTCTGGCTCTTGTTTCAATGAGCTCCATATTGCAAGTGAAGCCGGGTTTTTTTAGAATCTCCTCTCCTTCGTCGCCCCCCCCCCCCCCCCCCCCGCAACAAAATCAGGTGCCAAGTATGAAGTACATGGACCCAATCCTATGCAGACGGGTCCCCTGCTTGGGCTTGGGGTAGATTCTACATGTAGCCCTTGGCTGTCGGGGTGACGCTGGCGGATAAATCATAATGCCAAAAATTGGCAGACTCTGTCCAAGAAGCAGTGGAATTGGCAGAACCCCACATGTACAAACCGTATGGCATGCACTTCCTTGAATTCTGCAACGTACATGTACATGTCCCAGAAAAAGTACCGAATTCTGCCATTTTTCAGTATGCCGACATTATCCCTCAAGCTATCTGGGGTCTGGGGGTGATAATCTTCATGCAAGCTGGTAAATAAACCAACAATCTCAGGTTTGGAGTGGCAGTGGCAATGCTCCAAATGAAAATAATGGTTCGACTAACCATTTCACCAAGTTAACCACGCACCCAATGGGTACAATGAATGAGGCACATTTTGGCCTCGTGTTTGCACGCAGGGAGTAGTACATTGCACCACCAGGGCTGTGGCATCCAGCCCGGCCGGGCAGGCCATGGCCGGACCCGGTGTCTTTTTTTAATCAAGTACAGTAACCCAATCGGCTGGACCACCTGAAATCCGGGTGATGGGTGATATCCCCCCCCCCCCCCCCCACACACACACCCGTGTACCGGTACTGTTCCCTGTTTCCACCCAGGCCACTAGAGCTTCTTCCTCGCCCTGCATTTCAATTAGGGGTGAAACGGTTCCATGTTTTTCATGTTCGGGTACCCGAATGCCAGCATAGTTTCCCAAGATTCGGGTATCGGTTCCATGCACTCTTTTCTCCAGACCGACCAAATGCATCCGTGCCAATTATTTTCAAGTTAGAAACCATTTTTACGAGCAAGAACGAGACAACGGAGCATCCCTCTTGACAAGGAGGTACGCTCGTAGTGACCAGGATCGATAGGAGAACCCTTTGGAAGGGCGGTGATCATAAGGTAAGACATTTAAAAATCTTGAGTAGACTTGGCGTGTACCGGTACATGTATTTGTACGAGAACGAGATTTTTCGAGTTCGAAATTTGACGGAACGGGTACCCGATTCTTTTCAACTGGCGGTTCCAAAACCGGCTCCTTACCCGAACCGTTTCACCCCTAACTTCAATGCTCCACTGAGTGGCATAAGCCACTGATGGCTGAAACCAGCGAGCGACAATGTGCATTGTTCGCAATGGTGGAGAAAAGTTGGAAAGAAAGAAAGCTGCCCCGAAGGTAACTATTTCCTTCGCGCGAGTGCAATGTGTGCATGTATGCAGCAGAGTGGACACAACAATCTCTCAATTCGCCATACACGTAACCGAGGAGAGAGATCAGTTGAAGACAGAGGAAAGACAACACCGCATGTGGCCAGACAATATCAGCTAGAACACAAGTAAAGAATTTGGAAGAAACAGCGAAGCAGGCATTGGATGATGATGTGAAACGTCACACACTTATCAGAGTAGAAAAAGGACAGCATCACACACGGCCATGCGATATCAGCTCGAACGCAAGACGGCGCTCTGGTAGAGAGATTTATGTCAGCAAGCATAAGCGCGCGGCATCTTGTCACCGATTAGAATAAGGCAGAGCTAGTGCTGGGGACCTGGGGCCCCAGATTGTAGAATTTCTGAGACTTGATGCGGTAACGGCGTGCAATGAGGAGGCCGGCACCGACCACCAGCACAAAGCCGCCAATGCCAGCGATGATGCCAATGATCTCAGGACGTCGAAGTGCATGCTTGCTTCCACTGGCGCCTGGTGTGGGCTCGCTGGATGAATTTGTGCGAGATTCGGTTGCTTGTTTGGTGACTGCAACAGTTGAAGAACTTGTAACTGCAGGCGAGCTGGTGGGGACATGTTGCGTCGTCGTGGCAGCAGCTGCTGTGTGAGGCAGGCTAGCATGGGCTACAGGCGTAGTTGGAGCCTGGGTAGACGGACCTGCGGTTGTGGGTGGAGTTTGGGTTGTCGCAACAGGTGCGGTTGTGGTGGGAGTTTGGGTTGTTGTAGGTGCTGCAGTTGTGGTTGGAGTTTGGGTTGTCGCGGCAGATGTTGCTGGAGCTGCATTGGTAACAACATTGCCAGAGATGTACAGCAACAGAACAAACCTCATTAGTAGACAGCCATCCAAAATCTCCTGACAAAGCGTTCATAATTTGTAATTTTATTGTTCAAGGATTCCCCAAAGGCTTTCGCCTATCGAGGGAGTTTCCAAACATTCCGTAATAACTTATTGGGGTGAAACAATTATACCAAATACTCGAGTACTCGCTCGGTTTTTCAAAAATAATCGTACTCGGAATAAATCAGAGTACTCGTTCATACATGGTACATGCATTTACCACAGAAATCTGCTGTTTCAGAGCAGTAGTCGGCAGATATTGATGTGCAGACTGCGTGGTGAACATTTGTTCATGAGTGGAGACAGCACAAATGACCAATAAACCAATATAACCGAGAAAAAATGACTGCCACTCGGTTCTATAAAGCCATCATTTTTGTATATCTATGTTTCGCGTCGTCCGCACGCATACGTTTTGATTTTTTTCGGAAAAAATAAAAAATCGAACATGCACGGCGAGTGTACGATCGCGAGAGTCACCAGTGTGGACTGGTTGCATACGGCGAAGCTGGGATTCAGAAATGGCTGTAAATCTTCTGTTCGGCATCTCGAGCAGTATTCTATGAGCTTACATCAGACCGCATCGATTGCCTCAAGCTGAGAGGATGCGTCGTTCCGGAGCTCTTTGCACCGCTGCTGAAGTCTGAGTACAATAATCCAGCGAAGTATGGGCACCAACGGTTGCCTCCTCTGTCCAAAGTGAATATTTACTCATGCTCAAAAACCCAAACTTTGTCCTTCGATGCACGGCGTTTTTTCCGAATGTACAACATGAACGAGCTATTGTGCTATGTACAGCTCTAGCTAATTCTATACACCTCTGATGAGCTTTTTTATTTTTTTATTTTGCAACTTTTTATTTTTTTCCATCTCTCGCATAATATGATTATGGAAGTTGAACTGACGCGAAACATAGATATAAAAAAATGATGGCCTAATGTGATTTTAAGGCCCTTGGCGCGCAATTCTTAGGAGATGAAGAATACTCGAATACTCGAATATTCGATCGGAGAAAATCAGAGTACTTGAACTCGGGCTCTCGGCTGGATTTAGGCTCCAGTCTCTCCGGAGGCGTGGATTCGAATCCCACCGCTGCCACCATGTTGTGTTATCCAGAAGAACCCCTTTTTTTTCTCATCAACATCCGTGTATAAAGAAGCACATAAAAGGTGTGTGTGTGTGTGCGTGCATAGTGAGGGCACGTGCGTACGGGATACGTGCAGAGTGCAGACTACTGTACTACTACAACAGTGCCTACTTTCACCCCTACCGTAATACCAATTTAAAACCCTTTCACTGCTGGCCTAGTTTGCACAGTGATATATGCACTTCGTACTACTGCGTGGGCCGTGGAGCGAGATATCTCGTCATCCGCCGTTCAGGCACACTTTAAAAAGCGAGATATCTCGTCATTAGCACTGAAAGGGTTAATGGTCGTACATGATAGTGGAGAATACTCGTCAAATTATCAGACAAAAATAGTTGAACTCCCCGGGGTTGTCCACCAACGAGAGTAGACCTGCCCCTACAGCTATTCGTGGGAAACACTAAAATGTTAGGTACCGGATTTTCCCGAATATAAATCGACTTCGAATATAAGTCGACCACCCCAAATCCAAGAGTCTATTTCGTGAAAAAAAGTTTTATAGCTCCATGACACCCACACATGAAAAATGATGAATTCTCTGCGAGGAGAGATACTCATATCATGCCAGTAAGATGTCTCCGTGGCTATTACTACAGTACAGCAACACATCGCACTGCGCGCGCGCGCGCGGAAGTGACTTGACACTCGCGGGACGAAAGTTCACATGGTTCGTACGGTAGTGCATTTTTGTACGGACACTCCTGTCACTTCATTAATTTGTTGTGTCAGATTCCCGTATGTAAGTCGAGTTCCGTATGTAAGTCGAGTTCCGTTTGTAAGTCGAGTTCCGTATGTAAGTCGAGTTCCGTTTGTAAGTCGACCCCCAGCTTTTGGCGAAATTTCTGGCGCACAGAAGGTCGACTTAATTTCGGGAAAATACGGTACCAGTTTTGGGACGAATGGACTGTAAGTTAGAACGATTGATGGACAGCCTGACTCAACCGGCACGTCTATGTCTACGGCTCAATCACATGTAAAGTATTAACAAACGTTTCATTCTAACGGTTAAACGAATTAAAAAATCGTGAACATTTGAAGTCGTTATGTGCCAAACGATATGTACATGGAGATGTACAGTCATTTGCCGGTTGTGAGCAAGAATTCGTCAGAATTTCACCTCACTAAACCACAAAAATCCGGAGATCGCTAACTTTAATTGACGTTAAAATATCAGATTATTCTGGTCTTAGAGTATTGCCTCGCCCACTTACTGTCAGTGATGTTCAGTGTCTGGCTCGCCGACGTTGGAGCGTTGGAACACCGGTCCTGCAACTCCGGCTGCTGAGCGGGCGAGCAGGCGAACGCTGGCTGGCTGGTGGTGACCGAACACGTGACGCTGTCCGACGGGCCCACGCCGCTCAGCAGCGCCTCGTAGGTCTTCGTGTAGACGCCAGCGGTCAAGTTGCTCTTGGTGATGCTGGCCATCTGGCTTCCAGTGCCGCCAATCGTCAGCGCTACATTCGGCTCGGGAAACCCTGTCACCGTGCACCGAACGACCGTGTTGCCCGCGGTGGTAGCAGCAGTGAACCGGGTGATGTTGGGTGGAACTGCAGTGCAGAAAACAGACAAATGGCAGAGCACAGCATTTGGTCACCCACCAGAATAGCAAGCCACTGTGCTCGTCCAAGATGAGCACGGAAAAAATAAAGTTAATAGGTCCCTGCAGTCACAGAAAGAAAGACCAAAAAAAGAAAGAAAAAAGGCCTCAAAGTTAACATAATATATGATAACTGCGAGAGCTGGACATCAGCTCATTGAATGTCCGTACTAAATCAGTCAGCATGACGCTAACTGTTACACCTTCTGACTGTACACTACCTTTGTTATAACTGTTATAGTGTTGGACAAACCATGGATACTATACAGAGGAGATTGTAGATAACAAAGGGCAAATTGAGTTCAGCGACAAAATTCAGCTACTGAACCCAAGTCGTTTAGCACGTCCTTCCCATACATTTTAGATCGGTTATAAGGGCCGTGAAAATAAGGACAAATTGAAATTCCTGACACATATGTTGGTGCCCAAAGGCGTGAAACTGCATCGAGTATAACGACTTTCCCATGCATTTCGGCTTGTATCAGGCGAACCGGCATGCTGCATGGAGCATGGCGGTGGCGCGTGCGAGGACCTCCGGGTCGCGCCACGCCTGCCGTACACTGTGCACTGCAGAGCAGAAGTGTGATGTAGAGTGGTGGTAACTGAAATCCTACCCCAGCTCGGTGCACTGCTCACATTGCCAAACAAACACCCGCGCTTGTATACACTGCCAGACCTCGCTTAACCGCACACATCCGTTTTCCGTAAAAAAAATATCCGGATAATTGAACACACATACTGTATGCATGCGTGCCATCAAGAGTATATGAAAACCAGAGTGTGCAGCTTGGGGCCTTTTCTGCTATGGGTGTCTGTCACGGCGGAATTCCGTGATTACATCATATTTGGCGCAGGTCTGAGGCGAGAAATGGCGTAGTGCGTACAACTGAGCTGCAGTTGTGCAGAAAGAGACCTGCTTGAATCCTGCTTGTACGCACTATAATCACAAAAATTATGTAATCACTGAATTCCGCCGTGACAGCAACCCATCCGAGCTGCACACTCTGGTTTTCATGTACTCTTGATGCCGTATGCTGTAAATCGGTAACCAACGGTTTTCTTCCGGATGGCGAGAGATCCGGATAAAAGAGGACCGGATAAGCGAGGTGTGACTGTAACAGTTGCTGCCAAAGATAGCCCGCTAGAAACGGTGCTGCCAAAGATAGCCCGCTAGAAACGGTGCTGCCAAAGATAGCCCGCTAGAATCGGTGCTGGCAAAGATAGCCCGCTAGAAACGGTGCTGCACTCCAGCACAGCAATCAGGGATCGGGATTTCATATGCCACTACCGTACATGCCGCAGTACAGCGGTCGGTGTTGTTGCCATGGCAGCCGTGCATGACTTTTGGCTTGAACTATACATGTGACACATGTACATGCACATCTGCAATCCATATGCATACTATTTACAGTATTTAGCATAATGTACGTGTATGAATTAGTGGTTGCGACTTCAGCGATGAGTTTTTAGGAAAGGGTTTGCTCCCCACACTGGAGCTCGCGCTATTCCGCCGACTTGACTTGACAAAGGCTCTTGAGTATTCCAAGAGAGCTAGTCAAGGCATTATGTAAGCCAGGCCAAACAAGACAAGGATTACTAGGCAGCAGCAGGACTGCGTTGACAGCAGCACCAGCAACTGAATCAAGGACTCACCGACAACGTTCAGCTGGTAGGTCACCGCCGACGACGCCGTGTCCGTGATGCACTGGTAGAGGCCGGTGTAGGACGGCGAGAGGTACCGGAAATTGACCGTGTCCCACTCTGCCTCCACGTCGTCTTGCTGCGCAGAGAACGCACCGTGACTTCCCGCGACCATTGAGGTGTTGAGATTGGTGAGGCGAATGAAGTTGCCGGTCTCGCCAGACTGCGCGTCGGGGAAGCAAATCGGCATGTACCAATGTCCGATTGAGGCTATGTCTTGACCATTTAGATAGTATGCAGGCAACGTGCGACCAGGGAATGTGACCAGCTGGACTCCATCAACACCTGTGGACAAGGCAAAAAAAACAGTTCAGACGCAACAGAAATGAGTTTCTTGAACGCTATTGTCGACCCTGGAGCAGATCAGGGATCGATTTTTGAGCTACTCTTGGCTAAATTGGGAGAACAGAATGAACTTCGAAGTACAAGTATAGCAACTCCATCTCACTCCGAAATAAGCGTTCAAAGAACACAGACACTGTACTGTAAACTGCTCTTCTGCGTTCTGAAGACTGAGTTCAAATTATCCATCGGACGCACTTTTCGTACTTCGGGATTACGTATTCGACTTTGACTTGAAGCGACTTGCAGAAGATCGGCACAATGAAAAAAAGTTCGAATTACATGGAATGTTCGAATTACGCCGTACTCGAGGGTGTCTACTAAGTGCCTGTACGGGGAAAACCGGTATGGCTGGCAAGTATGGGCCTTTACAGTAGCTGACCTGATGTACCGACAGCTTCAAGTGTATGCGGAGCTTGGTTTTGGCACCTGATGTGACTGGTCTACTGGGATGATTCCTACACCACAGATCATATCCCCAATTCATTTCGCCAGGAACGTCACACATTCATTCATCGTGGGCACCCTGTAAGAAGACCTTAGGGTGTGTTGGGAATGCCCAAGTAAAATAATAAAATACAATACAAAAAAATACCACTGCAGTGCTCTCAACAACGATCAAAGATCAGTTTTACTGAACGCTGCACTTGTTATCGCAAGACTGTGTCAAGTCTGTAAAACGCTTGCTTACTGTTGGGGATAGCACCAAGCACCAGCACCAGAGCGACTGCGCCTACATGCAGAACAGGAAAAACAACAACAGCTGAAGGCAGTGACCAGGCGTAATGTTCAACACACTGCATGCCTCGCGTGGTGAAAGCCACTCGCAAACACCCATGAATTCCATTCCAGGTATGAAATCCCCATGTAGTGAGTGATCATCACATCTATCACATGACCATACAGGACAGCCATGTTGGTTCCAGCTCCACTCAGCCCCTATATCTATGGATCACATGTCGGCCATGTTGGTTCCACTGTCCACATGACATGATCACTTTCTGCACTATTTTAGTCCCGTGACAAAAAAAAAGACGTGAAAGCACTCCGTTCATTTTTGGCTCTGCTCTCCTCCACTCAACACGCATCCCTCGCTTGCAACACAACCGCGGCCAGCGCGGAGGTAGGGACGCTTCGGCGGGATTTTACGGTACTTGAAGTAGAGCTGAAAGCATACAGTGTGTGCAATGCACTGTTGGATGGCTAACGTCACGAGTACGAAACCCTCGGGTGCGTTTGGTTGGTACGATCTAGAACAGGGATCGAACAGTTGGCACACATGGAGCAGACTCATGCCAACCAAACGGTACTCCAGAAACAGAGCAGATTTTTTGGTGAAAAATATGCCAAACTTGTTGCATTCTTCAAAATGTGTATGGGTCACCATGGTCACTGTGTATGGTACGACGATTCCAACCCAAAAGCGTATGCCCGTGATCATTTGGGACCAAAATTGATGTTCCCGCGAGGTTTCACTGTGAAAAAGTGAAACTGCTCGGTCTGCTCCGGCCTCGAGGCCGGAGCAAGCAGAACATATTCTGATCGACCCAGAACAGGTGCAGTCCCAACAAAACGCGCTGTTCTGATGAATCCTGTTCTAGGTCGTACCAACCAAACGCGCCCCTAAAGAGTGTGCAACTGCCTGCACAACCTCTATGCTGTGCTGCGAAGGCAGAACTTCACATCACGTGACATGGTGGAATAGGTTATGCTGGCAAACGGTGCAAAGTGACCACAAGAGAGTGGAACCCGAAGCAGGGTTGCGTTCGACCCTGCATCTATCATGCACAGAGTGCAAACAATGTGTACGGGTTCGTTACGTGATGTGAAGTTCTGTTGTCACGTCGCAGACCTCATAGCTGGAGTTGCACCCAGGGAGTAGTACAATGCCATATTGTACTACTCTCTGGGTGCACACTCTTGGAGGTTATGCACTCTTGCGTAAGTGCTGGATGGCCGACCGCTGGATGATTGACGGCTGCATGAATAAGCAACATGCGATGGTACCGTAAAATCCCGCCAGAGCGTCCCGTCTCTCCCATGCGCCCCTCCCTGACTTCTTGTCAGGGAAGTGATTGATTGTATCCTCGTGTGACTCTGTGATGGTGTACCGTACTGCAGACACGTGCTTGACCCAGTTGGAAATGTACGCAACAGTGCCCACCCTCCTGACCAGGGATCGCACTAAACCAAAAGAGTTTTCATGGGCCTGTACGACTCCTGGCTCTTGACCTTTGGTCGGTGTACGAGATGCACGAACAATTTTTCACAGGGCGAGCACTTTTCACGTCGTACTGAATGCGGTAAGTAGGATTCACCCCTCCGCCCCTCCCCACCTGGACCTACTCAAAGGGAGGTAGGACGCTCTGGCGGAATTCCACGGTACTACTGTACACTGAAACTTCTAGCTTATTTTCAACCGAGGGGAAAGGGCTATGAACAAGCATGTGCCTTTTTCCATTATTTCTTTTTAAAGTTATAAGTTACAAGTGCCCATGGACTCCAATCTGGTTAGAATTGAGGAGTCAAAGGGTGGTGAGACCTACAGTGCATTTCAAAATATTTTAAAAGCAACAATCCTGGCGATCACCCGGGGAGTTGGCCATTTCACAGCATGTGATGCCTGGAAAAACTCGCCGCAAACTCGAAGAAATATTCCGCGTGAAAGCATGAAAAAATGACAACTCACGCACATAGGTACATGTACGTCTGGTTTAGAACAGGCAACTTCTTGCTTGCATAGATGTGGAGTGTCACAGAGAAACTGTGGTGAGTGTTGAAGCGCGGCACGAGTCCCAATTTGTCTTGTGCCCAAATAGGTTCTTTGAGCTGCGTCCCTGAGATGCAATTATTTTACTCTCACCATGTGACGAGAGCGACATGAACACGGACTCATTCTCCAGGCCATGACTTGGCAAAGCCATCAATCCGGGTGACTTCAACGACATTTCGAGAAAAGGCAACGCCTGTGGAAGCTGATAGAAGACTGCGCCGACTCCTAAATTCAAATAAATTTACGATCGTGAAATACTAAAATAATTCTCAACAAGAAGTCAATCGACTTGTTTACTCAACAAGTAGCCACACTGCAATGACTTCTACTCACTCACACCGTTTCAGTGCTGTGTGTACATGTATGTTCATATGACATGAGCCAGTCAAGTGCCAGTCAGTCGGCAGGAAGGGCGAGCTCCAACATCAAGTCGTTTGGGGCAGCCACCTTCTTTGACTTGTTCACCAAAACAATGAAAAAAGTTTGAGTTGAAGATAGGTTGGGATTTGAACCCACAACTTTATGGTCAGCAGACAGTTCATTACCACAAAGCCCAAAAGGCAAAAATAAATCGCGGGTTTTGATAAAAGCGCCACTGGCTTCCAGGGCAAATTTGCAAACCATGGGAAAAGGCCAGAAACCTGGCCAAAATTCTAACTCTCGCTGGTCCAATTGTTCTGGAACATTCGCAGAACAATTTACCGTGCCCTCACAAGCCCTTCTATGCACTTTGTTGTCTGATTTTCCCTTATCTTCATACTTTTTATAGACCAAAACCTGATTGTTAATCTTTTTGAATGGACCGTAGAGCACACGGCCGACCCAAGGTCTCGGCTTCATAGTGAGCTAGATGCACTAATACAATGAAAACAGATAACAGAGGAGCCTGGCTTCACTTGAAAGCTGCAGACAAGTCCACTGAATTGAATGCACTATTCAACGTGCAGTTTGTTAGTCGAGTACCGTACAGTTGGGCGCCGAAGAACGGGCCGCCAAGAGAACGGCCAGGCTAGAATTTCACCAATTTTTAAGACCAGTCTAGGCTGGATTTTTACAGATAAGAACAAAAACAGTAATGTACACTATAATGTTCACTCGGACGTGTAACTCTGTATAAATGTACATAATTATAAAGACTGTCCCATCGAACAAGAACGAAGCTGCTGTGTTCGCTAAAAATTAGAACGGGCTAGGCTAGAACCCTGACCCCCAGTTCTTCTCGCGCCCGGCAGTACTGTATGCGAATGCTGCCCTCAACACATCTGCACCAAATTGTCATTGATTGTACCTGTACAGTGCGTATCGGTTATAGCATGGTCGTGTAAAAGAATATACTGCCTACAAGAATGAACCCTCATGTTTTCATAATCATAACATGGATTTCAAGTGCACATTTATTCTTGCAAGCAATTTTATCCCATAGTAGAATATATCGGTCCTAAGAATGGACTTTGTGTAGCGAAACATGCCAGATTAGTACAAAGTGCATCGCCTGTACTAATAACATCCGTTCTGATGTGACTCTCGTACGATCGTTGCGTCGTAGTGCTGCAGATTCAACTGTTGTGGCCATGTAACTCATTTTGCGTAGCCACATGTAAGCTTATGGGACTATGAACAGCCACATGCACAGAAGTACTGCGTTGCATGTACGATGATCTTCCTGCCCCTGCGCACATGCATATGATATGCCACACTTGATTTATCGTGTGTAAGAAATATCGGAAATAAGAATAGAAAGTCGTTTTTCAAACACCCACGCTATAACCGATACCTACTGTACAAGTAAGAACAGAAAGGCTTACAGAGAGGCAATATTTTCGTGTGTGGGACTTCCATCTTGTACTCGAGATTACCACACGGCAAATAGCACTGCCTGATGCTGAATCTGGAGTACACACACACACACACACAAATACACACACACACACACACACACACACACAAAATACACACACAAATACACACTCACACACAAATAAACACACACATACACACACACACACACAAATACACACACACACAAATACACACACACACACACACACACACACACACACAAATATACACACACACACACTCACACACACACACAAATACACAAATACACACACACACACACACAAATACACACACACACTCACACACACACACACACAAATACACAAATACACACAAATACACAAATACACACACACACACACACACAAATACACACACACACACACACACACACACACAGGCCAATGAGAAACCAGACTGATTTACCACAGCAATCACTGCTATGGAATCACAAAGCATGCAGCACACTCAATAACACTCAATAACATCTTAGCGGCTGAATGCCACTTCCTCCTCCACACCAACCTCAAGCATGTGTACCGTTGGCACGCTTTCACAGCGTATAGCGACATTAGTGTTTAGCGTATAGCATATAGCGTACATTCCGCGTATCCCCGTACGTTAGTGTATCCCCGTACGTTAGCGTATCCCCAGACATTAGCGTACGGAGTCTGCCTGTGTATAAAAGCTGCTGCTCACAATTCTTTTCATGCCAGTTAATTTACGTTCATTTCAGTTCAGTTCAGTTTTTAATAAACAACAGTGTGTTCACTGAGACCCTTGTATTTTGCCTCCGAGAGACTGCCGCCCGCTACAAAATTGGTGGCAGCGGTGATAAAGTTAACTTTGTCAGATTCGACCCCACCTGTTTTTACATTGGTAGCAATGGCGCTACAAAAATTGGTGGCGCACATAGCATAGCATTGCGGCAGTAAGAAGACTCTACCCACCGACCGTCCTTCAAGATGCGTTACCCGCGCCAACAGCTGCGCGATTTCGCCGACCGGGTGTTCGTGGGGTATGCACACCTGGTGGTTCGGAGACCGGCAGTGATCGGCCTCTGCGGACTACTTCTGGCGTAGCATTCTCCTTCGGACTTTTTATTGTTGATGTGGAGAAGCGAGACTTGAATGCTTTGTGGATTGACCTGGACTCGCTTGTTGTTGACGAGAGGAAAGTTTTCGAGGATGAGTTTGGTGGACTTACGCGAAAGACAACGTGTGCTGTGTCCATGGCAACATCAGGCGACAGTCTGTTTCCTGGTAGTAATGATACAAGCGCTAGCACGGCCCGCAACTCGACGCCAAGTGAGCGGTAAATTATTTTCTAGTTACGTACGACCAGCATGGCCCAGCCTGCTGCACCAGCCGCCGCTCCTACGGCTGCCCGCCACGTCCATTAATAGCCAGAAATGATGACAGACAGCGTCCCTCCCGATCAAGCTCCATGCCCAACGTAAGTTAATTCCCGATATGACATTTTCTTTCCTGCCTTCCTTCAGTCTTCCTGTTCTCTTCAGTCTTCCTTTACGCGAGTGAGTGAATCCAGTTTAGTTCGGTAGGCGGCCGATCATGGTGAGCCACGGTCTACCCAGCTAACCTGGGACAATGTGTGTGACAATGCCCCTTATAGTGTATTCAGTTCGCTTTTGAACTGCGATGTTCCTGGCGGGTTGTGCCAGGGTTGTGCAGCAAGTGTGCTGTGGTTTTCAGGTCCTATTTGGAGGACGGTTCTTTACCCATTAGACCCCGTGAGATCGTGTGAACCTGGTGTGCTGCTACTTTATGATTTGTTTATCAGTTCATTCTTCTGTCTCTTCCAAACGTTATCATTTCCGATATTATTTGCCATATTCCCGTTGACGCTCTAATTCGCGATCTACTATAATGTTCAATGTTCCCACCGCCTCTTAGTCCTGTGATCTGCTCCTGCGCGCCAGCCAGTACTTCAATGTCAGTTGCCTTCTTTGCATCCGGATATCAACCGAGGCTGTTCACGAGGCTGTTCAAGAATGGAAGTCATCCATTCTGCCTATCTCCTTTCGTCGAGGTTATTCCGACGCGACCATGCATGCCACCAGTGTCTTCTAATCTCGGTCGATTAATAAACAACAGTGTGTTCACTGAAACCCTTGTATTTTTGCCTCCGAGAGACTGCGGCCCGCTACACATGTAGTCTTAGTGCACTGAATCAAATTGCCTTGGGAGCTCCCCCGGTAGTACATTGTATACTACACGTGCCTGTAACTCGAGAAGTCGCGGGTTCGAGCCCCGCGGACTGGCTGAAATTAAAGAAAAAATTGCGTTGGTCCGCGGAGCCTGCAATATTCAGCTCTCTGAGCAAACACGTCCCGAAACCGGCCATTCCACATTCAAAATGCATGATTGTGTGGAGCTTCGGCTGGTCTACCATTGAGATCAACATGTTCTTCCATGGTTTGTCACCAGTCTTGATATTATGCAATCATTTCCAGGTTTTTTTTCCGATAAGTAATTACAGATCTTTTTTTTAACCGTGATAGTCAGCAAAGCTCAACCGATGAGGGGTGAATTCCCACGATACACTGTGTATTGAGCAGGGAGTGGTGCGGTCTTGCAGGTTTGCAGAGTCAATGGTTCGATGGACGTCTCGCTTGCTCCTCTGGGTCGGGCAGTCTTGAGTCAGTCAAGTGTCAAGAAAATCCGGCGGAGAAGCACGAGCTCTGGTGTGAGGAGCAACCAATTTTCCTACAAATAATAATTACTCTAATTTCAGAAATTTTCGGTATGAGGGCAAAAGGCCAGGTTAGGTGAAGCAGTTCCCTGTTGGATTACGTGCGTTGGTGTTTGTTCGGTGTATTTAAATTTTAGGTATGAAACAGATGCACCGAAAGCACGGAAAATAAAAGTACACCGAAAATCTGTGAAATTACAGTACTACGATTTTGAGATGTAACGCTTAGAGTCGACGGGAATTCTTTGTTCATCATTCAGTGACGTATTCTAACTGATGATTAGAGAGGTTCCTATAAACGTAGTCGATATACGGAAAGTTTTACGTAAACTGCATGCGCATTTGTGTTCCGCCATACGGAGGTTTCAAATCACGTAGCTGCCCTTGGCAACTCCGAAAGCGGCAGTGTACGACCAGATCGGCATGGGGAGAGAGTCATAAAATGTGTACCCCAATCCACTTACGGACCAGCTACGTTATCAGAGCCCTATCTACGTACTCTACGTAGACAACTTTCCGTAAGTGGAGTGCACACTCGCGAATTCACGGGTTTTTTCCGCCCACTAACGTAAAGTTGCTCAAATTTACGTAGTGCGGAACCTCTCTATTGCCACAAGAAAACCGTTCTCAGATCCAAAACGCTGTTCCTTGTTGTTGTGTGTAGATGCATGAATACAGCATGACAGCACATTTATCTTATTTCGAAAGAAAAGGTGTCGGCACCGACGCAATCCACGCTGTCAAGTAAAGCCAATTTAGTAACCGAACTTACCCATGATGAGAAGGGAACGAAAACATTCCGTTACTAGATTGGTTTTACTTGACTGTGTGGATTGCGTCGGTGCTGACACATTTTCTTTCGAAATTGGATACGCCTCCAATTTTTTCCTCACGTTGTATCTTACTAATACTGTAAAATCCCTCCAGAGCGCCCCGTCTCTCCTATCCGCCCCTCGAGGCCCTCCCTGACTTCTTGTCAGGGACGTGATTGATTGTATCCTCGTATGACTCTGTCACAGTCTGTAATGCCGTACTGTACTGCAGACGCGTGCTCATTGCTCAACCCCGTTGGAAATGTACGCAACAGTGCCCAACCTCTTGGCCAGGGATCGCACAAACCCTGAGTTTTGATGGGTCTGTACGACTCCTGGCTCTTGACCTTTGGTCGGCGTACGAGATGCACGAACAGTTTTCGTAGGGTGAGTACTTTTCATGTAGTACTGAATGCGGCAAGTAGGACTCACCCATCCGCCCCTCCCCACCTGAAGCGTCGAGGAGGTAGGGGCGCTCTGGCGGGATTTTACGGTAATAAATAATGCGATTTTGAGATGTATTTCCCATTGGCCTGTGCATGTCGCATATCAACAGTCTGTTGCAGCACAAACGTGGATGTGCAGACACATGGGCTGCCTTGACCACCTTCGCGCCAGCGCCTGAACTGATTATAAGTATAATTTTATTATTGTGTGCAAGGAGCATTGCACCCCTTTGCGGCTTTGATGGCCGATGGGCTGGCAGCCTTGGGTCAACCTACTCAAGAAAAACGATACTGTAAAACGGGATAATTTTAGTGACGGTGATATTTTAGCGACTTTAGAGAAAGGAGTATTTTCGGTAACGTTTTGCAGCGCTAATCGAAATTTTGCAAGTACAGTACAGTATTAGCAAGAGTGCATAACCCCCAGAGTGTGCAACGCCGATCCAGCTCTGCATAGGGTCTTGGTCGAGCGGAATCGGATCTTCTGATGTCATGCGTACACTCCACACCAGCACAAGGCCGGTCTCGAGGCAGGGCACCATTGTTTTTGATCCAAGAGTACCCGCGACTCCCCGGGTTCCCCTCAGATGTGTACGGTATTATGACTAGGGCTCAAACGATTAGTCCGATTAACCGGTTGCAGACCGGTTACGAAGAATTAACGGTTAACCGATAAAGATAACGGTTACGCAGTAACTTTTCAGTCGATTTTTCAAGTATCAGGTCGTTGCAAATTGTGCACTTTCGCGGGCTGTCACACGCGTACGCAATTTCTGGGCTGTCAACTCGGTCATATCTGGTCTCTTGGTGTGAGAGTATGTATGAATGAGCATGCAAGAGAATGTACAAGTGTGCGTTGTACTGAATAGGGTACATTTTTCGAATGAGTATAGTCAAATATTCGGTTAAAAAAGAGTCCGCAGGATTGCCGTGGCTTATAGCAGTTAACCGTCAGGGGTAAAACCGTGACCGTTTGAGCCCTAATTATGACGCAAAGATCTGATTCCGCTCGACCAAGACCCTATGCAGAGCTGGATCAGGCGTTGCACACTCTGGGGGGTTATGTACTCTTGGTATTAGCAAGAGTAGATAAACAAGAGTGTGCAACTCGCGGATGGGTTGGCCACGGCGGAATTTTTTGTTGACGTAATCTTTTCGACGACGCACGCGCTGCGAGCCTTTTGGAGAGTTTTCACTCGTGCACTTGGCTGGGCTTTACACTACAAGGTCGGTGCCCAGCACGTGCTCTCACACTGCTCTGCGGCAGAATCCGCATTTCTCTGAAAAAAGGTGACGTAAACAAAAAATTCCGCCGTGGGCGCGGGCGGGGTATCTGCAGATTGTGCAGGAGAGATCCGGAGTTGCACACTCTTGTTTATCTACTCTTGGTATTAGCCATCCTTCTTCTTCAAGTCTGAAACTCGGATCGCTAAAATATTTCATCGTGAATTGGTCCAGATTCAGAAAACGCAAAGACTTTTACCCGCCAAAATTAGCCGTTCTATAGTAGTCCTCATGATCATACAACTAACTTTACGATAACGTAACTTGAAGTGACTGCAGCAGTTCAGTTTAGTCCGTCGTACAGTACGAAATCTCGTTTTGGCAAAGACTACAATACGACAACAGTGCTTCAGGAACACATTGTTTTATCCAGACCGGGGTATTCTTTGCGCGTTGTGAGTGAACCCATTCCTTATCTGGACAGGTTCAGTTCGGGTCATGCTCTAACATTCTGGCGATGACCATACTTCTCAACCAGTACTGCTGCTTTCAAAAACAGATCACAATCCTTACCTGTGTCACAAGTAACAGTTAGTTGGGACTCCCGCGCTCAGTCCTGGAGTAGGAACGGGCCTTTCTATCGGAGAACAACAGCAGACTCTGTCCTTTTCCTATTCTCGTGGCAGCGAACTTTGCGGAAGTAACTTTTTCAAGTTTTGGTAATGGCCGAAGATCACTCGGTTGTCGTACCGTAGGTCTACGAACTGTAGTACTAGTAGTAGCTGGCATAGCGCATAGGGAATGGTACTACTATCACTGAGTACTATGTTGTACTATCGTAGGCCCTGACAAACGACACAACAAGACCAGGTAGACCAGTCTCGTACAGGGTGCCAAAAAATGGCTGCCCGCACGATGCAGGAGGGCCAGGGAAAATGGTTCTTCCCAGCATGCATGATTCCGGCACTCGATTGGTCAAGTCCGCAATGGCGCAAGCCGAACTCAACAGCAGGCCAGGATCAGCAGGCAGCTACATGTAGCTGGAAGAAAAATTGCTGTGCAATGCGTCTGTAGCTGAGTAGATAGAGCCTACTGAAACGTGTGCGTCATATAAGCACCAACCGATGACGAATACATCCAGAATGAGCCATTTACGGAAATAGAGTCGAGAGCAGCAAAACTTCCCCGCCAAAAGTGATAGAATGACAACAGCAGCCATGTGACTCGTTACTAGGGACCTTTCGCATTTGCTACGAAACGAATGCGAAACGAAAGTTTGATTCGGCTCGTAATCGTTTCGTTGAAAACAGATTTCAGGTTTCGCAAGTCGTCATGCAAATGTGCATGGCAACTACGAATACGGCCGCGGGCGCCGGTAGCTTGGCGTACGGGTTTTTACACGCACACGTGCATGGATCATGGAATCAAGGGAAAAATGTGTACCTTGCAAAACATGTGTACCTACCCAAATAAATGTGTACCTGACGGATTCGGAGCGTGCCACGAATGAAGAGGCTTCCATTCGTGAAAACGAGTTCTCCGCAGGGACTCTGACGAATCCTCGAACCCAGGTGACGAATCAGCATTCGTTTCGTATCCGTACGCGGGGTGCGAAAGGTCCCTAATGTCTTGCCGTTCCACCTCGTTATCATCGCGTCCCCCCTACGCCCCTGCTGCACCGGCGCGGTGCACCGACGCGACCCGTGCACAACTAACTTACTTGTTGTACTTGAAGCTACAAAGTACAAGTCCCGGTACGCGGTGCACAAGGTCAACTACGGACGTGTACAAGACGACTCGTAGATCTACAAGTCCGCCATCGCAGGCCCCAGCTGTCACGGAGGAGCAAGCTCGGCTGGACGTTGCGGCTAGTGGTGTGTGGGGTGGTCGATTCGAGGGCACCTTTATTGAGGGTGTTCAACCCTTTTGCGTCTTCGAATCGTGCTACCTCCCTCGCTGCTAGCTACAGAAGCCATGACCACGAAAAGCGCCGGAAGTACGAAGAGCGAGTAAGCGAAGTTGAGCATGCCTCCTTCGTGCCCGTTGTGCTTTCTGCCTCTGGTGGCTATGGCAAACATGCCAACGCTCTTTTCACGCGAATCGCCTCTCTCATGGTTGAGAGAAGCAAGGAGCCATACGCGCAGATTATCTCCTTGCTGCGCTGCCGCCTTGGGTTTGCCCTGGTGCGTTGTGGTGCTATCATGTATGTGCCTGAGTGGCTCAAGGAGCATGTTTGCTCCTGCCGTGCCTGAGTCCCCTGCTGTGGTCGTGGCAGCGGAGGCACGCATCCAGTGAACCTGCACTGCTGCAGTGATCCTACTGAGTGACAGACTCTGTATAATCATTACTGTATCTGATGATTCGTTCTATGTAATTCAACTAATTGTGTTGATTCTTCACACAAAAACACAAGTCCGGCCAGTTGTAGTTTTCGGGGTGCTGAGTCGAGTGGTCTTGGTCCGAGAAAGCTGAGACGCTCCCTTCCTACTTGAATCCCAATCGAACTCGCGCACTTCCACCGAAACTGGGTGACTGCGCCCTACTAGATGGGGATTTATATGCAAAATGTCACTAAAAGCGCCATTCCGTTCTTATAAAAGCACGGATTGGGAATAAAGGAGGAACGCTGCATCGCAGCCTTTTCGGACCAAAATCAGTTGACTCAGCGTCCGAAAGATTACAGCATATGGGCCAATCGCGGTCATCCGTGCTTTTATAAGAACGAAATGGCGCTTTTAGTGACATTTTGCATACAAATCCCCATCTAGTAGGGCGCAGTCACCCAGTTTCGGTGGAAGTGCGCGAGTTCGATTGGGATTCAAGTAGGAAGGGAGCGTCTCAGCTTTCTCGGACCAAGACCATTCGACTCAGCACCCCGAAGACTACAACTGGTGAAATTTTGATTTTAGCCTTAAGTATCATTTTCAGTTATCTTATTGAATGTATTCACGAAGTGAAAGAAGTGCTGTATTCAACGCTGTTAGCGCCGTGAACTGTTTGTTAGTAGTCTACCCATGAAGCTACAGAGAGAACATCAGGCCGACAGAATTGTACCAGAGGAAAGCATCTATTGCCCACAATTTCCTCATTTGAAATGAACACTACCCTTCTCCATAGAGACAACATGTAGATGAAGTGTATGGACAAATATATAAAATTCAGTGAGGGCATGGAATGATCTCTTTGTGTAGATTGGATAGACACATGCACGTCTGCAAGGAAAGCATTTGTTCATGGGTTAGCTTGCTGGTTGAGTTCACATGGCCTACGTTCATACATGCCATCTCTCCTGAGAAATGTTCAGCAAACATTTCAAAACATACGACATTATTTCGTTCGCTAATCTCCGCTACCGTCGTCTCACGTGGCTTCAGAAGATATTACGAGAGATAGGAGAGTCTCCAGCAGGCAGCACATCCATCTTTAGGAAGTGGAAAGAGCAAACGACATGGTCCTTGGTTGAGGTAAATGCTGAACCTTTGATTTGTCCCAACCAAGATTTCAGCACTTGGTTCGTCACGATTTTCGCTTGCCAGCTAACGTCTCCGCACTCCAGCTTTCCCTTGTCGGTGTCACGTCCCAGTATACAACGGAGAGGACTACTAACAAACAGTTCACGGCGCTAACAGCGTTAAATACAGCACTTCTTTTGTATTTTTGTATTTTATTATATTTAAGGATTTTCCAAAGGCTTTGGGCCTGTCGAGGGGATCTCCTGCAAGAAAATGACAACTTATGTAGAGGAAGCAGTTAATCGAGGATAGGCTAAGGAAATAGATCGAGGCATACAAAATCTGGTAATTAAGGAGTTGGGATGCCGTCAGTGTAATGAATATATCGGCGAAAATGATGATAGAGAGAATGTTTGAATTCGGGGAGGCTGGTTATAGAGGTAAGAGAAGGCGGTAGGCAATTCCATAGCATTGCAGCTTTGTTGGAAAAGAGGGAAGAAAAACGCACACCGTGATAATTGATGTTAAGTTTGTTTGGTCTTCTTGGCCTTGAAGACAGTGAAAGGTGAAATGTTGGAGGTGTTCTGGAGATATTTGGATAAGTTTAAATAGAGTAACAAGAGCTGATACTTGTCTGCGAAAGTGCAAGGACTCTAAGACAGCGGCTCACCCTTGAACGGCTGCAAGCCAGAGTAGCTCGCACAGTCATGCGGCTTGAGAGATGCCCTTGCCCATCAGACGAGCCCAAGTCATCATTGTTTAAACAGCTGGGGTGGCCAAGTCTATCCTGGCGCAGGAAGATCGCCTGCCTTATGGAATTCTTCCATTTGGTCACCACCCAACCAGAACTTTTTGAAGCAGCGGGATACTGCCCCACGCGTAGTCGCCGCCGCCAACTCGCATTCACTCTGCCACGGGTTGGGAAACACGCCGGGAGGTCATTTCTCTTCCGCACCGCTACTGTCTGGAATGCCTTGCCCGCAGACCTGAGAGCCACAGCCTCGCAGTCCCTGTTTCACAGTCACATTTGTACGCACTTCTCTGACACCAAACACAATGCCACTCCTCACTGACATGCCTCTGTCCTCCTTCTTTGAGCGTTGCGCTTATTCTTATTAATTTTTGTGTTTCTGTTTCGGTATAATATATTTCGTATTTCAAGACATACCCCGAGGCTATAGGTATTATTGAGTAAAGGACCATTCTGGAACATTCAGCATAATTGTATTTCTCTTGCTTGGCTGTTCATTACGAATCATTAGCCCTCCACTGTCTGCTATCTCAACCCTACAGCCTCCCATTATAATGGAACTCCCTTCAATTTAGACTACGTCTTCGGGAAATCCTCAAATATATATAATAATAATAATACTAATAAGTCACAAAGGGCATTTAACTGGGATTTCGTTTCGCACCTATCTACATTGACTGTTTTACGTAGCAAATACTTCCTAGCTACTCTGGCTTGTAAAATATTTAAACGCTCCAACTCAGCTTTGGTGATGGCATAGGACCAGGCCGAGGTGGCATGTTCCAGGGCGGGTCTGACAAAACTTTTATATAGAAGTAGAAAGGCTGTGGGGGCAAGATGCCGTCCCATGAAGCATAGCAGGTTAACACGACGTTGGAAGGTTTTCAGGATGGTCTGAAGGTGGATGGCGTTGGCCTGGTCGTGTGTTAAATGCACTCCAAGATGTTTCGCAGCTTCAACGATGGTGATAGAAAGAGAGCTGGATAGGGTGGTCGTTACTGTAGTTACGGATCTGAGTCGTTTTGGCTGGTGAGAACTCTCCACCGACGTTGCTGGCCCATAGTTGGCAGGCAGAAAGGTCGCTGTCTAGACGAGATTGGTTCCACTGCAGGGAATTCTTGTTATCATGTACATACCGCTGAGGAGGGTGACATCGTCAGCAAATGAGTATGGGGTGCAGTAGGTGATTGATGAGGGCAGGGAATTAACAAAAGAAGTGGGTTGGAGCAAGATGCGATCCCTACGAGACTCCACAGGTGAGGACCTTGGCCTCGGACTATTGTCCTTCCAACCTTACAGACAGCTTCCGCTCAGATAAGAAGCTTCGGAGCCAGTCGACTGCTGACCTATCAGCAATTCCTTCAAATGCATTAATTTTAGCAATGCTTCATGATCCACACGATCAAAAGCTTGCTTAAAGTCGAGAAAAACACAGTCGAACTTCAGCTTCTTGTCATTGCACTCAGCCATTTGATGTGTCAGCAAGAGCAATTGCTCCTCCGTAGATCGGTTTCTGACAAAACCGAATTGGGCGCTGCTGATATAACGAATGTCATGGACGAAATCACGTAGATCATCCGCCAAGTTCCGTTCAAATAATCGAGGCACGATTTTGAGCAGGGAAATTGGCCTGTAGTTGCTGGGGTCCGATTGGTTGGTTGGATTTATTATTTTAAAGTCGTACATCCAACAGGCATATCTGCCTCCTTATATGAAGACAACTTC